ATGATTCAATGGAAAGATAATTCAAACACTTTTTTTTCAAACATCATGACATATGTCAGTTAAAAGAACTTTTCAAACATCATGACATATGTCAGTTAAAAGAACAAGTTAAAATTCGTAAATTCTATGGTCGTTTAGTGACAATGTTAGCAAATATAGCCTAGCATATTTTGCCTCCTTTGATTTGTATTAAATGTTAAACCTTTTAGGTCAATGACCTATTGCTATCCGTTGTCGTCCGTCGTCGTGCGGTGTGCGTCGTGCGTTAACATTGGAACATTTTGAGCTTCTTCTCTGAAAGCACTTAACCAATTTCAACCAATTTGGGCATAAAGCATCTGTGGGTGAAAGGGAACAAAAATTGTGAATTTCATGGTCCCTTGGGCAGGGGGCCTGAGGTGTGGGACCAAAACCACTAAAACGAATGCAGTCTTTAACAATATTCTTCTATACTCTTGGCATCAAGCAGTCAAACTGTTGGCATATTTGTAATCAGCATTGAGTCCTCTACCAAATTGTGAAATTTATGGCCCACGCGTCAGGGGCTCTAGTGCTAGGACGGGGCCAAATAGACTATATAGCGCAAAATGCATTATTTCTTTGAAAATCTTCTTTTCTCCTGGGCATTAATCTAACCAAGTACATACTAGTTATGTTAAATAATTAAGGTTGCATCTTCCAAAATTGGGAATTTCATGGCCCTAGAGTCAGGGGTTCTTAGGTGCTAGGACGGGGCTATATAGATTCCAAAGTGTTAAAGCATTATTTCTTTTAAAATCTTCTTCTCTGCCCCTTGGTATTTGATAAACTAAACAAGTACATACTTATGAAGAATAAGGCGGCCTCTTTCAAAATTGTGAATTTCATGGCCCCATGGTCAGGGTTTTCTGGTGTTAGGGCGGGGCTCTATTGATTATATAGTGAATTGCATAGATTCTTTGAAAATCTTCTTCTCTGCTCCTCGGTATTAAACAAACTAACCAAGTACATAGTTATGACGAGCAAGAATGTCTGTTGCAAATGCAAACTTTTGAATTTCATGGACCCTGGGTCGGGGGTTCTTGGGATATGTCGGGACTCTATTGATTATATAGTAAAAACAATTTAATTCTTTAAAAAATCTTCTTCTATGCTCCTGGGAATAAAAACAATCAACTATGTATATATATTTATGATGAGGAAGGATGCTTCTTCCAGATTTGTGAATTTCAGGGCCCCTGGGTCAGGGTTTCTGGTGTTAGGATGGGGCTCTTTTGATTATATATTGAAAATGCATAAATTCATTAAAACCTCTCCCATGCTCCTGGGTATTAATCCAATGATCTAATGTATATAATTATGATAGTCTGGTCCGATTTATAGAAGAAAATACTTCTAACGGCAAATAATTATTATTTGGTCAAGCAAAGATTTTTAGCCTATCTCGAGTATGCTGAATCCGAAAAAATATGCTGGTCTTCATGAAAACGGCGTTAAAAAGGTCAAAATGGTGATTCAAAATGGCGGACATCCAACTTTTCTAATTTTCTCTTAATGTCGTTCAAAACGGAGAAATGATGTGTGAATATTTCACTGAGTGTAATGCAACTATGAAAATGATAATAGAATGCTAACATTATTACTTTAACTAAGAAAATTTAGTCGTTTCACCATTTAATTCGAATTTTCTCTGATTTGGTCAGTCTATTGTTTCTATATTCTGCTTTGTTAAAGGAATTTACATTTGTAAATATCAATACACTGCAGATTTGTATTTTTTCCTCTGTATTTCACTATTCTACAACTGAATAATGGTGCAACTGTAAGTTATAAGTCTAAATGGCGATTCAAAATGGCGGAAATTCATTTTTTTTTTTCAAATTATTTCTTAATTTTTGAAAAGGAGAAAAAAATTGTGAATATCTTACTGAGCGTAGTCCAACTATGAAAATGACAATAGGGCACTAATATTATCACTTTAATTCGCAAAATTTGATTGCTTACATTTGAAATGTGTTAATTAGCTCAAAATGGCGATTGAAAATGACGAACACTCGAATTTCGTAGAATACTCACACTGCTTAATTCTGAGTCGTTTTGCAGAAAAAAACTTATTACATTTTTTTTAATTAATGAAATGATGTTCAAATGTTCAATTGAAGTTGGAGGAAATTGTTGTAAAATTTAATGACTTAAATGATTTTTATGACATATGTATGATGAAGAAAGGTGCCTCTTCCAAAATGGTTAATTTCAGTGCCCTTGGGTCAAGACATGTACTTAAGGTACATGGGGGGGGGGGGCTACATATTCTGAAAATAAATTTTATTTAATGCTCTGAAATCTGCTATTCGGTATTAATCAACCATTTATGATGAAATATAAATTTACGGTAAAATTTCCAAATTTTGAAATATGTGGCCCCAAGTTCAGTAGTTCCTGTGGGATGGGGTGCAAAACTGGTTTTAAAGTGGAAGTGCATTTTCTCTTTGTTACTCTCATCTACCTCTGGGTACTAAGTAACCAAACTAAGCATACTAAGTGTATAGTTATGATAAACCATGGTGCCTCTTTCAAAATTGTGAATGTCAGGGCCCTTGGTTTAAAACACGAACCAAATTCAATTGTTGTAAAGTTATTACATGATGCTAAGGTGACTTAAAATTATAAGGCCCGTGGCCTTTTGTTAAACTAGAAGCAAAATATCCTTAATCAATTCATAGGGTTCGTGGCGGGTGTGACCGATCAACAGGGGATGTTTACTCCTCCTAGGCTACTGATCCCAGTCCAGGTTTTATGTCCTCTTCATATATTTGTATTGTTCGTCATTTTTTTAGATCGATCACTGGGCGTTATTTTCACTTTTTACCTTCTAATTTTTTTCATTTAAATTTTCATAATAAAGTCTTAAAAGAGTGCTGGAAAAAATGAACCAGTTTATATAGTTGAAAGCAAAAGTAGAATATAGAACATCATAGACAGTTTACATTATATTGAAATATGTATAGCATACATGTACGTCACAATGACTTACACCAAAAATGTATCAAGCCACTTGTAACGTTACATTTAATTTCAATCCATTTTAAATTGAATCTCAATTTGAAGGCATTTTTGAAAGATAATTTGACTTACTTTAAATTCTCTATACGTGGAAAATTAAGTTATAAGGAATGAATTTAAGAGCTACTCTAGTTATATTGGTAACACCTTGGTTGGGCAGCTTACGGTTTTTTTTAATAAATCGCTTCGGGGTATTAACATGGTGTTCATAGTTTATTAGTGGCTTATTACTTCAGTAATTATGACTGTGGATAAGTTGCTAATAGTTAACCCATTGCCCTATTATCTTTTGTATTCCCACAGATATTGATATAAGATCTGCGGGGAATACGTGCGTTAGGTAGTGTTGACTCCAACAGCACATTTAGCCACAGTTACGTTATAATTGTTGAAGAATTTCATCTCATATTCATTAAATTTAAGGAATGCATTTAATAGGTAAACGTACCCAAGTTATCCTATACCTGCATAACATGGGTTGGGGCAGTTTACGTCTATAAAAAAGCATAAACAGCTAAAAAAAAACCTCCAACTCATAGTATACAAGTATAACGTTGGAAGCTGTAAAATTCATTCCTTATAATTTCACTTTCAATCATTCAGTGTAGAAATTACATTTTTTTCTTCAAAAATGACTTCAAATTGAGCATATTTGAAAGTAACGTCAGGCGAAGAAATACCTTTTTTGACGTAACTCAATGTGTCGTAGACAACGTACGAGAACACGATATAAACTAAAATCTTTTATCCTATCAAATGACGTGTTACAACCAAAATTAAATTACAAAATAATATATGATTTTAGATAAAATTTATCTGATCATGTAAGAAGGATCTGCAGTGTTTGTAAATTCAAAGTAATAATTAATTCCCTGGGGTAGGACTTAAACATTGGTTGGATACAAAGTTGGACATATGTTTACTAGAAATCAGGCATGGGCACGATTACTGAACAAATGTAATCAATTAATTATCGATTATTTAAAGGAATTTTGTGTAATCGATTAATAATCGATTTTCAAATAAATGATCGATTAATAATCGATTACAGTCAGTTTTGTTCTGTAATCGATCGTTATCGATTACTTGAGACAATGTAATCGATAAATAATCGATTACTTTCAGATTTCTTCCACCCTCAAATATCAAAGCAGAAAGTAATACACTGTATTTAAATATTATGTAGTAATATTGATGATATCTTTTAAAGTTTGAGTGCATTCATACATTTTGGACATTGAACTTCAATGTGTCATAACTTTTGATAGTTGCAGAAATTATTTAAAATTTTACTGTGATTAACAAGTATTTAAAAATTCGACATGTTGGTAGTACACATAATACGCTATCCCTGTGTTTCAATTATTTCGGGAAAAAAAATAAATTAGAGCTGCTAGCAATGAACATGTAAACTCAATGTACATTCAATTATAACTAATAGTACAATTTCTTTCTGTGTTGAGATTACTGTTTTTAGATCTATCAGTTGCCCTAGACTATAAGATTGTTTGTCTACAGTGGAGTTATTAATTATAAAATTCTATTAAGTTCACAGTTCACACCTCATTCTCTGCAGTCAGGGATATCCCAGCCAATGAGCCATGATAAACACAGTGACATTTAATATCCTCTCTTTTAGAATACACACATATCATTGACAAAACATGTAAATTTTGAATAAAAAGATGGAAATCATTTTGCAAATTTAAAACACAAGCAAATATGATAAGTATTCTTCTCTCGTTTTTCTACAAGGTCATAGCTGGTACAATATGTAGGTTATATTTCAGAAAATTTGTATTTATACATGCATGAAAACACTTAAATCTATTTTTGCTATAGATTTTTTGATAGAGGACAAAGTTAATAACATATGAAATTTGAAAAAGACTAGATCAGTGTGTCTATAATGCAAATTTTATTGTGAACATTATTCAAGTTATGATTATAAAAGTTAGGAAATCAACACATATCACTGGATGGATTAGTGTAAATATAAAATATTTATATGTGACTAACTGGAAATGATTCTACAAAATAACATTAATGTATAAAGTAGATGTGTATGTATATGTATAAAGTAATTGAAAGTAATCGAAAGAGTAATCATAATTATATTGGAAATTTTAGCTGTAATCGATTTAATTACGATTACAAGCAATCGATAATCTCTTCGATTACAGTTTACTGTCGATTGCTTGGAAAAAAAAGTGATCATTACAATCGATTACGATTACCCCATGCCTGTTAGAGCTGTTATCAAATTTCAACAACGTACATGTACTAGTATTTTATTTAAACGATTCACACGTTTAGATGATCCACGTCTACAGGTACTTTAAGTTAATTCTTTTTTAAGGAAGTTCACCTTGTAAAATAGAAATGAAATTCAGAATTGAATTAAAAATGAAATTTAGATATTTCAGGTTTTGGGGTTTAGTCATCAACAACTTTTTTAAAATTAGCCTGGTCATAGAGAATTTTGTTTTCTTTTTGAATTTGCTGCGTTCATAAAGCGCCAATTTACCATGATTGGAAAGATGCAAAATAGAACAAGGCAATAATTTTAAAATGTTACTTTTTAATCTTCTTATTGTCTTATTAATTCAGCTTAAGGCCAATTAAGCTTCGTCGTAAGTTTACACAACAGTCAAGATATCTTTTTTTATAATAACAGTCGCAAAATCCCTTCATCTTCATTTGTCAATTTTTGTTCTTCTCAGAAGAAGTGTTCTAAGAAATGCGGCTTCCTTCTTCCTACTGTCTATTTAGATGAAGGGACGTTGTTCAAATATCGGATCTCCATCCGGGGTTCTGAGCCACTGTCGGCCATTATTCTCTGGATGGTCTTCATAAACCCAACCAGTCACTGTAAAATAATTAACCAGTCAATGTAAAATAATGAACCAGTCAGTCACTGTAAAATAATAAGCCAGCCAGTCACTGTAAAATAATTAACCAGCCAGTCACTGTAAAATAATAAACCAGCCGGTCACTATAAAAAAAAAATAACCAACCAGTCACTGTAAAATAATTAAACAACCACTCACTGTAAAATAATTAACCAGCAAGTCACTGTTAAATAATTAAACAGCCAGTCACTATAAAATAATTAACCTCCCAGTCACTGTAAAAAAATTAACCGTGTTAATAAGGGAACCAGTTTACAGTCACTGTAACTGGGTTAACATAGTAAGCAGTTAACCGTAACTGTAAAATATTTAATTGTGTTATCGTAGTAAGCAGTTTACTGTCACTGTAAAATAATTAACTGCGTTTATATAGTAAGCAGTTTACTGTCAGTGTAAAATAATTAACTGTGTTCACGTAGTAAGCAGTTTACTGTCACTGTAAAATAATTAACTGTGTTAACGTAGTACACAGTTTACAGTCACTATAAAATAATTAACTGTTAACGTAGTATTCAGTTTACTGTCACTGTAAAATAATTAATTGTAAAAATAGTAAACTGTTTACACTTACTGTAGGATAACTAACTGTTAAAATATTAAATAGTGTACTATTGCTATAAATAATTAACAGTGTTGACATAGTAAGCAGTTTACAGTCATTGTAAAATAATTAACTGTTTACATTCTTTATCCAATCTGTATATTGTATCCAGCTTTTCAACCATTTGTAAAATTTGATGCACTGACAGTGCACATCGTGTGTAAATAAAAATACTTAAAATTGAACCCTTGGACAAATGAATGTTTGATTATTCAAATTCCTGTTAAATATGCATCTACAACATAACAAGATGTGCCTCCACACTGAAAATTTCATTTCATTTGTAATTTATATAACCTGTATCAATGCCTCTGTTCCCAAATGTTCTCGCTGATGCTCTTTCGTCCGAGACGTCCATCTCTGATCGACCGCCAACACCCCTGTGTCTATCGCCTTAGAAATAAATGTAGAATAATTCTTTTCATGACAATATGAACTTACATGTATGTGATAAGCTTGTGAATACTATACAATGATGTGTTACTGTAAACAAGCTATTATTAATGCCATCTTTTACTCGCAATTTATCGCATCACGACGATTCATTTTTGCAACTGAAGAAACATTCCTGTCAACTACAAAGCAAAATAAATGTTTTGCCATTTGAAATAAGTCGCAAAACTTTCGAATATTTCTTGCATGCGAAAAAAAACTTGAATTTGAATATCTCTATAAATACTTCTGTTCCCAGATGTTCTGTCTGACGACCTTCCATCTCTGGAGGAATCTAATTCTTTTTCTGGATATTGACCATCGCCATATCTGACAGAATTAGCATCCTTCACACTTCCTTCACCTACAATCACAAAATAATCCAAAAATGAGATCTCCCTTATTGAACACTTTTTAACACTTGCAAAGAATCATTTCTATACCTGATGCCCCCATTCCTGCAACCATAACTCCTTGTGACATTCTGACGTCTGTGGGCGACACGAGTCCCTCTCTATTCCCGTCAATGTCGATTTTCGTCATTGGATCGGATTCATCTTCTCCTCCAGATCCAGTGGGCGATCCTTTGCCTTGAGCAGATCTGGATCCAGGCGACCCAGATCCGGAATATACCATGGAGGGATTTCCTACCATGGTCACGTGACCAACAGAGTCGTCTGTGTCTGAGACAAAAGGTCTGGTGTCTGAGGAATTTTGACCGCCAGATATCATATCTCCTTTTGATTGAACTTTGATGAGCTTTGGTTTGGACTTGGAAAGATTGCTGTAATATTGTTTTTTTTTTCTCAAAAAGTTGCAATTGAAGTAATTTGATATATCATTTTTGCTCCAAAGCGATACCTTGAATAAGAATTCAAGAAAAAAGAGACACACACCCTTAAATTCATCCATCCTAATTTGGAATCTATATTTGATATAGATGTATGGTATATGTATGGTAAATTAAAGTAGCATAAAAATTCTTTCACAGCGATCATGAACATGATGAAGCTAAGACAACAAAGCCAACTCACTCTTTCTTTTGTTTATTTTTTCTTCTCCACAGTAGGTAGATGATCAGCGCCGCTAATAAGGCTAGGGCAAGGAGGGAGAATATGACAGCAAGTGCGATAGTTAGTCCCGATGTGTCTCCACTGCTGGAGGAACGAGAGGAACCTGCGGGGTAAACGACATTCTGTCCAAACGGCTTGACGTCAGTAACCAAAAACTTTCTCCAAGGTTCATCTTAAAATAAGAACGTTCATAAAGCAGATTTTAAAACATAAGGAAAATGTTATAGCCATTTTAAGCTTTAGATTACTAAGACAACGATCAACGTATTTTCTGAACTAGATCAATGAATCAAAGTTTAAATTATTTTAACATTATCATACTTAAGAAAAAATCAAAGTATATTTTTTCACAATATGAAATCAAAGGTTTTCTTTTACTGTAAAATTAAAATTATTGTATTTTATTTATCTCAGAGAAGTCTACTTTGTACTACTGTAAATCATATGTCTTTTTACTGAAAATAATTAAACTACTCATACTTTGCTCAAAGTATAATGATTGATAAATTATTATATTTCAATAAAAACTTTCTGGAGATAAAGAAGTGTTTTCCTTAAGTTCAGTTAAATAGCTTATCATAGATCTACAAATGATCAGTGGTTATAATACCCGTTCCATTGATAGTTGGGACCTTGTCCTTATTCAGCTCCAAAGAATCCAGGAATTCCCCATTAGTCATGAACGGTTTATCCATAAAAAGGTTGCTCTCCCAATTCGTCAAGTCGTTCTTTACGGCATATACATAGACTAGGACGGAACTAATTTGTGTAAAAAGGAAATCAGTCATTAGCACTCTATTTGATAAATTACATCAAATTAGTAAAATCTTGTATCGCTGCACTTTACTTTTATACTTTTGTCCACATTTCTGTATGTTAAACACTTAACTCCTTTGTGTCTTCATCTTAAAGTTGCTTCGATAATTAGATCAATTTTGTTGTTTGTTTTTATTAAACCGTTCATACATTCACAATCTTAATTGTCTTCCCAAAGTTTTATTTCATGTAATCATTACTTTTTGGCATATTTGAAGATCTGTACTTTTATTTCTAACCTTGATTAGTTGTTATTAAATGCAAAGTTACTTACGTAGATTTGTCTTCTATGCACCATCGTCGAACATACGCCGTTGCATAAAACTCTCCTATCGTTGCTTTCACAAGTGACAAAAATTCTGATTCCTTTCTTAAGTATGTAGACAATCCCATCGATAAAGAAAATGAAATTATCGTTTCACTTGCATTAAAGGAATCTATTCTGATTTTGGCACTCAAAGATGACGTAAGTTTAGGAGTGCCAAGATCGTATGCACGCACCAAGATGACATTCCTGGTTTCGTTTACATTTAGGCTGGTAGTAATTTCGCCTACAATAGAAATTGATTAAATATAACTACTTCTCAAATATTTCTTTGTAAAACGTTTATTTATAAAACTCCATATTTGATATATAGAAAAAAATACCCGATTTTCTGTCGACAAGAAATTGGTTTTCTCCGTAGATAGGATCCATTTCGAAAAAGACTTCAGCATTTTCCTCCTGGTCTCTATCTAGTGCAGTAACGATAGCAATAACATGGTCACACGCATACTCATTCGACACCTCTGCATTGTAAAAAGACGGAGTAAATATCGGTCTATTATCGTTAATATCTGCCACGAAGACAGTGACTGTTGTGTTGGAAGATAATAGCGGTGTACCAGCATCAGTGGCCGTCACAGTCATAGTAATGTTGGCATACAACTCACGATCAAGTTCTTTGATGAGCAAAACCTCACCAGTGTTTACATCTACAGAAAAATATTGCGATGCTATCGCATCATCTAATGTTACAATGTCCAGACTATATGAAATTTTGGCATTGAGTCCAATGTCGAAGTCGAACGCCGTTGTGGTTAAAATTTTGCCTCCTACAGTAAAATTTTCAGACACTTCGGTTGAATATAATCTCCTAGTAAATATCGGGGTGTTATCATTTTCATCGGTTATGGTAATGTTCACCATTGCTTCAGACGACAAAGACCCACCATCTTCAACAATCAACAAGATGGCGTAAAAGTCTTCTACTTCACGGTCTATGACATCAAAGCTTCTTATTTCTCCTGTTGTTGAGTTAATCGCGAATTTTCCCGCGTGACCTTCCTCGTACGTCTTTATTCTGTAAGTGAGTAGAGCGTTAATACCTCTGTCACCATCTGTCGCATCCACTTTTCCTACCAACGTTCCAATAGGCGAGTTTTCTTTTATATTAAACACAAATGTATTCTGGGTGAATTCAGGAATAATATCGTTGACGTCACTAAGAGTAACTGTCGCCGTGATAGAAGAGGACATCTGCGGGGAGCCCAAATCTGAAACTTTAATCACCAATTCATAGACGGACTGAGATTCGCGGTCTAGATCTGTTGCGACCTGGATAAACCCACGAGTTTGTTCGATTTTGAAATGAAAGTCTGAGTTTCCTGATTCTATTGAATACAAGAATCGTCCATTCTCCCCTGTGTCTGGATCAGTGGCAGACAGAGAAAACACCAATGAGTGGACAGGTTCGTTTTCCGGAATGGTTTTATCATACGTTCCTTGGATTAGCGGGGCATTATCGTTAATGTCCGTCAATGTAATTGTCAAAGTAACATAACCTGTCCTGGCTGGAAACCCTTTGTCAACTGCCTCAATAATCATCTCATAACTGCATTTAAAATTTAGGTAGTTAACATATCATGTTTAAATACATTGTAACATATCATATCAAGTTTAAATAATATTGTCACTACAATACTTTTTAAAAATGCATCGTACTTATTTCTTCTGTAAAGATTTAGGAACAATTGTGCTTCATGTATAACCAAAGAGATACCCAAGAGGTCTTGTACTTATTGGCATATTTGCACATTTTTTTTAATCATGATTATGAATCAATCTTACCTTTCCTGTATTTCTCTATCGATCTGTCCGTTGACAGTCACCTCTCCCGTCAAATAGTGTACATTAAATGGCACATTTGATGAAGAACGAAACTCAAATAAATTATTATCACTAAGGTCTGAGTCTATATCTTTTGCAGTAACTCGTGTAACAAAATCTCCAAGACTCGCATTTTCTGCAATAAATTTGGTCATTGTGGCCGTTGGGAATTCAGGTGAATTGTCGTTAACGTCTATAATGCTGATATTCACGGTACATTTGTCTGAGAGGGCAGGAGTCCCAAAATCTGTTACTTCAATAACCAGAAGGACCGATTTGGTGAATTCGTAGTCTGTAGACACCGCGACACTAATGGTGCCGACATCAGGATCAATCAGAAAATGCGAATTAATGTTGCCCGAAATAATGGTATAACGAAACAATCCGTTGTTACCGGATACATCCGGGTCTCTAGCTGTTACCTTACCGACAGATTTTCCTATATCCGAGTTTTCGGTGTTTGTAAAGCTAAAAAAGAATAGAATTTTAATATCTGAAAATGCTAATTATGTATCAGTTATATAATATTGTAATAAATCAGAATTAATAAAAGTGGATTGAAATAGGTTCTGAATGACCCAATTAAATCATATTTATGTGTAGGCACAGTTGAAATTTTAGCCAACCAAATGATTAGAATTATTAACCTACGTACGAACTGAACAGATGAAAAATAGTATAAAAATACAGGGATCAATCTATCTTCGTTTACTTTTGGTGTACCTCTAGTACCTGGGCGGCTATGTCGGAAAACAAAAAAATTGTTAGTTAGACCACTCAGCTCAGGGACCTACATGTAGATCCCTAGTGTCTTTATGACTAGCCATGGTGTCTCGGTGACTTTAGCTTGTGTATAACCAAAAGTAATAGTGTCCTGTTGATAGCTGTGGTGTCTTGTTGACTTTAGCTTGTGTTTGTGTGTCTTAATTAATATGTATCTGTGATTTTGTGATTTTAGGGTGTGTTTGGGGTAGATGCAGACTGTGTCGGGAAACAACAGAACTGTTATTTAAACCTCCCAGTGCGCAGCTACAGAGGTAAGTTTTATAGCTTTGATTGTTCATTTAATTGTAGTTGATTCTTTCTTATAATTTCTTGATGTTTAGTTATCACGTTTGTTTTCTAATCATTTTCCAGATAGGACTATGAAAAAAATATATATACTGAATTTCAGTCAGATGTTCGCCATTACTATCGAAGTTTGTTTTGATCTTATATTATAAACGTGATTCCTAGGAAGGAAACCTGAGCGAACCTTATTGATAATCATTTGTACATAGTAAGAACGTTACAATAACATCAATTTTGTATGCATTTGATTTTCATAAATTTTGAATTGGAAGTACTTTCAAAATCACCAAGCATAAAAAGAAACAATGTTTCCACTCGGCTGGAAGAAAGTTATTGACAGAAACTTAAAACTAGAACTGTCCAATATGGACAAATACCCCCCGCTGGCTTTTTCAGAGAAGGTGCCAATTCAAAAATACAAGTTTATGGATCTAGAGGTGTTCACAATTTACTTACAAAAATTTGCAGTGAAATATAATTGTTCATTATGTTTCTTAATGAATGAAACAAAGGTGCAACCAAATTAAACATCAATACTACACAAATACATTGTAATTCCATTGTAACATATTTTTTTTATTTCTGCATTAAAAAAAAATATATTGCAATTATGTGTCATGACACTCTGCAGACTGATTGTTGAAAAAAATCATATCATACAAAATCAAATTAATCTTCATAACTTTATATCAAATTCATTTTGAAAATAAAGAGCTGGTCATCCAGTAATGAAGTGCTTTGACAGACAATAAATTAGAATTAAGAGAATAAGAGAAGAGAGATCTTTAATTCTTGTGCCAAAACACATGGTTGATAAGAAATGCCTTAAGAACTTCCCACACCAAACTCATTAATTTATCTTTAACTGGTTGCATGTCCAGTCATTATTCACAAGAGACAAATGAAATTACATTATCTTCTGTGCAATGTAAAAACTGTTTTTAACTCTTGATGATGGTTCTTTTTTTTTAGTTTTAATGAGTAGTTTTAAGTTGTACTTCACATTTTTGTACAGATATTCTAGATTCTTTGTCTAAAACCTTATACATGAGCCCAAAATAAACAAGTCTATTAAAATAAACCAGAAGTCTCTGTCGAGACTGAAGCTCTACTGGTTTGAACTTATAGCAAAGGAAGAGAAGAGTATTTATGAAACTTTACAACAGCAATATATAGAATAATGATGTTGATAAAGTCTCTTTATGTTCAGTGTATTCTTGTGTGCCAAGTTATATTGAAATCAGACAAAACTGTAGGAGGAAGCATTTTGAAACAATTTTACAGATATTTCTATTTTTAGTAACCACGGCAACAATGAAATCAAAAACCGATACACAGAATTATGTATCTTAGTGTATTCTACTTGTGTGCCAAGTTATACTGAAATCAGACCAAACTGTAGGAGGAGTAGCATTTTGAAAGAATTTCACAGAAATTTCTATTTTTAGTAACCATTTTTATCTTAGTGTATTCTACTTGTGTGCCAAGTTATACTGAAAACAGACTAAAACTGTAGGAGGAGTAACATTTTGAAAGAATTTCACAGAAATTTCTATTTTTAGTAACCACGGCAACACCGTTCATCGAAATCAAAAACCGATACACAGAATTATGTATCTTAGTGTAGTCTACTTGTGTGCCAAGTTATTGAAATCAGACTAAAACTGTAGGAGGAGTAGCATTTTGAAAGAATTTCAAAGAAATTTCTAACCACGGCAACACCGTTCATCGAAATCAAAAACCGATACACAGAATTATGTATCTTAGTGTAGTCTACTTGTGTGCCAAGTTATATTGAAATTAAACCAAAACTGTAAGGAGTAGCAAAAAATTGTTTAAAACATTACTATCGCATAAAAATGCTAAAAATAAAACCTGTAAAATGCAGAAAAATGAACAAATAAAGTTGAAAATTCCAGGTGCACATCTTCATATGGTGAATAATAAGTGTACAAATTTTCAGATAAATCCTTGCAATAGTTTATGAGAAACAGTCTGCACAAAACCACAAAATAAAAATGAAAAAACACATGTAATTCAAAATAATCATCCAATCAAGATGAAAATATCAGGTGCACACCTTCATATGGTGAATAATATGTGTACAAATTTCCAGACAAATCCTTCCAATAGTTTCTGGGTAATGGTCCGGACAAAATCTCGTCTACAGACAGACGGACAGACGGACATGGTGATTCCAATATACCCTCCCTAAACTTTGTTTGCGGGGGATATAATGAATGCATGAATCAAGGAATTCTAATACAGTGATGAAACACTACCTGTACTTATCTTGTTCGAAGACGGGTTTTTCATTGACGTCGTTCACCGTAATGGATACCGTTGCAGTGGACTCTTTCTGCCCGTCAGACGCCCGTACAAGTAACTTGTATGACGACACAACTTCAGCGTCCAATGTCTGACTGAGAATAATTTGTCCGCTCACTGATCCTAGGTTAAATTTTGTCTGTGGTGTCACGAAGCTGTACGCCACCCTGTCTCTGTCGCCGTCGGTGGCCGTGACGGTGGTAATGTTAACTCCAGGTTGGGAGGTTTCATCAAGGGTTTCATAGTATACATCTCATAAATAAAATAGGTCAAGTTTTAAATTATAGAATCTCTCTCTCTCTCTCTCTCTCTCTCTCTCTCTCTCTCTCTCTCTCTCTCTCTCTCTCTCTCTCTCTGATTTACACAAAAGTGCAATTAAATCACGCCATGTATTTTAAATTAATTTCCATAATGGAAATATTACGCTATATGTAAGTTGGTGAGAGTGCAGCTTTACCTGGGTTAGTGAATGTGGGAGTGTGTTCGTTAACATTAGTGACGTCAATAATAAAAGTTATTATCACCGGGGTTGTCCCGCCGTCTATCACAGAAATCTGAAGTTCGTAAAAGGATTGGGTCTCAAAGTCCAGGGGTTCTAATAAAATAATTAAAATGTATGAAGGGAATTTGCCTCAAAGTACGGGGTTCTAATAATATAAAAGAAATTAAATGTTTGAAATGAATTTGTCTCAAAGTTCTAAAAGATAAAAGAAATTAAAGAATGTAAAATAGTAACGGAATGGTAGAAATGTTTAATATAATATCTTTGTTCAAAGTAACTGCATTCTATCAAACTCTACAATTTAAAAAAAAAATTGAATGTTTTCTTTAAATTATCTATGCTTCTGATTGTACAAAATTCAATTATTATTAGCATTAGGCAATATTGCAAACCATAAACAGATCACCCTGGACTGATAATGCAAAATCTTAATATTCATATGAAAATACCTTTCAAAAGAAATAATTCAAGATTATTGTCACTTACCTTACACTTACAGTACTCTGACTTAACTCTATCACAAAATCAGATATATCCTTCTTAGAATAGAAACCGTCACATTAGAATGTAAATGTAACCTGTAAATAACTCACCCTTACCTTTAAGAAGGACCGTCCTAGATGATGAGAGTGTAAATTTGGATCCTGGAGGATTTTCCGCTATCATAAACGACAGAGAGTCACCGTCCGCATCTGTACACTGCACGTCAGTAGAAATAGCGCTGGTCGGGTCTGTCAAGGTCATCAAAATAAAACAATATGTTCCATATTTCAGTTATCAAATACAGTAAAGCTTTCTAATTTTGTTATTTTTTATTTATTAAATGATAATATCTCAAGCTATTTTGCAATTGCTTCAAAACTATGTAATTTCTTGAAATTTTTTTTTCTTGGCGCAGAGAAGTTACCAAATGTGCATAATTTGTTTAGAACAGAAATACAGACTGAGTATATTCATTCAATACTGTTGTCTTATAATTAGTTTTATGTTTTCTTGACCCTTAAAAATATTCGTCATTCTAATCTTAGTTAAATAACTCATTGATCTTAAATATAATTGATCCATATCATGAAAATCTTTTCGAAGTTTTATGTCTATAATCATGATAATTGAACCTTAAATCCATATTAAAAATTCTAGTCTAAGTTTGATGTCTAATTGAATCTCAAATCCATATTAAAATTTCTTGTACTTTTCCGATGTCTAATTGAATCAAAAATCCATATTAACAATTCTTGCTTCGGTATGTCTTATGTCTGATGTCTTATTGATCCTTAAATCCATGTTAAAAGTTCTTGTCTAAGTTTGATGTCTATCCATAAATCCATACTGAATTGGTTATAGGCTAACGAACCTGTATCCTCGGCAACATTGTACGCCTCGGAATAAGTTGTACATGTAGGTGCGTTGTCATTTTCATTAATAACATTCACTGTTACTGTCCCTGTGCCCTGAAGGATTCAAAACCCATACCGTGAAATAGCATACGCAACATAAGACCGAAAATAAAAAAAATCTACTGGAAATATTACATTAATTTCATTTATAATATAGAAACATATCAGATTTTAATATACACTTTTTTTTCGAGCTTGAACATTGTTCGTTATATATTTCATTCCTCCAGTTGAAAAAAAAATACAAAAATGTTCAGTATCTCTGTAGCTTGATTTACTTTTAACTTTTTTTTTTAAACGAAAAACAGTATTTTATCATGCGTTGTAATTTCAGGGAGCTTACTTTTAGTCCGCCTCCGTCTTTTGCCACTACACGTAACATGTACTTTGTGACGGTCTCGAAATCAAGTGGCTTTGCAAGCTTTATTCTTCCTGAAGTCTCCTCGATTAAAAAATTGTCCTCCCCGCCGTTTGTAACTTAACATATAACCCAATATTAATCAGCAATTTTCATTGTCTATCCATATTCAAAGAAAGGTTTTCAAATTTATTCAAGTTATAGCATCATTATTGTGCAAGAATTATGGAATCATCATCTTTTTTGTTAATCTATTGTGTATTTCAAATACGAGGAGAGAAAACATCATACCCGATTCTATTTCATAAGACACAATGCCGTATGGTTCCTTATCGGGATCTTCTGCAGTGTATATTATAATTTCTGTCCCAATCATCTCACTCTCGCGTACATAAACTGTAGGTTGACTCATGAACTCTGGACCTTTAGTGTTGTTTTTTGTGACGTACACACGTAACCAGGCATCGGTTGACCTTGACCCGTCCGAAACCCTAATCGTCAGCAGGTAATTCAAGTTCTTCTGGCTTGCATCAAGATCTAAGAGATTAAGTTTTACTTCAGTCAATATTAAATAATACTGTCTTTATACAATTTTCAGCGGAGAAATGGTAATTTATACATTTAATATATATTTCGCAAGTTCTAGTGGATGATAATTACCATGTCCGCAAAAACAAGCTATCATCATGTCAAATACAGACATTCTTAATAATAATTGTAGGCCATTATTTGAATTGTCGACGAATTTGTCCGTTGTTTTCCTATTATAATAGGGAGCACACGACGGGTGTGACCGGTCGGTTTGAGATGGACACTCCTCCATGGCACCTGATCCCACCTTTGATGTTTTAGAGGACTGTGTCTATTCTGCTCCTAATTTGTATCGTTTGAATGGACTTTTTAACTTGAATGTTGTGCGTTATTTTGATACATGCAGAAAAGAAGCCAACTATAATCGCTATTTAAACAAATGCCATGATGTCGTATAATTATATTAGTTTGCATAAAGAACATTCCTATCAAAATTGACTGAAACATGGTATCTTGACAGACAATAATCAAAGTACTCAGAAGTACAGAGAGCCGGGCTCATTTACAGAGTAGAATGGATTTCTTACATGAATCACGTTTATATTCTGATGAAAAAATTATTTTAAAACTATCAATGTAAATGATAAGACACTGACAGTGAGTTTTTTCCTAATACCAATCCGATTTTGTATAGAATTAATCTGGTACCGCAGCTGAATGTAAACAAACAGGCCAGTCTGTTCCCTCTCCTGCTTTACCTCGTATGTGTCGAGAACTACGGTAACACTGATTATCAAAAATCCTTACGCTAATGAACTATGTTCTTTGACTTATGAAGTTTTCAAAGTCTTAACTACTAATGTTTACTTTATATCGATAAAACTTCGTTTTATTTTTGTTGCTTTATTTAGCGTTTGTATTATCTCAAAAGCGGTTGAGTTAAGAACTATAATTTTATCTCTCTCTCTCTCTCTCTCTCTCTCTCTCTCTCTCTCTCTCTCTCTCTCTCTCTCTCTCTCTCTCTCTCTCTCTTAAGCAATCAAATTTTTATGAATATCTTTATTCATACCTTTCACAAGCTCAATGTTTGGTGGTGTTTTAATGGTGAATTTCCCAGAGATATCTCCGCTGTCTATCGTGTATGTTAAAGGGTCTCTGTCGGCGTCAGAACAGGTTAATGTGTGTATCTAGAATTAATTATAAAAATATATACTGAAGTGGTAAGAGGCACACCTTTTGATATTCCATCAGGTAATAATGTACGTGCAGTGTATCTAGAAATCAATTATAAAAAAGATATACTATACTGGCCCCCCACTTTTTTCCCCAACATTACCTTTACTATAGAAAATGTCTATTGAAAAGAGCCCCCCCACTTTTTACCACAGTATATACATAGCAAGAAAGTATGGGGAAAAATTGGAAGGGAAAGGAAGTTTGCCTTGAAAAAAGTTGGTCACAACCCCCCCCCCCCCCCCCCCCCCCCCCCCCCCCGAAATAGGATTTTCGAGTTTGGGTAATTTTCAATTTCCTTTTTTTTTTTTTTTTTTTTTTAGGTAAGTAAAAAAAATTTTCTCAGGTTGGCCCCCCCACTTTCAAAAACGATGCTACGTGCCTGATACTGAAGTGATAAGAGGTATACCTTTTGATATTCCATCAATGTGCGTGCATATAGAGAAGATATTTTGCAAAAACAAAACATTGAATTCGGCAACAACATCATGTTTCTATAACATATTTATCGACTTGCAATTATCAAACGCAACAAAGAATCATTAAGTGTAAAATCATGTTTTATTTCATATGAACCCCTCCCCCGAATGAATATGATGACCATGATTTGTTTTCAAACTTTTTCAAAAATATACCGTGACTCCTTCTTTAGCCAGGGTGTCATCCATGGTCACGTGGTAGACTTGTGGGGTACATTTAGGGTCGTTGTCATTTACAGGGGTAACACTTATGGCGACATCTGCGATGACTGACCTCTCTCCGTCAGACAGACTGACATTCAGGGTATAGTTTTCCTTCGTCTCGTAGTCCAGTGAATTGTTTATGAAGATTCTTCCACTCTCAGGGTTAATATCGAATTTATTGTCATCATTACCTCCTGTCAAAATACACAACATATGTTAAATGCTAGTATAAAATTATGTCTGAGTAAACAAAACATATCTAAAGATAAAATACGAGGGTTGTTCGAAAAGTTCGTGGACGATGTCAATCTTCGTTATGTTACTCACTAGAAATTTAAACTAAGTACAATAATATGTAAAAGTATTTGTTTTGTTGATGTGTGAAGTTTCATACGATTCGATTTAACAGAAATCAAATTACTTCATTTTAAAATCATGTTTTGTATCTGCGGAGCACACTTAACGGCAATGTAACGTCAAAATATAGCGTCAAGAATTTCTAAGAATACTACCCCATACATTTCACACAGTAATCCAATACCCATCATTGAATCCTTGTTCTAATACTTGACATTAATTTTTTTTAAGAATTACTCACGTTGTATAGTTTCCGTTGTTAATGTTTTAATTTATTTTATTACTTAACTCTGCTTTCACAGGATGCGCAACTCTGAAGCCTTTCCTTGAAGTTCCAACTTTTTAACGTTTTTGTTAAGATTTTTACAGTTAAATCGTAGCTTCACAGATTGTTTTCATCCGATACAGAGTCTCTGTAACTGAAATACTGCCTGTACTATAGGGCTGGGACGATACAACTTTTTCTATATCGATACGTATCACGATATTTGAGCCACGATACGATATGTATCACGATATGTTTAACTGCTTATAAAAATTTTTTTTGCATTGAAATAAACAAATTATTTCTTTGCAAATGAGAATATTTTATTCAAAATAGTTGTTTATATGTTGTAAAATAAAAATATTTTACTCAAGTGGTGTTAATTATTATTTATTTCGTTGTACTATTTGTACATACATGCACAACTCGCTTGTGACATATTTTCTTGATTCCTCCAACATTTTTAGAGTTTATTCAGGGATTTTCCTGAGTAAAACACCAAACTGCATCGTTATCTGCTGCTCCGTGACGTTCTGAAACGTCATCGTTTTTGTCGTTTTCAATTAAGACTACCTATCTTCTCAAGTTGATTTCTTTTCAACAAAGCAAAATATTATTTGGTGTATGAATCGATGTAACAATTCTTAATTTGGATTTCTAGGTTGTTTTTCGTTTTTGTTCCATTTTACAGAGAATACGACTACGACTACAGACATTATATATTGCATTGTCTGTGATTTACTAAATTTTGACTTGCTCCGCGATCCGATTTTTGCATTTTTAAAATCTGGATAAGTTTTCAATAAATCGTAATGTTTTGGGAAAAAATTAATACAAATCATTTGGATTTATTGTAAAAATATTTCAACCAAATTTGGATAACATATGACGTCAAATAAAAAAAGATATGACAGTTGTCCACGAACTTTTCGAACAACCCTCGTATATGTCAACAAGAGGCCCATGGGCCTTATAGGTCACCTGAGCATTATGCAACAACTTTCCAGTGATTGAATTTGATTCATGTTTTAAGCCAGATCTATGGCATTCACAATTTTGAAAGAGGCACCACTGATCATCATAACTACATGTATACACTTAGCAGTTGCTTGGTTTAGTTACTTAATACCCATAGGCAAGGTACGGGAACAAAAAATGCATTTCAACTAATCAGTAATATTCAGCAATAATCAGTAGTGCCCCTACCACACATGAACCCCTGACCCTTAGGCCTAGATCCACACATTGCACAATTTTTGAAAAGGCATCCTTGCTTTTCAAAAATATTTGATTAATACCAAGAAGCAGATTTCAAACAATTCATTCACTTTCAGTACATAAGTACAGCCCCCCCCCCCCCCCCCCACCTCTATGGTACCCCTGACCCTGGGGCCTTGAAATTCACAATTCTGGAAGATTATGGCCCTTGCTCATCATAACTATATAGGTAGTTCGTCTGCTTAATACCCAGGATCAGAGAAGAAAATTTTCAAAGATTTAATGTATTTTCACTATATAATCAATAGAGCCCCGTCCTAAAACCAGAACCCCTGACCCTGGGGCCATAAAATTCCCAATTTTGGAAGAGGCATTCTTGCTCATCATAACTATGTACTTAGTTTATTTAATACCTAGGAGCAGAGAAGAAGACTTTCAAAGAATTCATGTATTTTTACTATATAATCAATAGAGCCCCGTCCTAACACCAGAACCCCTGACCCTGGGGCCATAAAATTCACAATTTTGGTAGAGGCACTCTTGCTTATCATAACTATGCACTTAGTAGTCTATTTAATACCCAGGAGCAGAGAAGAAGATTTTCAAAGAATTCATGTATTTTCACTATATAATCAATAGATCCCTCCCTAACACCAGAACCCCTGACCCTGGGGTCATAAAATTCACAATTTTGGTAGAGGCACTCTTGCTCATCATAACTATGTACTTAGTTAGTTTATTTGATACCTAGGAGCAGAGAAGAAGATTTTCAAAGGATTCATGTATTTTCACTCTATAATCAATAGAGCCCCGCCCTAACACCAGAATCCCTGACCCTGGGGCCATGAAATTCACAATTTGAGATGAAGCAATCTTGCTCATCACAACTATGTACTTAGTCTATTTAATACCCAGGAGCAGAGAAGAAGATTTTCAAAGAAATAATGCATTTTCACTATATACTTATTTAGCCCCGCCCTAGCACTAGAACCCCTGACCCCAGGGCCATGAATTTCACAATTTTGGTAGAGGACTCAATGCTGATTACAATCATGCAAACAGTTTGACTGCTTGATGTCCAGGAGTAAAGAAGAATATTTTTAAAGATTGCATTAATTTTAGTGGTTTTGCCCCCCCCCCCTCAGGCCCCAGGGGGGCAGGGATCATGAAATTCACAAATTTTGTTCCTCTTTACCCATAGATGCTTTGTGCCAAATCTGGTTGAAATTGGTTCAGTGGTTGCAGAGACGAAGCTGAAAATGTTCAAATGTTAACGCACGACGCACGACGACGGACGAAAACGGATAGCAATAGGTCACCTGAGTTTACTCAGGTGACCTAAAAATACAATATTTTTAACAATATATCAAATAGTTTCTATATTTTATTGTTCTTTGAGCTTGTAATTCACATTTCACAGAAAGCATTATAAACGAACATATTTCATAGATTTCATGCAAAATATTCTTTAAAAAGGAACTAGGTTTTGACATGAAAGCTTAATTAAAATAATGTTATTTACACATTTATAACATGTCCTTACCTACGATCATAAACGATAATTCTCCGCCTGTTCCAAGATCTTTGTCTGTTCCGGTCAATTTTATTACCTGCGTACCTACTGCAGCGTCCTCACCAACCTTAAAAGAAAGTAGTGAGTTAAAATGTTGTAAAATAAATTTCTTGTTTGATGTGACCTTTGGTCAACATTATATCTTTACGAGTATAATATCTTTAACTTTCAATCTAAACAAACAAAATTAGTAATATTTTTTATTGATTTGTATTGAAATCTTCAAATCATACGCGACAAAAACTTATGAAACTTACCTGTCAGGCGTATCTTCGCAAACTTCGCAAACCTGTTGCTCATTTTAAAAAAAGATATTTGTCCAACCGCAAATTTCTCCTTTGGCGAATGCAAGATGACGCCAAAATTAGCACATTGAGACATATAAATTTCATTTACTAAGGTGTTGATTTCATAGTACTCTCAAAACACCTAAAATAACACTTAATGAAATTAAACTTCAATATGGAAGTTTTTAAAAACATAAAGTAATACTACAATGACATACCGATGCTCTAAAGGGCATTCCAATGAATTCTGGGTCATGTTCGTTTTTGGAATCAATGTGCACAAACACAGTTGCCTCAGCCGTTTTCAGAGAGTTAACTGAATCATTTCCACGAATTATCAGTGTGTACACAAAGTCTTTGCTTATCGTTTCTACTGCCTCGTAATCAGTCGGAATATTTGTTGTTTTCAGGTCGCTATTATCAATTTTAAATTTCTCGGATCCAAAATCATCGCCATCAATCTTTGTACGTATAGGGCAGGGAGATCCAACTGGAGTGGTACAATTGAGAGAAGTCACCAGGTCATCTGAAATATCAAATATACAAAATTACATATCATATAATTAAAAAATGTTAGGGAGATCGATCTCTTCTCGATGGTGTAGAAATTTAAGATCATGGGCTTTATCTTGTAATTAAAACTATTAGAGGGGTCTTTGTACTCTAATATTCATAAGAATTTTCTTATATTCCTGTGCAATAACGATTTTTTGTCTTTCTTCGATCTACAACCTTTTACGATTTGAAATTCTTTGCCTTTACAAAGGGAGAGAGTGTTTTTCCTCTTTTTTTTGACAAGTTATTGAGGGTTTAAAAAACGTTTAAGAGTATTTGTAGAACTTAATTAGAACACTTTTTCAGTCTTATTGCATGAAAGGGGAAATTTGTTCATTTAGTTTGCCATATACTAATATGAAAATATATTACGCCAAAACTCCCTTATATCTGAGCTGTAAGCTGAATTGTCCTTTTTTTCTTCTCTTTTCCTTTTCTTGTTCTTTATTTGCAACTTTCCTCCAAATCCAATAAAGAACTGCCTTATTTTTTTTTACATTATACATGTAAATCCAGACATTGAAATATATTAACGAAAGAATTCAGCTTACCTGTTCTTCCTTCCTCAACAGTGACAACAATCACATCTGGTGAAAAGATGGGAACACTTGCTCCAGCACTTAATCCTGTAGAGTAATTAGACAGAATATTAATAAGAATTCGTCGATTTATGTACGACAGAGACAAGTTTTTAATATTTGCTGCTAACACGATATTTGTTGCCAAGTCGTGTTGTAAGTTTTGAATAAACAGGGTGAAAGTAAATGCAAAATTTAGAGCATGACAGCCACCTAGATCCTGACAATTCTTTATTCTCTTTACAAGTTCCACTGAACATGAGAGTTAAATTTGTATACAGTGAAGCAATTATATTTTTACAACTATGACAAATCTAAATACGGCTCAAAGTATGTTTGATATTATATGCTTTTGTGAAATTATTTCATGTACATGTATTTTGGAAATACTGTAAAACGCAATTTATGAAATGTTTTGTTTTGAACATGTTATTGACAATATGTCAAAGGGATTGGACAAAAGTTCCAAAAACTTAGATAGTCCTCTCCCACTATTAAATGTTGCCATAACTTTGCAATTATGACAAACGAATATGTTTAGGGAAATGTATATACAAAACTTACTTTGAAGTAATAATGTATTTTGATAAATTGAAATTCAAATATAAGATTACTTACCCAAAAAATGTCAGTTTCACATCCTAACTTTTAATATTTTAAAAACTCGCTATAACAGACTAAGGGATACAAAATGAATTCCCTTTTACCTCTTAATTTAATATACCAGCGTCCGTTCTACGTGTTACCATAAAATATTTTATAAGGACTATTAAAAAAATCTCCGGATCCCGAAAATCTTTTCCGTTAATTCTCTATTCCTATGTTCGCTTTTGAAAAATATATAAACAATTGTTTTCTTTATAAAAAAAAAAAAGAAGCAAGTTTTCTTATAAACTATATCATCTGAAGTGTAAAATGTTTTTTCAGAATACTAAATATGTTTTTAGGTTTAAACCTTATCTTAATGAAAGATGGAATCGTTTAACATTTTTAAATTTATAATTATATGTTTTATAGGTTATATGTTTTAAAGCGGCTACAAAAGCTGATTTTACATACCTGGAAGAATCAATCCAAGACTTAATAAAAAGAACAGACACAATGTCATTTGGACAAAGTAATATTCCCCACTCATGTGACAATGCACACTGTTTCTCTACATTGTTTACTTCATTTAAATCTAAATGTTTTTAGCGTGAAATAAAACAAATTCAGAATATTTTATTCCATACAGGGGACTAGATTTTACGATAAAGTTATGATTTAAATTTTAAAATAAAAAGGAACGATACATTATGACGCTCCCATGTCATCGTAAATACGATTTACCTAAAATTGTTAAAGTACTAAGGCTTATTGAATTTAGTTTCTTGCTCCTTTTTCATTTTGTTCATTAAAAGAATTACCGGTAAAGGATTATACCTTCTAGTGTACAGTTAATTCTGTAAGTATGTCACAGTAAATATGTGTACTCAGGAATGTCATGTAGTTTCTAAGCCGTTCAGTAAATACATGTATTTACTGACTGTTTTAGTAAATACAATTTGCACATGTAATCACTGAAAGGGTGAGGAATTACATGTATTGACTGAAAATTTTAGAGAGTTTTACACGTTTTTACTGATCCTATGTTGTATTATTAACATCTTGATCAAAACAACACGACTTCATATATAAAAGTATTCAAAAATATAATTTAGTATGCAAATAGAATAAAATATATGGAGATACATTTTAAAATCATCTCTTACATTTTATATAAAAAGAAAGGTATGTGTTAAAAAAAATGTTTACATATTTTGACAAGACAAACTGATGTGGCACTTAAAGTTACAAAGTAAATTTGCTTTTAGACAATTCATATGTTTGATGCAGACACTTTCACATGTACATTTCATGGAGTCTTGTCCATCCCAAAAAACTGTAGCCAAACAACTTCCCTAACACTAAATTAATTTCATTTTCGGTATTAATGTCACCAGCCATTAAAACATGCACTGATGATGGTAAAAACTAATGCCCCATGAAGAATACCAAGTTTTGTGCCCAGTTTGAACTGTTCATTAGACTCGTCCACTTCTAAGATGAGACAAAAAAAAATTCCGGGGTCTCCACGTCCTCTGTCTACAAGTGGGATGGCTATTGTAACTATTGTTCTATTACTATTGTTACATTATCATGCACCGAAACGGGATGAAAATTCTGATTACATATTTGAAGCACTGGCATGGCTCTCCCTTTGAATGTTCTGCGATCGACAACAAAGATTACAATTGTTCTGATTATTGTTATCTGTTTGAAAGAGACTGTGCAAACTGTGCACTCTCGTTTAAAGTCCAATGGAGACCCTTCTGTTGTTTCTGTAGGCTCTCTACTAAGGATCGGGGGTCTTCGTTGTGTTTGAGAGGATACTTGTATCTCTGGATTGTTGTTTTCAGATGATATGTTCAGTGGATCATGAACTTGCAGATCTTCCTCCTGTTGGAGAGATAGAAGAGGAGGACAATCCGATCTTTAGAGCACATCCAAACATTGCTTCATAGGGTGACCTTTTAATCCCAGAATGATCACGGCGATTTTTCTGAAACTGAACAAATTTAGTTCCAGTGGTCCGAAGTGTTGTATGATTATCTCTCATCCAGCTTAGGCCATTCCAAGGTTTTTCTCTGTTTAGCGTCCACCCATCTTTCAAAAACCTACCTACCTATTCGCAAAAAACACACAAGCCAAAACACAAAACACAGGCTTAAAATTTTATTATAAAAATGATGTTCTTCAAATGATTTGATCTAACTAAACTGCTTTAATAGAAGAAATATCTATTCTTAAATTAATCAATTTTAGGACTCCTGATGGGGTTTCAAAAACCAAGGCGCACGCGGACGCTAAACATAGAAAAAAAACTTGGAATGGCCTTACCAACATGTCATTAACATCATCAATTGATCTTTCCATACTACCCTGAGATTGCGGATCGATGGCGTGGTTTTCCATGAACAATAACTAATTTTGGACATATTTCTGTCGACTCAAGTATAATATATGCAGGAAATTCTCGACCATTGTCACTTTGTAGAATATTTGTTGCACCATAAACAAAGAACACACTTGTTAGCAATTTGTAAGCAACTTCAGCTGCTCGTTTAGATGTTAAACTTTCAAGATGCATAATTTTGTCAAGTGATCCCGGTAATTCATAATAAACCTGTAACTACTATCTGATATACTCTGTATCTGAGGAAGATCAACCTGCCCTCTAGAATTGAAATCTTTCGACTTAAGGTTTCACAACCACTCCTATGCAAGAATTTTTTTCTCCGAAAGTGACGTTCATCACATTGACTTAAAAGATTTATAGCATTGAAAGTAATATTACTATATTTTCGACCAAGTTCCTTCATGATTCAGCGCATAATAAGATCTCTTGATAATGTCAAATGTTTCTTCAATGGAAACAAAGTAACGAATTGAATCTTCTTCAGATTTCCCTCTCTTTATTATCAATTTTTCAAGATCTCTAAGTTTTAGGACTCTAAATCCGTAATCAAGCCTGGAGACCATAAAATGAGAACAGACTTATGTCAAAATTTTGATTTTTAATTTCTAGAGTTCTGCTTGACGGATTTGCTTAAAAATTTGCAATTCTCTATAACACCTAAATTCAAATATTTGGTGTAAATTTTGTTTCATTATCAAACTTATTTCAAAAGCTATACTGGTTTTAAATATATTTTGACTTAAGTCTGTACTCAGTTTTTGGTCTTGGGGCTAGATGTAAGGACCAAAAAGTACAGTCAGGAGACAACTAAAAGAGGCTGGTCTTGATCTGGAGGCACATGTGGCGTTTAAAAAACCTTACTTACACCTGCTCATTGCAGGAAAAGGTTACAATTTGCATTAGTTGAAGCGAATTGGATTTGGGTTGACTGGTCAGTGGTACTTTGGACTGATGCATCATGATTCATGCTGTTTTAAAATGATGGTATATATGCTTGAGTTTTCATTTTGAAGCGGCTCCTTTGTCGAGTCTTGAAAATCACATTTTTGGGAATCAGAACTTCTGAACTGGGGTATCAGGAAACAAATTACGAAAATGATAATTATGATACTCATAATAACTGTACCTGCAATAAATGGAATTGCAATTCTTTTCCAATCGGTATCTAAAAGAAAAAAGAAAAGTCTCGTAAGTGAAAAATTTGCGAAAAAACTAGATAAGGCAATCAGTAGATTTGATAATGTTACAATATGTAATACACTTGGTTATCTTTCTTTTCCTTGTTACACGATGTACATCCATGCTCTGGCTTTAGAAAACGACTCCTCTGGTGACCCAGATGATACTATGATAACCATACTCATCCCATTAACTATTATGGAGGTCAATATGACAGTGGAAAAACCATGGCCCGGGATTGCTTGCTTTAAATCGGATGACAACATACCTGACCGCTGGAACAATTATAGTGTCTTTTTGTGGAGGGCATTGCATTTTAAGACCCGGAATATTATTCAAATTAGACCACGAATTGTTTCTTCAGTTTCCCTCGTTACAATAGCTAATCCTTGACATACAATGTCATTTGTCTCCGAGATAAACGTTGCAGATGTGGGATTCTACGTACATGTACCAAAACCAATTTTAGCAACATAAAAATAATGACCATTCACATGCACTGGATGTGACCAACCTTTTCCATTACCAATGTTAGTTAAAATAAATAAACTTTCCTTTCTCCAATTTTTCATAAAATGTGCATTTACATATTCTGTCAGTCCCACTATTAGCATTTGTGCAGTTTGAATTAAACCTTGAAAATTTGTACAAAACTGGTTCTTCTGGAAATTCAAACTCGTGTCCATTAACTGAACCCGGTGTATAACCACTATCCCAGGGAAACGCAAAATCGAAAAAAAACGAAAAATCTTTGAAAAATTTTGTATTTCCGCATGATTAGATCCCGGTTCGTTGCTGTAAACGTCATTAAAATTCAAGCAATACCTGAAGGATCCCGCGGGATAATACAAATAGGGACAATTAAATGTGTAGCAAGGTTTCTGTGATAAACAAGGTGTTGGAGTTGCCTTTAAAGGATACTTAAGTGGAGATCCTTTATATGGATGATTGCCTCAGCAGCATGATATTCGTTAATTAAGGGATCTAAAACTTCAACACTTTCGGCTATTAAAAGGTAACTGTCGGGTTCTCTCGATGTTCGTATAGTAAAATCAAATCGCTCTCCTGGATGAATGAACGATCTTTGCTTTCCCATCCCTTCAACAATTTCAAATCCATCAGATGCTCGTACAGTAAATTCTGGATAACCTTCAATGTATACATGAAAGGGATAGAGTTATGCTGCACTTATTAAACGAAATATGTAGGTTTTCATTTGCTCTTCTTTCAAGAAATACTTGTAAAGGTGATCCAATGTTTGTTGTAGATGTTCGGGTAAAATTAGCACCATCCACGGAAAATGTTGCTGAAATTAATTTTCGTGTACCCGGATCATAAACACCATTAAGCATGCGCTGATATAGACTTTCCAGATCATCATTATGATTCCAGTCCTGTAAAAGCATTGTGAATCCCACTTGGGGCTGTGAAAGAAATTTGTAAATTTCTGCACCATAGTCTTATGCTTCGCTGATTTCCAATATGAGCGTGGTAGAAATGGGTTCCATGGGGCTTCGCATTAAATCTATAAGTATAGTTTTGACCTGGAAGTATTGGACACTGTGTAACAAAAGCCACTCCATCAGATAAGGTTGTATTGAGTTGATATGCGTAGTATGACATGCCAGTGGATCGTTGTGGAATCTGTATGCATAAAATTTTGCACATGAACAATTATTTCCTGATTCTCATGAGCAACAATATAGATGGACCTGGAAACAAACCATTCACAGTTATTACCAATCGAGAACCAAAGCCATCTGCAGTAATAACGTGTTGTGTCCTGTTGGCTGGTAAAGGAAAGCTTCCACTTTCAACATCAATACAATAAAGATTGCTACTCTTGGCCACACTAGAACAAGGTTCGGTGTCTTCATCCTATGTTTTTGTGAGGAAGCATTCACAGGTCATAATCATTTCGCCAAAAGTCCCAGGTTCTGTGCATGCTGGCCCATCCATTGAACTATCTCACCAATTAAGTCCGTGTTACAGAAGGCTTGAATGCATGCAACACCAACACCAAAAGAGTCAAACTGTAAATGAAACTAAAATCATCTTACGATAAACCATCCTACATTTACATTCATACTGTAAACCAACTTCCGCTTCAAGTTCTATTCAATTTACTCGCGAGTATTAATCGACGCGAATCAATTCTTTTGATTTTTATTTGTAAAAAAATTTTCTCAGTTGCGAAAATTTATCATCGCTGATTGATTTCAAACTGTTGAATCGCGAAAATAATAATTGTTTTACAGTTTACAGCATTATAATTTATTCATATTATTCATATACACTGAAAAATAGACGCAAGAAGTAAAATACGGTCTGTTTATCATGAAACTATTTCGAATTTAGTAAATTTAAAAATTTTATGCATGATGTTTATCTAAACTGTACCGCTGTTTCTATTCATCTATGAAATGTCTCTTTAATTTTTTCTTTCTAAACATAAAATCAAAACGAATGCAATATCCCTTGTGTGCTGATAAAATAGATGAGAGTTTGACTTAAGCATGATGTCATACGTGTCTCAATTACAATATAGAAAATCTAATACCATTAATGTAAATATCTTTTTTATCATCAAAGTTGTACATCATTCCTTGTAAATAATAAGCTCCTCTTACAGCATTACTAACTTAAAATGTCTTTTGGGATTTGAATAACGTTCAAGATTTATAATTTTAACAAATTTTAATAATTTAATTTTAGTTGTAACACGTCATTTGATTTGGGTGAAAGATTTTATCCATTTTTCATATAACATAAGTTGCCTATGTCACAATGAGTTACATCAAAAATGTATTACTCTGCTTGACGTTACTTTTAAAATATGATCAATTTGAAGCTTTTTTCTGGAGGAAAAAATTATCACTGTCTACACTGAAATTAAATTATATAAGGAATGAAACTTATTTCAACTTATGTTATACGATATAACTTGGAGCAGTTTATGCTTTTTTATAAACCGCTTTGCGGTTTATAAAGCGTAAATTACCCCAAGTTATGTTATATCGTATAACATAAGTTGAAATAAGTTTCATTCCTTAAATAAAAGATAATCTTTTGTTTTCAAAACCTTAACATAGTTGAGAAAAAAATGCCATTTCTACTTTAAGAAAGTAAAGAAGAGCTTTTCAATATCAAATCCTCCATCTACAGTTCATCAAATATTATATTTGCTTTGAATCGGTGATCCAAACTAAATCATGAGAAATCTAAAATTGACATTCTTAGGCAAAAAAAATCAATCAATAGTTTCTCAGGCCAAAAAGTTCAAAATTCAATGCGGCAGGCAGATTTTTTTTTTTTTTTTTTTGGGTAGCAGGTTTTACATCTTTTTTAAGCCATTTGTTCAATAAAATGATAATATCTACTTATTCTTAATTTTTGGTCTCTGAAATTAGTTATAAAATGTATTCAACTTTAAATAATGTTATTCCAAACATTTAATTAAAGGTAAAACTATAAAATATTGTAAATTTAGAACAAATGTATTGTTTTTCTAATAAAAATAGCATTTATGAAAAGGGGAATAACTCATTTTATTTTCAACTTGGAAAAATAGAAAATTGAGTTAACAATATGTCAATAAAATTGATCGCAACACTGTTGAAACCATTTATTAATTTTTTTTGGCCTTAGTAAATGTAACATAATTCTTATTTCCTAAGGAGAATAAATCCAACAACACACTGTTGAGAAAAATAACAAGTGTACTGGAAACAAAGTTTAATGTCAAAAAGCAATATACCTGGTATATAACAAGAATGATTTGCAAAAAGTATCAACTTAATGATAGCACTTCTTGGTTGTGTGGTTTCCATAGCAACGGTCACATCAGGTCATGCCCTGCCTCGTTTTGAGGTTGATGAGTATGCCCCTCATAAAGAACACTTAACATGTGTTACAGACGATTACCATAGAATCCAGTGAAAATGTTTCCCTGCCGCTGAAAGCTCTAACGCCACACCCCATCACAAAATATCAATAATCACAGAACATTACATCTCATGCAATTATCAATTACAAAATGTTTGTATTTTATGCAACTGCATACATTACATACAAATATCAATGAAACTTATTTCAATATGTCAAAAATAATTTTACAAAAAGTAAAATCCACTCAATAACTCTTACAAAGAATAATATCTACTTAAATAAATACTTAACAATGCTGGAAAAAGTTAGTAGTCAATAAATTGATTCTAAATACATTGTATTTAGAAAATGGGGATATTTAACCAATAATTCCCTATACCTGAGAAACTCTACAAAGTAAAAAATATCCAAAGCAATGTATTGATCAAATAATTGACTAAATGTACTCATGAAATAATTGTGAGCATACACACATATATATATATATATGCATCATTAGATTTAGGAATGAATCAAAATTCATCAACAAATACAAATGATCAAGTTCTTCCCATAGTTAATTATTACAACTACATTAAATCATGATTTTCCTTCTCGAATAAAAAGATATATTTTTTCTAAACAAAATTGAGAAATTTACACCCTTCTTTCCATCTGATAAGCATTTGAATGTCTGTAAAATCATCAGTATATAAAACTTTGCCTGTCTGACTTTTAAAAGACCAAAATTAAACAACATACAAAATGCATTTTCATTTTTAGACTTAGCATCTGTTTTTCAATGGTAATTCTCCAAAGCTACATCCTTCTTGATTTAAAAAGATATGTGCAATTCATAAGTAGACTTGAGATGACATGATGGTGTGTTAGTGTCAAGAGAGTTTATCTAGAGTTTGGCCTGGGGGTGGGGGTTAGAGCTTGCTGGACCAGCGGCAGGGTTTAACCTCAGCAGCCCGACTGTTGAGTGTCCATCCCACTCCTCTTGGTCACATTCATGGTGGTGAAAGTCTAAAAATAGCACCCAAATGTTATGTCTAAAATTAAAACACAAATGTTATGTCTAAACACAACACACAACTGTTAATCCTAGAAGAGTTTATTTACAGTGAGTTAACCTTTTTTCTTTATGTACAAGACATATAAAACTTGTAGGGGAGTTATCCTTCCTGCGTATTTATCTGAACTCTCTAGTAAATAGGTATTCAGTGATATGTATTCACCACACAATACTACGTATCTGACACACAGTACTACGTGTGTGATAGAAGGATGAGCATTTTGAATTTTTTTAAGTTAAAGTCTCCTGTTCCAAAGGAAAATATCAGCAATCGCAGATCTGCTTGGACCAAGTGCATTAAATGAGGCTAACGAAAATGTTCGAGAACATTTGGTACAAAGTAGCGATTCGCCGAAATCAACTCCTACAAACACACAATGAGAGGAAAATATATTTCCTATTCTCCAAAACATCGTGCCGACATAGGAAAGTATGCTCTCGAAAACGGCCCTGCAGCTACAGTTCGGAAATTCAAAAATGACTTCCCAACACTAAACGAAAGCACCGTGCGCGGTATGAGGCAGAAATATGAGGATTCTAAGAGATCTAAAAAACGCAAACTGGACTTGGAAAGTGATGTTACAGAAATACATCCAAAGAAACGTGGTAGGCCATTCCTTGTCGGCAGTGATATAGATTCTAAGGTTAAAAAATACATTCATGTTTTACGGGAAAACGGAGCTGTAATAAACTCACAAATAGTATTAGCAGCGGTGAAAGGAATCATTAATGGCACAGATAAAACAATGCTAGCAGAGAATGGAGGGTCAATCGAGTTAACTAAAAACTGGGCAAAGTCAGTTCTAAATCGCATGAATTTTGTGAAACGGCGAGGTTCCACCGCATGCAAGAATGAAAAAGTAGAGAACTTTGAAGGTCTTAAAACAGAGTTTCTGGCACGGATTGAAAAAACAGTTACCGAGTATGATATCCCCTCGAACCTTATTATAAACTGGGACCATGCTGGTTTAAACATTGTACCAGTCTCTAATTGGACAATGGCTATGGAGGGATCCAAGCGCATTGAAATTTCAGGCTTGGGGGACAAACGACAGATTACCGCTGTTTTTGCTGGGACACTATCAGGTATGTTTTTTTTACGTCTATTTAAATTAATTACCTATTGATTAGTATCTACTGATCGAATCTAATTAGAAGTGTATATAATTTCAGGGGATTTCCTTCCACCACAAATTATTTACGCTGGTAAAACAGAAAAGTGCCACCCAAATTTCAAGTTCCCATCTGAATGGCATATCACGCATTCAGAAAATCATTGGGCCAATGCCGATACTCAAATGGATTATGTAAAAAATATCATATTACCGTACATTAGAAAAATTAAAAAAAGTGAAGGTCTACCATGGGGCCAGAAAAGTTTGTGTATTTTTGATGTCTTTCGCGCACAGATGGGTGAAAAGTTTCTTGAATACCTAGCGGAACACAATGTGAAAGTAGTATTCGTCCCAGCTTGCTGCACAGATCGTTTACAGCCACTTGATGTAAGCGTTCAAAAAGCGGTGAAGAATCATCTGCGGATGTCTTTCGAGAATTGGTATTCCGAGGAAATTGTGTCACAGCTAAACGAAGTTGAGGACAGTGAAACAGTTGTTAATCCCGTCGATTTGTCACTTACTAAACTTAAGCCTCTATCTGCCAAGTGGCTTGTACAAATGTTTCAACATATCAAGAATAAACCTGAAATCATTCGCAGTGGCTTTAGTGAGGCGGGGATTACAAACGCACTGAAAACCCATCTTGAAGATGAGCTACCCCTGGCTACACTTACTGAAAATTGATGCCACATTAAACCACTACTAATGATGCCAGGCTTGTTTGAGATTTGAAGTTGTTTGATATTAAATAAATATAGTTTCTTACATTGTGTTTTATTGCATGTCTAAGATAAAAAATAGATAGCGCACTCTCTTACAAAAGGAGGTAATATTCCAGGCGCACTCTCCTATTAAATGAGGTAAAAATCAGGTACTGTATGAAAGTTTAGAAAAATCTAGGTCCGCCAAAAAAAATTCCTCCAAAATTAATTGTATACCTTTGAACAGTCAAAACGCCAAATTTTACACCCGCTAAAAAAACCCACTATACGGTACATTTTACAAACTATTATAATACGAAACTGTTTCATTTTAATTTTCTAAGTACAACTCCTCACCTCAGCACAGGTAGGATGGATTCCAATCGTGGCATCAAAGTCTGACTTCTTAGCCCCTAGTCTCATCCCCACTGCGAATCCCTGGGTTACCTCCCCTGCGTTAGGCCCTAGTACATGGAAGCCAATTACCCTCTCCTGGAAACACACAATGAGAGTATAGATCACCATACATTATAAAAGGTAGAAAATATTGTATATATCCTATACTTGCTATTAAAATAAACATATGAGTAGATATTCCTTGTGAACTCTCATATAAATAATGCTCAAATTATGTGAAAGAAAAGACTAGACTTGAAACCTTTTCAGGAATGAGGCAGATGAGTTTAGCATAGCAGGAATTCTCTGGTCGTTTGGCCACGGTCCACTCCAGAGGCCAGAAGTTGGTGTGGTACACCTACAGTGAATATAGCAATACAGATCAACAATGCAAGTGTTAACTTAAGTAATACTTAATACAGCTATAATTTTTATACACCAAACATATACAAATTGATAGAAATCTGAATTTCATTTTTTAAAAATCCAATCCTTTCCTGATTACACCATGATTTTTTCTTCATAAAAAATATTAAAAATTTATATACTACGTAAATCAGCTTTCATTCCTGTGCAAGCAATGTCCTTGAGTTTTACTACTTTGTCTTCTGTTAATTTCTCTTGAAAAATTCATATTATTTTGTATTAATTTAGAATATTTCCTTGAGACTGAAAATTAATTACCATGAATATTTAAAACCGACAAAAATTGGCATAAATAATAACTGGTTTACAGTACACTGACCTAACATCTCTAAAACCAGAGATTCATTTTCCCTAAAAGTTTGCCACACATGAAGAAATGCTCAGATTTTTAGGAACGAAAAAATTCTTCATGTTGAATTACCTCCAGTTTGTCCTCTCCAAACTTTTTGATGGCGTCTTCCTCGGAGTAACCAATACAGCCGTATTCCAGCGGAGTGAAAACTGTGGTTGGCACGTTGATGTAATCAGTCTGTTTAGGAAGGAAAATAAAATTAACTGGAGTGACTGGTACTAGATTGACAGTGAAGAGGGTACAGTCAAACAGGTGTTATAAAGAATAAAATGAAAACACTGAATTTTTAAAAATTGTAATCTTGTATGTAGGAGCAGTACAAGAAACATATGTTTAAGTGACTGCCAGAAAATACAGCGTTTAAAGAAAACATCAAGTTAGATAAGTGATTAAAGTACAATATGCTGTTATAAAGAAGAATTTTAACTGGATCTTGAACTCGGTAAAAACATAAGAAAATTGTGTTGTGATTGTTTTTAACAACTCGTCATCTTCATTATTATTTATACTGCATTAGAACATACCCTTTCTTTACTGAGTCCATACAGCCTGTTAAATAGGAGTTTCCCGGCCAGTACATACTGTGTTAGAACTCACCCTTTCTTTACTGAGTCCATACAGCCTGTTAGATAGGAGTTTCCCGGCCTGTATATATTGTGTTAGATAGGAGTTTCCCAGCCTGTATATACTGTGTAAGAACTCACCCTTTCTTTGTTGAGTCCATACAGCCTGTTAGATAGGAGTTTCCCGGCCTGTATATACTGTGTTAGAACTCACCCTTTCTTTGTTGAGTCCATACAGCCTGTTAGATAGGAGTTTCCCGGCTTATATATATTGTGTTAGATAGGAGTTTCCCGGCCTGTATATACTGTGTTAGATAGGAGTTTCCCAGCCTGTATATACTGTGTTAGAACTCACCCTTTCTTTGTTGAGTCCATACAGCCTGTTAGATAGGAGTTCCCCAGCCTGTATATATTGTGTTAGATAGGAGTTTCCCAGCCTGTATATACTGTGTTAGGCCATGCAAAATTAATTCCTTGGTTCTCAGGCCTTTTTTCAAGAAATATGATGAGGGAGGGAGGCATTTTTTTTTTCTTTTTTACTGCCCCCAAAACATGATGAGGCAGCTTTTTACATTGTACAAAACCTCAAAAAATGATGAGGGAGGTGATTTGGTTTTTATATTTAATTGATTTAGCAATAAAAAGGGTCAATGAGGCACCCTTGGAAGAGATGAGGGAGGGGCTGAGAACCAAGAAATTAATTTTTTTTGGCCTTAGATAGTAGTTTCCCAGCCTGTATATATTGTGTTAGAACTCACCCTTTCTTTACCGAGTCCATACAGCCTGTTAGATAGGAGTTTCCTAGCCTGTATATACTGTGTTAGATAGGAGTTTCCAGGCCTGTATATACTTTGTTAGAACTCACCCTTTCTTTACCGAGTCTGTACAGCTTGTTAAATAGGAGTTTTCCGGCCTGTATATACTGTGTTAGAACTCACCCTTTCTTTACTGAGTCCATACAGCCTGTTAGATAGGAGTTTCCCGGCCTGTATAGCTACAGGGGTGAGTTCCGGTTTCCCCTCACAGATGTCCCCTATAGCATAGATATTGGATACATTCGTGTTCTCCTCTTCATCTACAGGGATAAATCCATTCCTACAAGATCAACATGACATCTCTTGTATTGTAAAAAAACCATTATATATAATCTTATACATGTAGCATGGCTTCTATTGGAGGACCCTTGTTTTTTCTTTACTTTTGTTATATTTTCAAGGATAAATTTAAAGGTTTGAACTTCACATTTTAATATAAAGCCATTCCAAATACTTTTAATGCTTAATGTCTGTGTGAATCCCTGCTTTGAACAAGCCAATGCAGTAAAAACACATACATACAAAAAAGTATTGAACACAGGTTTTAATTTTGTTTATTTCTTATATTGTTCAGACTTTGTTAATCTTACCAAAGAGTATTTATTTAAATCATTAATCTTTTTTCTGGGTCTCATTAGGTTTAATCTACCAAGATTTGATTGTAATTTGAAACCATATCTTTTATATTTCTGGAGTGGTAGAAAGGCATTTGAATGATAATATTAAAAGGGAGACAAAACTTGGGATGGTTTTGAACATTGTACACAATAAACTTTCTCACTTGTTTGTTTTAACCCCCACTTTGTCCAGACCAATGCTTGATGTACACGGGTCTCTTCCAATAGCAAATATCACCTGAAAACAGCAAAAAAAAAAATATTAAAAATCATTTCTTACTACATGTCTTAAACAAAAGGAGAATTAATTTGTATTGCATTTTTTTTTTTCATCAAGTCCTCTAAACAGAACTGAAATAAAATTTTTAGATCTTTTAGCACAAAATTTCCATGATTAAAATTGCTGCAGTGGATTGCTTACAGTGTTAAATTCATCAGTAAACTCCATTCCATCTTCATACTTCCCCGTCACTCTGTATTTTCCTGGCTTACCGTCCTCTAACTTCTCTATCTGTCAATTCAGAAACATAAACTGAGGCCAATTATAACACACTTAGGCATAAACAATGTAATATTAAAATGCAAGTTATTTGAGAAGTTCAAAATTCTTGCATGAATTACAAATAATTCATAATATTAATGCTTTATTTTCTCTGTTTTCAGTCATTTTAATACATTGAACAATATACATGTCTGATCCAGAGAGGTAAAATTGGGTCCCTATCCTAGACATGTACAATTCAATATAATGACTTAAAATATGCAAGAATTTTTTTGGGGAAGCAGTGCTCTCATGTCAGTTATGTAAAAATCAAGATCTCACAAAGAAAAAGATATTTATATACATCATTTGTGTATGAGTAGCCTGTGATACAGATATAAGCATGTCACTGCCTCCAGAAAGTCCAGACTGTGGATAAAGCTAACCTTGGTAGGCACACACGGCCTTATGAAGTTGATCCCTTCCTGTTCCATGTACTCTCCGATCTTCTCGGCCATCTGTTGGTCAAATCCTCGCAGCAGGATGGATCGCACCATTACAGTGACATTCAGCCCCAGGGCGTGGAGAAAGCCCCCACACTCCAGGGACACATAGGAAGCTCCCACCAGTAGTGTTTTCCCAGGACAGTAGGGCAAGGAAAACAGATCATCACTGAAAAATGGATGTTTATTTTGACCAAGTCTTAATAATGCCTTAGTTTTCAAGAAACATGGACATGCAAAATTAAAGAAATGAGACAGGATTCAGAAAACAATTTTGCTCAAAATTTAAAGTTATTGTAACAAACTAAATTTAATCCCTTAAGATACCCCTATTGCCTGAATGTAAATATTGTTCTTTATCCTGTGGGGAGCCTCTCGATTTGTAATTTTATCTACCTGAGAGTTTGCGTAGTACCCGGGAAGTCACAGCCGAGTTAAGACCTGTTTGGCTTGTTGTGTTGAAGTAGCCGGGGCGTGTACTCAAACTGCATCAGGTATTTGAAAATGCAATTTGTAAACTATGTTTTCTTGTTTGAGTCTACAAGTTTAGTATGATTGTTTTATTATATTTTTCCCCAGGGTCCTATATCCTCGGGCTTTCGTCCCATTTCGTAATTAACAGGTCTTGGGCGGGGTACTACAGCTATTACATTGACAATAGCCTGTCTGCAGTCCAGGGTGTGAGTGAGAGGCTTGCAATATGTAATGGTTTTGCAGTTACAGCGGCAAATGTGAGAGAGTGTACAACAGAGTACGGCAGCCCTGACGGACACCTCGGGACCAGCAATTAAAAGTTATGTGTTTATCTTGAATAACGAAATCACCTTTTTGAAATAATATCAACTCAAACCAAAGTTATCCAGACAGCATTGTGAAAGTTTATTATGTGTTATATGTGTTATTTGTGAAATTACATTCAATTTAATTTGTGAACGAAAAATACATTTACCAGAGGAAATTCCAAAAACAGAACTAAAATCTTTAGCAAGGGTGTTGTGTTTAATCTACTACGTTTTAAAGGACATTCTCCAGGACTGACGTGCTTCTGATAGACATTTCATTCCTATATTTTTTTAATAATTTTTGTTGTAAAAAATGTACTTTTGTTTTGTTTATTAAATTTTGTTAAAATTTCATTTGTTTTATTTTCTTCATTTATTCAAGTTCTTTAAGTGTATAACCCACATCTCAACAGTTATAAAGAAATATTTAATAATTTTCAGCATTCTATGCTTACATATAACATAACTTTGGACTTACCTAGTGATTCCGTATTCCTTGGCCCCTGGGATGTCAGGGTATCGGGGCCTCTCTCCCATAGCCAGGACAAAATGATTAGCTGTCTTCTTTATCTCCTGGCCTTTCTTATTCACAGCCTGCAACGCAGAGCACTTTCTTTCAGTAACTGTGTAATGTTTTAATCAGCAAGACTCTAAAGTAATTTTAAATACAGCACATATTGCACAATGATACACGTTACTGAAATGTTACTCAATAATGCATAACTATTTAATCATAAAAACACAATTATTCATTTTAGTCCAATGTACTCTTTAAAATAAGACACCCAGCTAGTGTGAATGAGTATAACACCATTATACGATACCTTGATTGTATGTTCGTCCACGAACTCAGCATAAGCGTTGTGGTAGTCTACCTTTTTGTCTCTCAGTTGAACCCTGTAACCCCAGTTTAGGGACCCAATGTAATCCTAGAACATGAATATCATGACTTTACAATTTTGGCACATATCACATAACAGATCTGGATTAAATATTGAATAAAGTTCTACTACATGGCATTATGGCTAAGACTTTAAAAGGATTCTCAATAGAAAGTAATTTTCTAATGATTATTTTTCCTACTTAAAATACATTTATTCAGCATACTCAGGGGGAAAAATGTGTCATAAAACTATTCACTTCTTTCAATTAAAAATATAGTTAATATTTTTAATGAATTCTGGCACTGGTTCAATTCCTGTTAACTCCTTAATCCTCTACATGCACTTTTCTTTCTGTTTACACTAATGAGACCTAAATCAATATTAACGTGGATTCAATGTATTGTGTAACAAGCTCTCCATCAGGTGTACACAGTCCTTTGACCTACCTGTATAGCATCCTTCATCGTTGTCCAATTATGTTTCACTGCAAAATAAAGTAGAGAATTCCCATTTAACATGTCATTTTTTTATTCTAATAACCATATGAGCCTCGTCGGATAGAAATCGACCTTATGTCAAAATTTATCGAATTAGATATTTTTGTGTTTTTTAATGGTCCATGTAAAACCATTACAAAAACTGAAAACGGAATCAAAATATCTTCATTTATAACAAAATTACATTTTGAAATTGATATGTTTGCAAAATTAACTCTGAGCATATATCGTGGTTTTTTCACGATTTAATTGTGACGTCATGGTTTATTCTCCGTTGTTCGGTAGAGCACCTGTCAACGCGTAGCAATCCAAGCAGTCATCATGTCTAAGTTAAAAGTATTGCTTTATAAATGACAAAAACAGATGATCACGATTTACAATCCTCAAAACTATGTTAACTGTATTTTAAATCCTTTAAAAAGCGAATACCCCCCCCATCTTTAATTTCTACTTTTCTGTCTTTCGTACAAATGGCTTTGTCTCTATGAACAACTGAACTTCCAATAAACAAAATATAGATCTACACTATGCTGCTTTTACGTTTGATATATTTTTATCAACAGAAAAAAATGAAGGGGCATCAATATGAATTTCAGAAATACAAAATTTATCATTTCTTTGTTACCTAGAGTATTAGAAATGCGTTGAGGGAAAGAAAAAGAAAAACACAAGCTATGTTGAATTACGATATAAAACCATGTGCCAGAACATTTTCTTTCTTTTACAATTCAATAAACTGCAAACGAATTAAATGTTAAAAAGAGAATTGATTACGTATAGACTGTATTGAGAATGTCTTAATAAATATTTTACTAGGAAATGCAGTTAAACCAATTTAAAAAAGAATAAATAATGCTATAAATTAGATAGTCGGATTCAACTTGGGTACGTAGGATTATAAAACAGATTAATATTAAGCCAGCGAGGTAGCATTATATACATGTATGCTGACGTAAGAACACCCCCCCCCCCCCCAAAAAAAATAAAATAAAACAAAACAAAACATAAACTCTCCTTTAGAGAAAAATAACGTGTATGAAGGCACGCTGCGTACGCATCGACAACATTCTGTTATCCCGTTCCTAACCAAGTCCAACACAACACTTATAAAAATATAGACATTTCATAATTATTTGTTTTATGATTTTGTAAATAAAAAAAATCAAATAAAAAAAAATGAGATTTATAATTAAGTTATCTGTTGTGGGTATCCACCCTCTCTTAAAAAAAAGAAGAGAATTGTCGAAGAATTTTATAATGTAGGGAACGTTTTGATGTTATAATTGAAAGTCTTAGTACAAAAGGAAACCATATTCCTGTTATTCACGAACAGGTGAAATCCTGCTCAAGATGATTTATGCAGAAAAGTTTGGTATTAACGGGGTTCAAAATAACATTATGCCGAATATTTAAGAACACCTTTCACAAAACTATTGTTGTTGTTTTCTTACATCCGACTTTAGAGTAATTATTTTGGTTTACAACTCTTTAAAATATTAATGACGTAGAAGGATATGTTTTACAAACCAGGCCCATCTTCTTACATTTTCGCCAGCCAAGTTAAAGAAATTTAAAAGTCATAGATAATCCATCGTCGGTATTTTTTATAAACTTTCAAAATAAGGAGTGAAATATTTAAGAAAATTTAACCTTAAATCTGGTAATGGAAGAGAGACAAAAGTTAAGATAGAGAAAAAAACCCATCTTTTTTAAGGAAATGATCCCCCGTGTTGAGCCTCTTTTTGCGTCAAAGGGAAGCAACTTGCACAATTTATCGTATCCAGTCACTTTGGACAATACGTGTTTCCGTTTGAGAATTACTGATATATGAAGAAATTGCCTTAAACAATACCAGTATTACTTGTTTCTTGACATCTCAGGGACTAATATTGTAGTTAGAAAAATGAGTTTTAAAAGTTGTTCAATCGTGGCCTTTGTACATTTTGTACTGAATCGATATGCCTAGCTGTTTGTTTTGTTTTGGTTGGTGGGTTAATTTCTGTTATAAATTTGAAAATACACGTAAATTCATTCAAAGACATGAAAACATTAAAGTATATCTAATATAAAATTGCGAATTTAATCGTGAATGAATGAATACACGTGCACAAGATTATAGTAAATGAAGTTCACACACTAGGCTATTACTGCATCAGTACATATGCGATTTTCTGTGACAGATTACGTCTCCTCTGGCTAAAATTTATACTCTAAACTACAATAAAAAATATATTCTGTACTTCCTCAGTAATGCACCATGCCATTTTTTCTTCGCTATATGTCTACCAACTTATTATTTATCTGCTGTTAGATATGGCCTGACGTCTTCTGCTATTTGAAAAACAAACAAGAGGCCCAGGGGCCACAGCGCTCACCTGAGCACATCGAGCTTGAATTTAACACACACACCCCCAGGCGTTCATCAACAAACTAGAATCTACACTATCTGAGGATGATTCCATATAAATAACACTAATCGTAGCTTTGAAGTACTTGAAAAGAAGATTTTAAAAGGTTTCCCTATATATCCCTATGTAAAACTTGGGTGGGCCATTTTGGCCCCATCCTAGCCCCAGGGGTCATGATTTGCACAAACTTGAATCTGCACTACCTAAGGATGATTCCACATGAATTTCATCTTTCCTGGCCCAGTGGTTCTGGAGAAGAAGATTTTTAAAAATGTTTTCCTATACTGGTATATTCCTATGTAAAACTTGGGTCGGCCATTTTGGCCCCACCCTTGCCCCGGGGTCATGATTTGAACAAACTTGAATCTACACTACCTGAGGATGATTCCACATGAATTTCATCTTTCCTGGCCCAGTGGTTCTTGAGAAGAAGATTTTTAAAGATTGTTCCAATATATTCCTATGTAAAACTTGGGTCGGCCATTTTGGCCCCACCCTAGCCCCGGGGGTCATCATTTAAACAAACTTGAATCTACACTACCTGAGGATGATTCCACATGAGTTTCATCTTTCCTGGCCCAGTGGTTCTTGAGAAGAAGATTTTTAAAGATTTTTCGTATATATTCCTACGTAAAACTTAGGTCGGCCATTTTGGCCCAACCTTGCCCCGGGGGTCATCATTTGAACAAATTTGAATCTACACTACCTGAGGATGATTTCACATGAGTTTCTTCTTTCCTGGCCCAGTGGTTCTGGAGAAGAAGATTTTTAAAGATTTTTCCTATATATTCCTATGTAAAACTTGGGTCGGCCATTTTGGCCCCACCCTTGCCCCGGGGGTTTTGATTTGAACAAACTTGAATCTACACTACCTGAGGATGATTCCACATGAGTTTCACTTTTCCTGGCCCAGTTGTTCTTGAGGAGAAGATTCTTAAAAAATGCTATTAATTTTTCTCTAATTCATAATTATCTCCCCTTGAAAAAGGGTATGGCCCTTCATTTGAACAAACTTGATTCCCCTTCACCCAAGGATACTTTGTCCCAAGTTTGGTTGAAATTGGCCCAGTGGTTCTTGAGAAGAAGATGAAAATGTGAAAAGTTAACGACGACAACGACGACGACAACGACAACGACTACGACAACGACAGACAACGGACAAATTTTGATCAGAAAAGCTCACTTGAGCCTTTGGCTCAGGTGAGCTAATAAGTGTAGATCGGACTCGGCATTCCTCTGGCTTGTGTTTACATTGATCCATGGTAACAATAAAAAAAATAAGGCTCTATAAAGGGTAATACATTTAAAATTTGTTTATTTTATTAGTACATGTTTAAAATGATCCGACTTTTTAAAGAAAAAATCTTTGAACTGCAGTTGACGATGTCTAAAAAATTCCTTAACGTGAAAACCATGTGTAGTAAAAATTCCGGGAAATCTTTCTCAACTTCATTCGCTTTTTTCTCATTATGACGTTACATACAATAAGGTCGATTTCTATCCGACGAGGCTCATATATTATACTGTAGAAAAATTGTAAAAGTTTCTACCAACAAAATAAAAATCACATGCTCTGACCATTTTCTGGGACTTCCCAACCAAAGTTCTTTGCATCTTGAAGTCCATGTCCTGAAAGAATTGAAGGAACTTTGATCAATATTTGAGGTCAATATAAGGCAAGAAAATGTAGGAGTAAATATCTTATTTACCTGTTGCCTAGAACCATACTATTCTAACAAACATAGATGCATTATACTGATTTTCCATTTTATCACAAATATGTTTTTTTATTGTACTGTTTTGAATCTTTCTCACTGAGCGAGAGTTTAAAATAGACACAGAATGAGATCAAGCATACACATTAGAAAAAGTTAAAATGGCAGATCTTTCCTTACCTAGTATAGCGGCCTGGTGCATCAGTTTCTTGGGGATACATCCAACATTGACACAAGTCCCACCCAAACCTACAAACAAACAGACAAGTTATAGATACAAGGTTAATTTTCACACCTGTTTTCAATGTACTAGGGTTTCAAATCTTTCCTGTAGATTTCTTGCACAAAATATCTTTTTTAAAATCTTTCTCTGCACAGCATTATGCAGAGTTCAGAGAATATATTGCTTTTAATTAAAATCTAATATCTTCCTCCATACCAAAACATATTAGTTGACATTATTATCAAAGTATCCAATTAACATGTGGTACTGGTCTTGCATGTACTTTTATGCATGTTTTCCATCTTGTGAAATTACATGTAAAATAAAACCTATTCCTGCCATTCATATAAAAAATAACCTCTGAAAGTAGCTTGAGCTATTTACTTGACCAATAACAGATTTTTACTTAAAACCATTTCTTTTCCATGGCATGGCAAATATATAATTGGTAGATAATGTTTATCCAGACTTCTACTTTCCTTACACACCCTTAGCCCCGACCCCCTTTAAATGACCCTTACCCCATGTTGTTCCTATGGGTGTAGGTTTGACAAAATCAAAAACAGCCACCTTCTTTCCCAGTCCTGCTGCTTCCTACAACAGATTACAATAATTAGCAGGATGTCTCCTACCCACCACAACTATGATTATAATAATTAGTACCACTGAATTACAGACTAAAATATGTCTCCTGCAGCAAACATTATTATAGTAACAAGTTATGAAAAAAAATACTGGCTTGCAAGAATTGTATTTCGTGATTCAAGAAGTGCAGAGTTGATAAACAACAGAATTCTAGCATTTCATGTAGGACAGGGATGTTTGGATCTCTTCAAAACAATGAAAACTTAAATCTTACAAAAACAGTTACTAATGATTTCACAATATTAGCATTGATTAGCTATCGATAATAAAAAATAGAACAAAGAAATACTTCTGCAACTTAAAGCTGCACTTAATAATTTCATAGAACAAAGCAAGAGAAATTTTATCCTTTCTCCTGTATATTAACTCTGCACCTGGACAAAAATCAATACCTGGATATTGTATAAACATTACCTTGGAGGCTGCTAAACCCCCTGATCCACCACCGATAACGATTAGATCATAATCGAAGGAAGTGCCCATATTTAACATCTGCTGCAGTCTTCCTTCCTTGTGAGCCTTCAGTGTGTCATCGCATCCACCTAAAACATAAAATAGCACCATCTATTTAAACATACAAGTCAGTGTGTCATCGCACCCACCTAAAACATCTAAAATACATGTGCTGTCTTTATCAACATCGCATCCACCGTAAACATATAAAATACTGTCTATATAAACATACAAGTCAGGAAAAAAGTAAATAATGAATGCATAAAATAGGGTTCACCATGAAATGTACTGTTGAATCAGGCCTGTTTGGACCAATAGTTTGGAGTTTATATAGGTCCCCCTTTACTGTGCGAATTTACATCCCAAGGAACAGTAACTTTGACAACATATTGGTTCATCAAATTTTCTACATTTAATTTTGTTCCCCGGAATCTTTAAAATTTTATATTTAATTATGTTTTAGTTGACAACAAAATCCGACCACCACAAATTAAAAGGATATAACAGTATTTGACCCTGTGAAATTTCTAGAAATTGAATGCTGACAGATTGTGGTAAAATACTATTATATCTACTCTACGTTCCGGTATTTTAAATACAATACATGATGTAGGTATACCTTGTTAGTAAGCTCTTCTTAACCAGTTAACATTAATGAATTGCAATGCTTATACATGTACATGCCTTTCGCTACTGACTGATATAATTATCAAAATTTCCTTTTTCAAAGAAATCAATAAAATTAGATAACAATTAATTCTTACCACACATAAAACACATCATCATGACCAATTTTTCAGCAAAAAAACAAAATGAAAAATCCTGTCCATATCTCTCAATTTACGATATTAATCAACTAATATTCCATTCCAGCACACCGGTACAATCTCCTTGCTCATACATTTCCAGATAATCTGACAGAATATTGCATGAATCTTTTCAATCATAAACTCTTATTCCTAATACGTGAAACAATTTCCGACAGATAAAAAAACCAAGATTCATCTAAACGCTATAAGGACACAAGATGAAATTCATGAGACCTGTCCTCAAAGTCTAAGTGTATTTAATTATCAGCTAGGCAGGTATCAACACTTTCATCTTCATAGGTATGCAGGATATGATTAAATCTCAGCTCTTTTAATGAAGCAGTGTCCTTATGAAAAGTTCATAAGCAGACATAACAATACATCCTTAAATTAAGAGAACGTTGTTCATTTACTTCGAAAATATTTGAGTACATCTATGTACCTGAGTGTAATGAAATATTGGCCAGGAATATCACATGGGAAAATATGCATGAATAAAAAGATTTATCCCATGTTTACCCTTTATCCCATGGATATAGCTCATGTGATATCGTTTTCATATGCCACAGTTGTGACACCACAATTGGTTTTGCGTTAGCGTGATGAAGTAAAATATACTGTAAATCACATTTTATTCGCGAGAACTTTATTTTCGTGTAATTACGCGAGACAGTATGCTCACTAAAATTAAATTCTCGTGCATAATAGTATTCTTTAAGATTATATAGAGCAAAAACCAGAATTCATGAAGATTTTATCTCGCCAATCAAGAGTCAATGACTATCTCGCGAAAATAAGGTGTCGCGAAAATTTAGTGATCTACAGTAGCAGAGTCCCATATAAAAACAGTGTAAAACATCGGTTGTGAAGTATTAAACATGGGATAAAAAGAATCTCGCATGATTTGTAGCTGGATATGATTTTTATCCAACTCGCCAAGACTTGGGGATAAAAATCACAAAACTCGTTGGATAAAAATCATATCCAACTACAAACCATGGGAGATCCTATATTTATTAAATACTTTAATAAATACTTTGACAAATGAGAATTTTATGACTTTCAACCAACAATTATTTGAGAGCAAAATTAGTAAAGATTTTCATCTCTTTGCCAGAAGCAATACGTGTAGAATTTAAATACTCTGGATTGAGAGGAGATGTAAACATTAAACATTAAAATAATATAGTACTGTAAAACCCTACATTTACCAGGTAAGTGATATGATTTGATTTTGTGAACTTTCAGTCATGATCGACATTCCTTATATGGAAATAGATTATAAGTATCTACAACTCGTATACCAAAGTTGTAATTCGATCAGCAAGAAATAATCCCTCTGATCTTGACAATGTCCAATAGCTGGTTCATATTGGAGTTGCAGTCGCCAACAATTCATACAATGAGAATACTACATGTACATGATGTACAGGTCCTCCATTCTTTTTTATTAACCACAGTCCTCAACCCTTCTGGCAAGAATTTTACAATTTTAAAAGGGATTCCAAAAACTTGATTAAAATTCTGCAAAATTTCTCTTGTAAAAGAAATCAACATTGCCTGACTTCCTCATTAGTGATTTTGGGGTACTCGTTAGAGATACTAAATAATGAACAGATCACTAGTATTAATGATGCAGATAGATCATTTCCTTGCCATTCACTGGGAATACCAAACAACTGCTTTAAATTGGATTTATTGAATTATACAGGTTACTGCTAGATAATGAATACTACAGCAATTAGCATATGGATCTTACATTCTCTAAGATAGAATTACATTCACTCATGAGATCACATAATTAAATGACAAGAAGTTCAAATCGTGACTTATAGAAGAGATAAGTATTGGTACATCTAAAAGAGACATCAATCACAACTTTTTGCTTAGACAAAAACTCCAAGAAAACAATCTCCTTATTCAGGGATGTATCAAGTAATTGTAATCACATAAAAGGGTAACAGAATATTCTTGCCATTATCAGTGCTTATCAATGCTTGACCTCTGAGTATACTATGGGAGTTTGGGGGCATACACCTCTGAAAATTTTCAGATAAATGTTGCAAGACTTTGAATTTCGAGAGCACTTGCTGTATAGCTCATCATAATGTCAAATTTGGCAGAATTTTTACTTGCCTCAACATAAACTGTAAAATACATAATAAAATGAAAATAACTCTTCTATAGCATTACATACATTGTTGTTGACGGAGGTAAGGATAGATTACAAAAGGGCACCCATATCTTACCGCAGGTGCTCTTGAGTAACTTTCTTTTTAATATCTGAGCTCTACTCCCTTAAAATTATATACAGCTAGTGTACATCTATATATATGAGGTTTAATAAAGAATATGTTTCTTTATTGTTACCCAACCAACCCTATGTTTATTTGCGGATCCATTTTTTTTTTCAGCGTTAAAATCCAGAATTATATACAGTAAAACTCGTTTAGTACGAACACGGATATAGTGAATTTACGTATATAGCGAAGTTTCTCGGGGTCCCCGACAAAATTCTTAACAATTCTTTGAAAAAATTTTACGGTTATACGGATATAGCGAATTTAGATATACATCTATATATGAAAAATAATGGTTTAAAAAATCTCAAAGGTAGATATATTGAATTGACTTTATTTTTAGATAGTATATGCAAATGAAATTCAATTTAATGGAAAACCTCAGTAAGTCACGGTATGTTTTGTAATAGTTGTTTCCCTACCATATTCGCTTGTAATACTTGGAGGAAAACGTATATTCTAAAATTCGCTATATACACTTCTACAAATTCGTTATACGGATACAACGCGGATATAAATTCGCTATAACCGAGTTTTATATACATCTATATATGAGGCTTAATAAAGTATATGTTTCTTTACTGTTACCAAACCAACCTTACATTTACTTGCTGACCAAAATTTTTTTCAGCGTTAAAATCCAGAAGTCACTTGCCGGTCAGTTTAACTTTAACATGCATCTTAATTGATTATAAGCATTTGAAATTAAAAGTAATATACATGTACATGCATGTATATACAGAGACAAAATGGTGGCGAGTTCAATATCTAAATCAAGTTGTTCAGAACAGTCTGATTACCACTGTGTGATAGTTGTGAGGCAGTTGGCAAGAGACATTGTCTATCGGCCATATGGCAAGCACAAACAAAAGTAAAGCACCACACAATGGCAAAACTGCTTACATTTCAACCAATACGTGTGAATTTTTTGTTTAAAACAATTCAATAAAATAAGAGATTCTACCTACCAATCCTATCTAATTTCAGCATGTAACAGTCAATGAGCACATTTTTGTTTGGCCTGATAAATTATATGTCTCAGTGTTTCTTGCTCACAGTTGATTAGCTTATACACAGTGACTGCACTAGAAATAATACTCGGCCTCTCTGGCCCGTTGCCATGGTAAACGTAAACCTACCTAAATGTTGTCCTGCCACAAACACGTTAGGTACTGTCCTCTGTCCTGTTATCTCTAACAAAGCGTTCTGGATTTCACTTCCATTAGCTGGCAGAATAATAAAAAACACATCAGAAAATCAGGAAATCCTATTACATGACACAGTTATTGTATTAATTGTAGAATACAGGGAATTCTCTCAACTCTTTGACAGAAATGACTACTCAGGGGCAATGCTCTGCTTTCTGTAGGGGCATTAAATTTTATTGAAATAGTAAGAGGAAGCAATGCATATTTTATTGATTAAGAGAAAAGTGTGCTCAGGTGAAAAAGCTTATGTGTGGTTATACAACAAATTACATTTGCGCCATTACAACTAGAAGATCAGAACAATGCTGGGTCCAAAAAATCAATAGGATTTCTTGATTTCTTTCTTGTGTCATTCAAATGAAAGTTTAATGAACAAGTCAAAGGACAAGTCTCAAGTCTTCCTTCATTTCTTCTGAACATTCACCTCTGACAGCAAGATTTTAATAACTTATTTACAATCTGTGGTTTTCAAATATTTGACTACATTTACTGCCAAGATCAGTGTATTCATTGTAGAATATAGAGAATTTTAAAAAGGCCACAGATATTATTTTCCAATAAGTCCAAAAGTCATAAAAAATTATCAGATCAGAAACATGTTTCAAACCTGTACAGTTAAAGTGAATATTTCACTGTAGAATTTAATACTTATAAAACCATGTTTTTTTTTTTTTAGTTTGTATAAAGCAATAAAATTTACACATGCTTTTTTTTACTGATAAAGCAATAAAATAGACAATGGCATGAATTTGTTGTTTGATATCCATATATATTAATCAATATATGTTTGTGACATGGTGACCTAATTTGTTTATCCATATTAAGGAAATGTTCATTCTTATTTTAGAGCTATTAGTAGAAAAGAAATATAAAATCCTTTTTGTTGTGACTGATGCAGGGCAACTTCCATGGTCTCGAAATGTTTCAAATGAAAATTAAAGCACTGGCTAATGCCTCAGCTTTTATCTTTAAAACAACATTTCTTGACCTTGGAAGTTATCCTGCAACATTCACGAAAACATAGACTCCATTTCTTTAACAAATCATAGAACAGGTCACAGGTCACATAGAGAGGACAAAGTTGAAATGACAGATTTGTCTTTTCTCACCTTGTTTATCCAATTCTAGCACTTCAAAACTCACTTTCATCGACTGGAACAAGTCCTTCACCTGTAAAATGAAATTCAATAAAGAAATCAATAAAGCCTTCCTAGCATTTCAATATTATGAAAATCATACTGCAAGTTATGAAATCCAATCTTTGACGTCATTATCAGTCTCAATACTCCCATCCTGCTTAATTTTACTCCTTTATGTCCTTATATATCTAATAAAATACCAATTAACATGATTATTGACCAATTACCTTTCGTCAAACGTAAAGTCATATTCCTTCTTATGTTTTAACATTTTTTTTTATTTGGGGAGGAGAGTGGGGGACTAAGACAGGGATCTTATCTATCTTGATTGGTCAACATTATACCTCCACATTGCGAAAATTTTCAGCTCATTGCCGCTACATTTTATCAAAATTTCAGATGATCATTACCGCTACATTGTATCAATAGAACTATTGCAGATTACAACTCATTATAATTCATATAAGAGATATCCAGACAGCAGTACATTGAGCAAATTAAGGGCCTTAAAAGCTCTAGATACCGGTTATCTAACGACAGTGAAGAATGCGCTTTATCAATGACCAATGTTTCATTTTAATACTTTTAAAAATTTGATAAATAAGATAGATAAAAAAAATTGAAAAAATGTCATCCTACCCTAACTTTCACCGTCCCTTACTGGGCAAACGTAAAATGGTTTTATGCATGTTTACATGCATATAAGCCTTTGGTTAGAGAAAAGGCAGTAATGAGTGTTAAGCAGTTAATTAAATGACAATTTTGAAAATGTAGCAGTAATGATACGCATCCTCTATCTTGAAGTAGTTGGGTCAACAGTTGGTACTGGCTAAAGCAAAATTTCCTCTAAACTCTGTTAAAACAGAAATTTCCTTTCAGTCATTGAAGTGACCAGGGCCATTAGACTCGGAATATATTGATAAAAGAAAAAGCCCTCTTCCTTAGTTCTATCAATGTTACAAGCATTCAGTTAAATTAATATTGGTCTTGCTGGAAAAATCTTAAAAGCATATAAAGTCTTTTTTCTCTTTCATTGCTAATTAAAGCTTTGAGTGGGCTGAATAAAAATATATAATTCTAGGAAATAAGCCCATCTCAAAAAACTAATCATAAAGTCATTAAGCTGAGGTTGAAAGATTTATAATCAAGTGCTGGCTCTATTTGATATTAATCTCTTTACAAGACTCGTTGTCTCTGGATCAATAAAACACAGGTAGCAGTTTATATTTGCTTAAAATCCTCTCCACATAAAATCTCATAAACCACAGATTACTGTGAAATCACTAATTTTCGTGGAGGTTTAATAGAAGAGACCCAATATTTATGACCACCACGAAATGTTAATTTTTATATGCACAACTACTAAAAAATCCTCTCCACATAAAATCTCATAAACCACAGATTATAAGGTGTTTTAGGTCAAAGAAAACAGGTAAACATAAATTCCTGTATATGCATGTGTTTAGAATTAAGTGCAAGTTTATGTCTAGAAACTTTAAAATTCAAATCCATGACATGAACAGAGGATTTTTTTTTCAAATCAAATTTATTTTGTTACAATGTAACATAGGTAAATGATGTTGACATGCCCTAACTGTTTCCCTTTATAATTTGTAAAATGGTAAAGAAAAGTTAGTTCTAAAATTTACCACAGACAGTACCAGTAATTTCTTTATATTGCATTCTCTCTTTTCTTTCAAATAAAGTACATTGTTAATAAAGAATGAATATCTGCAAGGATCAAGGTTCTTTCAATAGATAAACATATAAAATATACATGCTCATTGTATATCAATAATATCAGTATAATTAACTTTATCTGATGATGTTCAAATTTAACTCTACACTTGGTTGACAAGCAGGATACTAATCATGCTAAATGTATCACAATTACACACCACAAATACTTGATGAAAAAAAACATCCTCAATATATACATGTACATGTATAGCTGTATGAAATAAAGACAGGTCAGTGTCTGAACATAGAACTCTGACAGACAGCAGTTTCTCCTGATATAAGATAAACAGAAGCTAATATGTTTTTTCAGTTAATGTTAAAACTGAGCAAACATATACTGTACTCTACAGTGTACATGCACATGCAAAAATACATGAATAAGTAATTTTAACATTATTTGACCTCTGTTACTGTTTGAATTTTCATAAGTAATGACTCTCAGGCCTCTTTTCTAAATTTCATATTTTTTTTTTTACTTCCCAGCACTGATTTTCATCAAAAGTTAAAGCATAAGTCTCAAATAAAAACTAGAAATATGTCCATAGGACATGAATGCCCCACCGAGGACATATTAGTAAAGCAACATGAAAATTTGTATGTAAATAAAATTTGATCAGTTTGGTTCAGGTAGGGCTTATAGTCACTAGGGAATAAAAATGTAGGTAAGATCCAGCATCCGAAGCAGGTCTGGTAGTGTCCATCCCTAGATGCATCATCCATGCAAGTTTGGTTCAGGTAGGGCTTAGAGTTACTTGGGAATGAAAATATAGGTCAGATCCAGCATCCGAAGCAAGTCTGGTAGTGTCCATCCCTAGATGCATCATCCATGCAAGTTTGGTTCAGGTAGGGCTTATAGTTACTTGGGAATGAAAATATAGGTCAGATCCAGCATCCGAAGCAAGTTTGGTAGTGTCCATCCCTAGATGCATCATCAATGCAAGTTTGGTTCAGGTAGGACTTACATGTATAGTTACTTTGGAATGAAAATATAGGTCAGATCCAGCATCCGAAGCAAGTCTGGTAGTGTCCATCCCTAGATGCATCATCCATGCAAGTTTGGTTCAGGTAGGACTTATAGTTGCTTGGTAATGAAAATATAGGTCAGATCCAGCATCCGAAGCCAGTCTGGTAGTGTCCATCCCTAGATGCATCATCCATGCAAGTTTGGTTCAGGTAGGGCTTAGAGTTACTTGGGAATGAAAATATAGGTCAGATCCAGCATCCGAAGCAAGTCTGGTAGTGTCCATCTCTAGATGCATCATTCATGCAAGTTTGGTCCAAGGAGGGCTTATAGTTCCTTAGGAATGGACCTGCTCCAAAAACTTAAAAACCTGGAAAATGTGGTCAATCCAAAGCAAGTCTGGTAGTGTTCATCCCTAAATGAAAATGTAGGACTTATAGTTCCTTGGAAATGGACCTGCTCCAAAAACTTTAAACTGGTCACTCATCTGGAAAATGTAGGTCAGATCCAGCATCTGAAGCAAGTCTGGTAGTGTTCATCCCTACATGCATCATCCGTGCAAATTTGTATCAACATTTGAACTTTGATAACACCATCTAGAATGGTATGTTTAAAACTGAGCTAAATACTAATTTAAGAAAAGTGAGGTCAAGGTCAAAGTAAAGGTCAAGGTCAAAAAATGTTGATGCAGTTGCATAGCTCTCATCAATATCTATCAGCATATGAAGTTTGATGAAAATATCTTGGATAGTTTCTTTAAAACTTAGCTTAGAACAGAGCTAAACACAAAGTGTGACGGAAGGATGAAAAGACGGAAGGACAGAAGGACGGAAGACGGACATGACAAACACTATATGCCCCGGCCATATTCATGGCGGGACATAAAAATAATGTTAGGTTTAAAGTGCTTCTTAATTTATTATTTTATTTTTATTTTTTTTTTTTTTTTTTTTTTTTTTGGCAATGGTTTTTATGACAGACCATGATCAACATGGTATGAGGAAAATTTTAACGCAGAGAAAAGAAAAACAAAAAAATTATTTAATTACCACAACATAAACTTAAAAGTATGAGGTGTATGACAATAATATTTTCATATCTATAAAACATTATTTATATTAGAAAACTAAGTGGTGCTTTTAGATTCTTAGTTAGTATATCAAAGTGTGATAAGTGCTTTCATGTATTATAAATAGATAAATACGAAACTTCATAAATCAATTTTTCTGTCTATATAAAGGCAAGACTATACTTTTCCATCTGCTGGCTATTGGCCTACTTATTAGTAGAGTAGGTTAAGTAACGCAGCTAACCTTCTTACCTACTTATTAGTAGCTACCTATTAGTGGAGTACTCCGAGTAACTCATCTTCTTACCTACATGTACTTATTAGTAGCTACATGTACCTATTAGTAGAGTAGCTCACCTTTTTACCTACTTATTAGTACTAGCTACCTTTTAGTAGAGTAGCTCACCTTTTTACCTACTTATTAGTACTAGGTACCTATTAGTAGAGTAGCTCACATTTTTACCTTCTTATTAGTACTAGGTACCTATTAGTAGAGTAGTTCACCTTTTTACCTACTTATTAGTACTAGCTACCTATTAGTAGAGTAGCTCACCTTTTTACCTACTTATTAGTACTAGCTACCTTTTAGTAGAGTAGCTCACCTTTTTACCTACTTATTAGTACTAGCTACCTATTAGTAGAGTAGCTCACCTTTTTACCTACTTATTAGTACTAGCTACCTATTAGTAGAGTAGCTCACCTTTTTACCTACTTATTAGTACTAGCTACCTATTAGTAGAGTAGCTCACCTTTTTACAGAACGGACATGTGGTTTTGCTGAAGATCATCACTTTGTTGTTGGAGACATAGTCACTGATTGTCTCCTTCAGACCTCCATTACCTGACACCGGCGGCATCTTGCCTCCGCGACCCTCGCTCCAATCTTGGTTTATTCGCTTTATATTGTTTCAAACTATATTGGAAAAGTAGGAAAAAACTTAGACAAAAAGTCCAATACATTTGTATTTGAAGTCACTTCTTACTCAATATTTGTTCTTTTTCCTACTGAAGTATACATTTTTTTTGCTGATGATATACAGTAGCAGAAAAATCAAAATGCAATATATGCATGCAGGGTAGACAGACTACTCGGCCCAACGACACCTCGGCCCGTGCTGGTTGACACCTCGGCCCTGACAGGTCGGCTCAAAATCATTGACACCTCGGCCCATACCGAAGACTGCTCGGCCCATTAGGAATGAATTAAATTTAATTTGTTTTAATTAATTATTGTTATTATTATTTTTTTTTGTATTTTCCCTGTCATGGTAATGTAAATGTATATTATGTATTTCTAATCACTATACGTTTACTATGAATATACGATAATTTCAGTATTTTCTAACAAACCACAGCACAACATCAAATTACAATCCGTTGATTGGGAGGTAACAGGTCTATTTATTTATTGACTTTGTTGTTTATTACAAGGCAACATAATACATTATTAATATATTTACTAGCCATTTTAAAGAAAAAATGCGCATATTTTAATGTTTAATTTTAAAAACTCATATTTTTTTTTCAAATCAATTCAATAATATCAACAATGGTTTCTTAATTAAAGGAACTTTTATTAACATTAACTCCCAATTGTGGCTCCTCATAATTAACTCCTCATAGTCACCACCCCTATGACACGCGCTCGAGACTAAAGGATGCACTGCGTCTTGTTTGTTTAATGATTAGCACTTATAATCAAGTAATAATGGATCGTCGTTCTGTAATTACCGTCAATTTGCCGTCTTGGAAGATTGCAAATGTATCAAATTAATTTTCTATTGCATTTCATAGATACATGTATATAACAACATAAATAATAAATATATTTAATTAAAATAATATATTTCTGTTTGGACCGAGGTGTCTTTTATGTGAGCCGAGGTGTCTTCAAATTTGGGCCGAGCCGTCGGAGCCGAGATGTCAATGAGCCGAGGAGTCGTTGGGCCGAGGTGTCGTTGGGCCGAGCAGTCTGACATTCGCATGCGGATACCCTTTATCAACTGGCATTATACCAAAGAAAACAATATCATATTAAGACATGAGTCTTTGAAATTCATGCATGCATTTTTAAATAAACTGTTTAATTTCTCAATACTACTTCATTATAGTTTTTATGATCATAAATTTTATAACTTGAATCTGAGGAAATTCGAACTAACAAAGTCCCCCATGTCTTATAATCTAGCTATTATCACTATATTCATTTAAGTTTTTGCATGCAAATAAACTTAACTATTACTTTTCCTTGTATATCTTGATTTAAAAATAACTAAATAAACAACTTTGGACTAGTATTGTGAATTTGCTGGCCGCAAGTTGACACTGTATGAGTGTGAAACCGAACATCAAAGAAAAGTGTCTTTTAACTCTTTACACACATTTTTTCATATAAAGCTAAGTGAAATTGTTAATGAATACCACCAAAATTTTAATATTAAAATGATCTACCTGTTGTATTTGACAAGACAAGATTCCTTTCAAGTTCCTTGCGGCTTGCCTGGCTAAAGTAGTAACTTTTGTGTCGGTGTTCCTCTAAAATTATAGCCAACCACGTGGTACAAATCTGATGTCATGTATATTTTCTGCCCCGTCACGCTGGAATTCCCGGTTGAATTTTAGAACAGCGTGGACTGGACAGATTCCAAGAATAAAATGTCACAAAAGTAACCATTTCAGATAAAAAGGTAATAGATAAAAATGACATAAATTTTAGAAAGAATAAAATTTAAATAAAGGATAAAATTATATACAGGGTGTACATGTACATATATATAAATACATATTTCAACGAATTTTTATTTTAATGAGGGTATTCAGACGGTTTGTTCTCGTTTTGCACACATTTGAATTACAGGTAATTAAAAAATGTGTGAAAAATGGGAATTGATCAGGTGAGATAATTGCTTAATTGCTATAGTCTATACCATACTTTAATAGTATTAAGAATGTGAAAGGTGAACTTACAGTGAAAAATAAGAGAATAAATACAAAGTTAGTGTATTTGATTATATGATTATCTTAACATCTTCTTGGCTTGGGCATTATTTTCAAATAATTATATGATTATCTTAACATCTTCTTGGCTTGGGCATTATTTTCAAATAATATATATATCTTTAATTCATTTGGAATTTTATCAAGATTGAAAAGTATTCTTTTTTTAAGAAATTGGACTTAATTAATAAATAATATTAAACAAATATTAATAATTTATTCAATAAAATCAAATATTTTCCCATAAATATATATGGAATTTTAATAGAATGCTTATAAAATGTATTAAAACTCTTGGTATTCCCAGGTAAATCCAAACCAGAAATCAGACTATAATTGCTATCAAAACACACTTCACACCTATTGTTCTATACCTAATTACCAAATGTGTGCAAAACGGGAACACACCATCCATACTTCAGGTGCCTGTGATTATATGGGTCAATATTCCTTTGAAATTCCGAAAATAACTTAATTACATCCTCTAAAGCCCATAGGCGCTTGGTTTCAGGATGGTGTATTTAAAATTTGAGTATTATGTGTTTTTCTAGGTGTGTCTGAATGGTGTGTTCCCGTTTTGCACTAAGAATACCCCCCTTTTTGTTAATGAAAAAAAAAATGTAAGAGTGTAAAATAACGACTTATAGATGTGTTTGACGGGGAATTTTTTTTTATATTTTTGAGATATTATACACTCTTACATTTTTTTTTCATTAACAAAAGGGGGGGGGGGGGTATTTTCCATACTTCAGGTGCCTGTGATATAATTCGATTCACTTTATTCGCAATTGCCATGTCGGCATACAGTAATGAACTTTAATAACATAACAAAAATTAACACGATTAATTAATACATACACTATAAATCTATCTACATGTAATATACACAGAACAACCCCCCTGGTTTAAGACCGAGGGTGGGGGAGGGGGATTACTATGTAATATTAAATTAATATTCAAGACACCAGTGTTTTAATCTCCTCTAAAATTTTTTTAATTGCTTCCAATTGACGTTTCGACATCCTTGTTTGAGATTCTAAAACAGGTGGATCAATTGGAAATATCCACCATACTTCCTTCTTAGAAAGAAATATACACTTGCATGCAGGGAATTTTAAGTTTCCGTTCATATAAGGTACATACAGGCTATATATAATATGTAACCCAAAATATAAAATTTGGGTCTAAATTTCTTACTGGAGTGTACATACATATAAACTAATAATCAAAAATTATTTTTGCTAAATTATTTTCCCTTTTTAAATCATTTGAAAAAGCATTTATTTACATCACAGTATTTAAAAAATATGAATTTCTGGGAAATCGTGAAACTTCTCCGTTGTTGCAGTGTATTTAAATAAATGGATCTCCTAGCTTCAATCACTTTATTGCTTTTTCAAATTATACATATTTATGCCCCCTTAATCAAAGATTCAGAGGATTATATATAGTGTTTGTCCTGTCTGTCTGCCTACAGCTGTAGTCATAAGTCTGTTAATTTATGTCTGTCTGTCCGCAAAAACAATTATCTTGTCCTTACCCTTTTGACTGGGTATCTGGGTGGGACTATGGCATTCATATTTCACAAGTGTATTCCTTATGACAAGACCTTAACCTCTGGATACCACCAAATTTGACCTCTTGAACTTAAAATTTGACCCACTTTTGCCAAAAAAACAACAAATTTTAACATTGGTCATATTTTTTGATCAGTTGATGCTGGCTGGCTTTCATAGTTCACAAGTGAATTCACGGTGACCAGACCTTTCAATTCACATACTGTATAACAATTAATTTTGTTTATAACATTCCTCAAGATCCAGAATGAAAATTTCTCATTTTGCTTCCAATATTTTTAAAGTGAAAAAAAACATCACGTTTAATTTATTACTTGAATAAATAACAGAGTATAATTTTGACTTGAAAATTAATAAACATAAAATTTTACGAAGTTTCAAATATTTTATTTACAAATTCTCATTTTTTCTGTGGTTAATATACATGTACATAAATATGATACATGTAGTGTTTCTTAAAAGATATTCCAAGAGTTCTACTTTGAAAAAAATGTGAAACATAGGAAATTTCATTTTTTATTATTGATTTTCATTTTAACAATAAAGAAATGCATCATTTAAATTGTTTCTAGACATTAGCACCATGTACATGTAATATAAATTGTTATTTCAAATCATTATTCATGTGTTGTACCTGCAAATCAATCTCCAATCATGTAAAAAATTAACATACAAATGTAAGAATGGATTAATTCATTACAACCTTTGTCGTTTTTTTTGCACATTTAAATTCTTTTTACATAGAAATTAGGGGCAATGCCAATTAATTAAATCCGGAAATATACATGTAGTACAATTTTAGTAAAACTCTCAATGAATTTTGATTAATATTTCTTTTGCAACATATTAACATTATTAAAATTATGACAGAAAAAATCAATGTTTCTTAATTAAAAATTAATCAGAGAAAATAATTAATCAGAGAAAATTCCCTGAAGAAATATTTTGATACATAAACATGATTATTATAATAACTATGACAGAAAAAAAATCAGTGTTTTTTTTAGTAAAAATTGATCACAGAAAATTCACTGAATAAATATTTTGATACATCAACATGATCATGATATAAGAGAGCAAAAACATTTAATTAATATATTTGTCAAGAATATAATATCACATTCAATTGTGTAGAGAAATCATTTTCTCTGGTAATGTTCATAATCATATGATTTTCACACCATTTTTCAGCTGCCTCTATCAAATTATTATGACATCATGACTACTTTGGTATATTGGCCAAGGCTGGAATTAGCTCACAATAGATGTCTATTCCACGTAAGAAAACTTTCTCGTTTACAAACTCATTGTGGTCATGCAGCAATATTGGGGTGTTATTCATTGGAGAAAAACCTAGAGCTGGAATTCCAAGCTAAAGAAAGACAAAACCAATTTACGTTGAATATGGCATCCATGTATCAAATTTGCATTTTAAAAATCAAGCAAGTCAAGAATTCTTAAAAGTCAAATACTTTAAAATCACATATTTTCATGGGGTCAAATTTTCAAAGTTTGAGAAAAAAATTTTGGTTTGTGGGGATTTGATTTTGTGGTTGGAGAATGTTTAATAGTAATGCATATGACAATTCACATTTCATGATGGTCAAAATCTGAAGGTCTCTCCATGCCTTGAAAACAATGAGAAATTAAACCCCCACGAAAATTAGTGATTATACAGTATTCCTCATGTTTTGAGTGTTCACATACCTCTCTGATATATCTGATATCTGTAGCAGCTGGGAATATCTCAGTCTCTATCTTTATTTTTCTACAAAATCACAATGTAAATCTTAAAATCACTTCGATATAAGTGTTTAAGCTATGTAGGGGACAAAACAGAAATTTTCAATAAATGGAACATGTTTATTGAAATGAATTAGAATAGTGGCCATGGATGACAGATGAAGAGTGTAAAGGCTGTGTACTCACAGTTTGTCAAACACAGAGCTGAAGGTGCTCCACCAAGGACAGTTCTTGTCTGTAGCTGTCACGCCCTGCATGGGGTTGTACTGCAAGGAGAAAACAGCAATCAACATGTAGCTATTTTAGTAAGATCATTTATCAAGCACTGGTTTTTTATTGTTATGCATGAAAGAGAATCTACATATGTCTATTCATGTATGTATGAAAATCAAATGAAACAATTACCAATATACCAGAAAATGTTCATGAAGTTCAGATTTAGAAATGATATTTTAAAGTGGTATTACATGTGCATGTACAATAAATTAAACATGGGCAGAGTTTGTCACCTAATATATACTTATGCTTGATGTTTAAAAGTATGAATAAGATATTGAGTAGACTGAATTACCTGTGCAAAACTCATAGATATTGAGATGACAGAATAATCTGTACAAACTCATAAGACATTGAGTAGACTGATTAACATGTACAAACTCATAAGACATTGAGTAGACACATGAACTTGTACAAACTCATAAGACATTTTATTAAATGATCAGGAATTTTGGTGCTCTCTGATTGGTCTAGACACCTTTTCCTGAAATGTACCTTAGAGTGAGTTCACCTCATATGACGTTCTGGGGGGTTTATTCGTGTTTTCCCTCTTGACCAACCATAGATTTGCTTACAGTTTTTTTGACCAATCAGATTGCGTTTTTCAAAGCATGTGTCGGTGTGATTGTAAACGTGTCAGACACCAGTACCAAGGAGATTAAACGCTTTTGAAAGTAAATGGTTGGTATTGATTGTTTATTTAATAATATTGTTTTCCATTTATAACTACTAGTTGTGAAGCTGCTGAAGTATAACAACATGTGAAAAGAGTTGTTACACTTTGCATTTTATTATGAGTATTTATATTTGATGGAGACAAGAACAAAAGTGTCAAAAGTGTTGTAAAATTCCTGATCATTTAATAAAACGGTTATTGACTTTTGAATTCAGTCTACTCGTGACTATACGGACCTGCTCAGGTATTGGTAAACCTTGGCCTTTGGCCTCGGTCACTCAGTACCTGACAAGGTCCGTTTAGTCACAAGTAGACCTCATCAAAAGTCTATAATTGTATAGAATAGACACATTTACCTGTACAAAATCATAAGACATTGAGTAGACACATTTACCTGTACAAACTCATAAGACATTGACTAGACTGATTAACATGTACAAACTCATAAGACATTGAGTAGACACATTTACCTGTACAAACACATAAGACATTGAATAGACTGATTAACATGTACAAACTCATAAGACATTGACTAGACTGATTAACATGTACAAACTCATAAGACATTGACTAGACTGATTAACATGTACAAACTCATAAGACATTGAGTACACTCATTTACCCTTACAAGCTGTTAAGACATTGAGTACACTCATTAATCTTTCCAAACTCATTAGACACTGAGTAGATCCATTTACTTGATAAGACATTGAGTAGACACATTTACCTGTACAAACTCATAATTCACTGAGTACACTCATTAATCTGTACAAACTCATAAGACACTGAGTACACTCAGTTACCTGTACAAACTCATAAGACACTGAGTACACTCATTTACCTGTACAAATTGCTAAGACATTGAGTACACTCATTAATCTTTCCAAACTCATTAGACACTGAGTAGATCCGTTTACTTGTACAAACTCATAAGACATTGAGTACACTCATTTACCTGTACAAACTCATAAGACATTGAGTAGACCGATTAACATGTACAGACTCATAAAACACTAAGTATACTCATTAATCTTTACAAATGCATAAGACACTGAGTACACTCATTTACCTGTACAAACTCATAAGACACTGAGTACACTCATTTACCTGTACAAACTCATAAGACACTGAGTACACTCATTTACCTGTACAAACTCATAAGACACATTGAGTAGACCGATTAACATGTACAGACTCATAAAACACTAAGTATACTCATTAATCTTTACAAACTCTAAGCTTCATTTACCTGTTCATAAGCACTGAGTACACTCATTTCTTCATCATGGCTTAACAAAGTCCTCTCAACCTTCTCTAAGACACATCCTCCCCTGCTTCCTTCAGCCAGTTCTTCATCATGGCTTCAAAGTCCTCCAACTTCTCTGTGGGCGGAATTCTGATGTCAAAACCTGTAAGAAAATCATTTAAATTGTACGCCATAAAAAATGACTGAGCCTAAAAAAGAAACATGCATTTTTTCTCTTGCTAATGATAAAAGACATTTAAGCTTTTAAAAGAAAGTGATTTTAAAAAAATTATATATTTTGAAATCAGACTGAAGCTGAAATCAAAGAATGAAACGTTATATAAGTATCACAAACACAGCTGCTTCTTAATAAAATCAAAATATGGGAAAAGTTTGTTAGCAAATGTGAAAAGGCAAAAGTTATAAATAAAAATAATACCTAAAAACATTTCTGTTGGAACAACATTAAGAGACCCTTCAAATCCTCCCTGTAAAATGAAAAAAAAAACATGGACATGCAGAAAATGATATTAACCATTTAAATAAAAAAACAGCAAAATCATTTTCATGGTAATATAATTTAACAAAATGCCATGGCATCATCAAACACCTACCTTCAGGTTAGTAAGGTTCACTGTAGTGACATCTCCTAGTTTTAAACAACCATGTGTTTTTAATCTGGAAAGAATAGACAACAAGCAAAATATTATACATTGTACTGCCAAACAATTGATTCAATTTTTGTATTTATTAATAACTATTGTTTCATAGGGGTTGTGTGTTTTTCAATCTACATGTATATCGTTCTTTGTGAATTTGGGCATAAAATGATGGCAAATATTAGCACTTTGCTTATGTCTTTTGCCACAGTTTAATTGAAAATGATGGAAAACCCGAACAACACAACACCCCCAACCCAGTTTCCGTATATTTATTTATTTATTACTTACTTTTTCTCCTGTTGATCTCTATATGACAGGAAACTATTTATTACTCTTCTCTGTCAAATAAACTGTTTAAAATCAGACTGAAGAAACACAAACAAAATTCTCATGAATACTATGAACATTGATATTTTCACGTTGTTTTAAAATTACACAAATATGTTGTAATTTATAAATCAAATAGGTTATTTCCCAGCATCAGAATTCTGTATTTTTAACATTGAGTTGTTATGAGAATGCGTGATTATTTTCAAAAGCATATTCGCATTTCGCATAAATTACCCCCGAAGATTAATTTCAACATCATTTCATAAAAACAACAAAATTATGTCAGTACACAATTTTGCTACTGTCTTTCTGTATGTGTATTATTATATCTTAAGAAAGCAAATCAATGTTATTCTCTTTCCTGAAGATTTACATTTTATTGTTGTACAGTATGTGTAGTTTTCAGACTTGTACATGTATACTGACCACTTTTTCTGCAGCATTGTCCTCTATGAATCTTGACCCATGACCCGGCCTCCCTGGACATTTGACACGAACCCCTATATTAAATTTATTGTTTTAATTTTCGAAAATTATTAAAACTTTTGTAAATAGTTATTTAAAGGCACATATACTTGATTCCTCAGAGCAAAAGCATCATTAAAAATGATTGAGATTGCCAAGTACAGCATTTACTTTAACAATTATATTATATTCAGAATATACAGTGTACATACATAATTAATTTACAATTTAATAAAGAACACCCTTTCTTCGTTTTTTTTTTTACTCACACCAGGGGGTTCTTTCTCCGTAGAAGACAGTGAAAGCATCAGTAGGATTGGCTAGTCCTTGAACAAAAATCAAATATTTTCAGTCAATGATGAATGTTTTTCCTACAAATGAATCAAACAACAGGCTCTGGGCGCCATAAAACTAAATTGAGCTCACTTTTGATCTCAGTCTCAATTTTTCCTTAAATACTCCTTTCCAAAAAGTGAGACTGAGATCAAAAGTGGTCGAGCGAATCCCAAAATTTCAGGTTCCAGAAGTGATTGAAGAACTTCAGATTAACTTCTAAATATAAAACATAATTATATACAGTAACAGCTGTTCAGCATTTTCTTACCTTCATCTAGACCAAAACCAACATTCAGTTTCTTAAATTCTTCGTGTTTAACAAATTTTCCCATACCCAGTTTCCCTCCAATTTCCTCATCTAAATATTATAAGAAAATTTTCTTCAAATTTTAATCTTAATTTTCAGAACATTCTTTTTTACACATTGTCAAACTGAATTGGAACTTTTCAAAACATGCACAAATTTAAGAACATGCTGCAAATTGTATATACAGTAAAACACACTATAAGCAGACATGCTTATAATGAATTGACACTTACAGAGAAGTGTTTTTCATTCCCAATGGCTTTAAAATATATTTTGAGTTCAACTGATCTAATGAATTATGTTTAATAACAAATTAAAAAGCAAAATTTCTGCCCAGGGCACTTTGCTATAAGTCTGTTTTACTGTGACAGTACAGTGTTAATAAAGTTATTGAAACTTTTTGCAGTAAATATACATATTGAAATTGAAATTTTAGATAAAATAATTGTATTATAGATCAGTATTTTAAGCATGTTTTACTGTGCATTGTAAATATAAATTGGTGAAATCCTACCTGGTGTCCAAGTTATATGAATTGTCCTGAGGAAATTCAGCTTATTCTCCTTCTTTAGTTTTCTTATGGCTTCTACATATCTGCAAGGAAGGATGAATTCATACACAAGTGTTTTAACACGTTTTTAAAATACTGTAAACCAACTATTATTCAAATTATCTTTTATTTGCAATTCATCAGTTTGAAATCAATCCCCAATGATTAAAGTTTGCAACTGATGAAACACACTGTACAAATAAAAAGAAAAATAAATTATTCACGCCAATTAATATTTGCTAAAAAAAAGTAGGTTACGAAATTTGCGGATATTTCTCGTATGCAAATAAAATTTGGTTTACAGTAATTGTTCCACAAGTGTATTTACATGCTGAATGAGGTCAGTTGATAGTTAATAGAAAGTTAAAGATTTCCAATTTAAGGCATTAAGAATTACTTACTGTATGCCAACACTTTTCATGTCCTTTCAAAAGAGAAAACAAAATCAAATATTATTGAGTTGTAATTGCTAATTTCATGTGAACATTTCAGAATTTTTTTAAAGACATTTTTCCACAATGTAGTAGTATGTATAATATGCGTACATACCGTAATAAATAAGTGTTCTAAATTAAATGTAAATAAATTAAACTACCATAATATACAAAAGTATAAAAAGCTTGATCCGCTCCTTTATATCCTTAGCCCTTTACCTGTACACCTGTATATAGATAATTAGTTACCTTAGGGCAGTTCAAAGGTTTTGGAGTGTTATTGATTCTTATTGGTAGTTTGGTTGTGAAGTTGGATTTCATTGGTTTTATTCTTATGGTCATTGTTTTACCGCCAAAATATTCATTCTTTGTCTTGTTGAGAAATGACCAAGACTGTATTTTATGGACTCCATGACTTTGACCTTTGGAGACTGACAAATTCCATTTTCTGGTAAGTACTAACTTTCCTTATTACTAATTGTCAAGTAATATGTCATTCCATAGATTTGCATTTATTAAAGATCCCAATTTCACTTCATATTAATTAAATGTATGACCATGAGAGAAAGATGTTATTTTTATGATAGGAATTATTGATTATAAAGATCAGTAATGTATTATATGATAAGTGTAAATTGTTATATTCAAGTTACACCATATATTTTTATGACCCAGATATTTGGTTACTTTGTTCAAAGTGAACAGATGATTTTATTTTAAAGGAATATGTATTTTAATGTATACTGTATTAAATTACAGAGTCCATATACATGTCATTGCAACTGTAAACATCACACATTCTGTTTGCAACTCTCTGTGGGGATCACAAAGAAATTATTCAAAAATTTTCTGTGGAACTACCACCAAAGCATGGAAGGGGAGGTCAGTCAGCTGCACGAATGGGAAGAATAAGAATGGAGAAGAGGCATAACTTTGTAAGGAAGGTAGCTGAGACTGCAGTCAAAGTGTTCATCACTGAGGACAAACCCAACGTCTCCGGTCTTATACTGGGAGGCTCCGCCCACTTCAAGGTCGAGCTCAGCCAAACTGACCTTCTGGATCCGAGACTACAAAAATCAATCATTAAGATAGTAGACATTAACTACGGAGGGGAGAGTGGATTTAACGAGGCTGTCAATCTATCAGCAGATGTGTTGGGGAGCATTAAATTCATTCGAGAGAAGAATCTTTTAGACCACTACTTTGAGGAGATTGCTCAGAACACAGGGAAGTACTGCTTTGGAGTGGATGACACACTGACTGCCTTAGAGGCCGGGGCAGTGGAGACATTGGTGGTGTGGGAAAATCTAGACGTCACTCGCTACGTCATGTCCAACCACAGAGATAACAGTAAAAGTACCCTGTTTTTGAAACCAGAGCAACAGAAGGACAGGACATTTTTCCTTGATAAAGAGACTGGTGTCGAATTGGAAATAGTAGAGGAGATGTCATTGGTTGAGTGGCTAGTTAACAACTACAAGTCATTTGGTTCTCATCTTGAAATTGTGACGGACAAGACCCCAGAAGGAGCCCAGTTTGTGCATGGTTTTGGTGGCCTTGGAGGGTTGCTGAGATACAAGATGGAGTTCCAGAGCTCGGACGATCTCTCTGATCTGGACTTTGATCTGGATTTAGATGACTATTAAAACAACTAATACGACTGATTGATGAAATGGAAACTTAATGACAATACACTGTACCCTTTCTTGGAGACCTTTTCCTCCGTAGCACCAAAAAAGTGAACTAAAAGAACTGTGTTTCTACTTGTGTGTTTAATCTACATTTACTTGATTCAACAATAAAATCTATTGCACATAAAAAAAAAAAAAAAAAAACGTCACACATTCATGTGGTAGCCTTTTCCCACAGAATGGTGAGGAATTATTTGTTTTAATTAGTATTATTTTTTATGCCTTTATATGGGAGAAGATATGTAATGTCTATATATTCACTATAAGAGTTATCTCCCTTAATTGAGAGTAAATGTACATATATATATGTATATCATCTATGATATATCACTATGAATATATTGATTATGAGAGCTACATGTATAGATGATTAATAGGATTGAATTGATGTGCTATTATATTGTTGTTTTATTATATTTCAGGGCTATTAACGTTTGTATTGCTCACTGTGTCAAATAAATCAGACCTGAACCCTGACAGAGGAGTGTTTATTTTATTCATCACCACCCCCTGTTACAACAATTATATATTACTGTATATATACACCCCCTTTTTTCTGTTTTATGTGTGAAATGCAATCACTGAGCTTATGAAAAAAATTAAACTGATTCATGGATATACATGTAATAATGTAAAATATTATTTATCAGTTTTCTGAGAAAAAAATTCAAAATGTTATAATGCACTTCAGTATCAATTTAGCCCCACTCTGCAGCTAAGACCCATGAACAAAGAAATGATTATATAATTATTATAAATATTGCTTCATTGTGAGATACCAAGAGATTGGTGCAATAGAAAATGATCTACATAAAATATCATATGACCCTACATAATGAAATAAAAACACATACCTGAGTTCCTCTAGCATAAATATCTCCATTCTCCATCTTCTTAGCCTCAAAAGGATTGCACTTCCATTCATTCTATCAAAATATTTAATATATTTCCAAATATGTTTCCTAAAGATTCTTTGCAAATTGAGTATTGTTCATTATCTCATGAACTACAATGGATCAGCATGAATATCTCCAATTTGTTACGTCATAATACAGTACTTGACGTCAAAAACTAGAGTGCAAATAGTTTTGCTTCAAAAAGTGACAGTTGAACTGTGGCACCTAATCAGAAAAATAATGTAAATAGAAGAAATGAATTTAATTTTTTGGAAATTCATGAGGTACATGAACTAGAATGCTTCACGTCGGCATATTTATCATGAAAACGCGCTTCATGAAATATGCTGTCATGAAGCGTCCTAGTTCATAACCTCATGAATCTTCAAATATTAAATTCATTTCGTAAATGAATAACAGTGGCCTTCTTCATAAAAAATTGTATCACTACGATAAAAAATTTACAACTCTGTAATTCTTGGTTTAATAATTTTTTTTTCTTAATATATTTTTTTAAAATGTAACCTAATGTAAAAGAAATACAATGTATAATATTTTGTTGTTTCCTACTAAAGCTTAGGTACTTGTTGAGGAATAGAAAATTTTTGTCTTAGTCGTAAGACTTTTGTTGAAAAGGGTCACTGGTCCTGGTTAGTGTGTATATGAATAAACATCCACATAATTTGAAAACATAGGTCACATCAGTGTCAGTCAGTGACACTAAGACCATCAGTGAAGGAGTTAATACATCATGTACTTACAAATCTCAAACACAGGGTAATCGGTAGTTGAATTTGATATAATCAGTAGAGGACTTAATTAGGAAACTTATACATACCTCAAACACTGGTACCACATCAGTGTGGGAGTTAAGCATAATGGATGGCAGAGATGGGTCCAATCCTGGGATTGTCATTATAACAACTTCTCTACCTGGATGTACCTAAACAAATAGAGAATCTAGATATAAGTGTCATTATAACAACTTCTCTATCTGGATGTACCTAAACAAATAGAGAATCTAGATATTAGTGTCATTATAACAACTTTTCTACCGGGATGTACCTAAACAAATAGAGAATCTAGATATTAGTGTCATTATAACAACTTCTCTACCAGGATGTACCTACTCAAATAGAGAATCTAGATGTTAGTGTCATTATAACAACTTCTCTATCCAGATGTACCTAAACAAATAGAGAATCTAGATATTAGTGTCATTATAACAACTTCTCTATCTGGATGTACCTAAACAAATAGAGAATCTAGATATCAGTGTCATTATAACAACTTCTCTATCCGGATGTACCTAAACAAATAGAGAATCTAGATATTAAAGTCATTATAACAACTCCTCTATCCGGATGTACCTAAACAAATAGAGAATCTAGATATTAGTGTCATTTTAACAACTTCTCTATCCGGATGTACCTAAACAAATAGAGAATCTAGATGTTAGTGTCATTATATAACAACTTCTCTATCCGGATGTACCTAAACAAATAGAGAATCTAGATATTAAAGTCATTATAACAACTTCTCTATCCGGATGTACCTAAACAAATAGAGAATCTAGATATTAAAGTCATTATAACAACTTCTCTATCCGGATGTACCTAAACAAATAGAGAATCTAGATATCAGTGTCATTATAACAACTTCTCTATCCGGATGTACCTAAACAAATAGAGAATCTAGATATTAGTGTCATTATAACAACTTCTCTATCCGGATGTACCTAAACAAATAGAGAATCTAGATGTTAGTGTCATTATAACAACTTCTCTATCCAGATGTACCTAAACAAATAGAGAATCTAGATATTAAAGTCATTATAACAACTTCTCTCTCCGGATGTACCTAAACAAATAGAGAATCTAGATATCAGTGTCATTATAACAACTTCTCTATCCGGATGTATCTAAACAAAAAGAGAATCTAGATATTAAAGTCATTATAACAACTTCTCTATCCGGATGTACCTAAACAAATAGAGAATCTAGATATTAGTGTCATTATAACAACTTCTCTACCAGGGTGTACCTAAACAAATAGAGAATCTAGATATTAAAGTCATTACAACAACTTCTCTATCCGGATGTACCTAAACAAATAGAGAATCTAGATATCAAAGTCACTACAACAACTTCTCTACTGGGATGTACCTAAACAAATAGAGAATCTAGATATTAAAGTCATTACAACAACTTCTCTATCCGGATGTACCTAAACAAATAGAGAATCTAGATATCAAAGTCACTATAACAACTTCTCTACTGGGATGTACCTAAACAAATAGAGAATCTAGATATTAAAGTCATTATAACAACTTCTCTATCCGGATGTACCTAAACAAAATGAGAATCTAGATATTAGTGTCATTATAACAACTTCTCTACAGGGATGTACATGTACCTTAACAAATAGAGAATCTAGATATTTTAAACAATAAAAATATCAAGAAATGTATGCAGGTGGCTTGCTTATAGTGTTGTTTATAGACTTCTTAAAAGCTGCAGTTTTCATAAGAAATTATTCAATCATATAATAATGTTGTTTATAGACTTCTTAACAGCTGCAGTTTTCATAAGAAGTAAAGGAAAAAATATTTAGTAGGTGTAAATAAAAAGTTATTATATCAATTTCTGTTTCCATGAATACCCTGACATAATGTTACCTTCATATACATACCTCAAGTACTCTGCATTGAATACCAACATCTTTTGCTAAATTCTTTAGAAACTCAACTACTTCATCTAATTAAAATAAACAAAAAAAACATGGTTAATTAATATTTCTATCTTATTTAATTTAGGGGGGCATAATCAGATATCATAATATGGTATCTAAGCAGAAATTCACTTTCAAATTGGAACAATTCTTCAGTTTAATTGATAGAATTTGAAAATAAAAATCTAATAATGTGACCCCATTTTTTCTGTTTAAGATTAGATTATAGGTATCTCTTGTTTAGCCAGGGACCTATATATATAGAGTATATATAGGTCCCTAGTTTAGCTATCTATCTGATTACATGTTAAAGCATGTTAAATAAACAACAAAAGCAGGGACCTATATACTAAGTTAGTATATAGGTTCTGTAAAAATTTTAGCAAAATAAATTAAAAGGTTAAACAGTTACTGTATAGTGCATCATCAGCTGTTTTAAATTTACTTTTAACATGGATCATAAACACAATCTCAATTTACAGTTGATGATGCAAAGCCTATATTCAGTTTAAGGAAGGTTATCAAATACAGTTTTAATCTACGCTGTAAGCTTTAATTATTTTCTCAAACTGCTTTATATCAGGTCCAGGAAAATCACTATATTTAGCTATATAGCTAAATCTACCTATATAGCTTTATTTACCTATATAATATAGCTTTATCTACCTATTTCAGAGTAAATTTCTGTTTGATGAAAAGCAGACAAAAAGTCGCATAATGAGGCAATATTAGTTTTCAACTTTGAAATGGACTGAAAACAATTCACTAAAAACCCTCTTATAAAAATGTTTCTCTTTTTGTGCAATTGCAATCAAGGATCTAAAAGTTTTGAGGCTATGTTTAACAGTTAATCTGTGAGTAAGCAGCTACTTTAACAAAGGAAAGCAGTTTTGGTCAACAAGATAATTGATTGGTAATAATTTCGCACAATGCAAGGCAATCACACTTAGTCATGCCTCACCGCACTTCCAGCTATCCAAACAATGGAGATGCATTTTTTGGTTAAAAAGTTTGTAAAAGAGGCAATGTTTTTACTATCTATGCCCTAGGTTGTTTTTATCAAACCTTTAAAAAGAAATATCAGTCATAATTTACATGCGACTTTTTTTCTGCTTTTCATAAAATAGAAACTTATTCCAAAATAGCTAAATAAAGCTATATGGGTAAATTAAGATTTATAGCTAAATATAGTGATTTTCCTGGACCTGTATATCTAAGATCATAGATGTCTAAATACAAGTAGATTCATGTATATATACTATTAATTTGTGATCTGTATGACTTATGCATCCATGGAAATGTCAGCTGCAAAATAATCATAATACTTAAAATCGGTCACGTTTGCACAGATCAGGCTGTGATCTGATAAGGCCTAATAGATTAAACAACTAAATATCCTTACCCCCTCCCCGAAACTTACCATAAGCCGGTGTTGGATGCACTGTCTTTATTCGCAGGTAATCTCTGAAAACTGTCACAGCCCTTTCTTCTGTCATTTTCAAAGTAAATCAATTGATTCAGAAGCTACCCGACCTCCCAACCCATCCACTTTCGAGGAAATTCGAAATATACTGTATCTCGACCCCGATGTAAATTATGCAAAATCATGAAATTAAAAGTAATGGTTTCGCATTAATCATGTTCATAAGATAAAGTTGACATGGGTTATTGCATTAAACTTTACAACGATTATCAGGTCAAGATACAGTCCGGAGTCAGTTCTTAACTCTCTCTCTCTCTCTCTCTGATCATTCTGGAATTTATTCCAATTTTTCTACTCTTCCTGGGAAAAGCAACATATTTTCTTCATGCATTTCACAGATTAATAAAGCAAGTAGACATTGCGCACTGTGTTGGTACACATTAACGTTACGTTAATTGAGTCAAAATAAGTTAAGTCATAACTGGGGGGGGAAGGGGGTCCACATCAATTTTAAAAAAATTGACTCAAAAGTTTGGCCAAAAGAAAAAGGGGGAGGAAAAAATTTAACTGCAGATCCCTTTCCTGACCCCCCCCCCCCTCTCCTTGATTCCTGCATGCCTGTTGAAATAACGAAATCCTGTCGATGTGTCATTTTCTCTATACATGTATATATATTTCTCTAAAATATGTTAATATTAACAGAGTTGCATAAAAGATGTCCACATGTGCGCATGTTTATGTGTTGGCATTTGTATAGTTTTAAATGTTTTGTGATGGATCTTAAATCTATTACTAATTAATAACTTACAAAAACAATTTCGTTTGAACTTTCTCAATATGGGCATAGACTATCTTTTAGTAAAACGATGTAAATTTAGTGGCTTTTATTCGAAAGCATGAACGGAAATGAGTTTCTATTGTCTTTCCCACATTTTAAGAAACCACATGTCATTAGTAAAGATTAAGTACACAAAATACTCTGCTTTTCATGAAATATATGAATATAAAGAACAATATTCAACTCAAAAGTTCATTAATCAAAACAAAATAGGAGCAAAGACCCCCGAAACATCAGAGGTGGAATCAGGTGCTATGGAGGAGTGAGCATCCCCTGGAAAAAATTCCCATGGAAATAACCATTGTTAATCAATATATCTAAATGTGGAGTTGCCAAAGCAAGTGTTTTCTTCTTTTCATGTATAAGATTTTGGACAAATTATGCTTCATGTAAATACAAAAATAGGTCTGCTAATAACGCATTTAGTACCCATGGGAATACTATTAGACTTTAGGAAAACCTGGTCTCCAAAACCACATAGACACTGTCAATCAGGAACTCAAGCGATTTATCCAAGTTCTGCTAATCATGGTACGTTGTGTGCTATGTAACAGCAACTGTGATATTTTAAAAAGTATATTTTATTGAATCAAAAGGACGAAACAAGTTTTAACAACTTACTAGTTCCTCTTCTCAAATTTAACTATACACTGTATATATGTAATGTAATTGAAATAGTACACAGAAATATAAGAATATAGATTTCTAGACCTATCAAAACACGTCCAAAATTTCATTGTCTGTTGTGAAATAAATTTCCCATTTTTAAAGATTCATTCACAATCTCCAAAGAATTACATCAAAGTATGTGAAAATTGAAATAAAATCGAGTGTATCCCAAACAGGTACTACAGGTACTGTAACTGGTAAAATACCATCCTCTAATATCAGTTTACTCTTCCTTCAACGTAATGCCGTCAAGTAACCATTAAAATATGGCTTCTTTCACAAATCATTAACTCACTGCATGGCTCTGTCAATGTGAACTGCAAATTTTGTATTTACTTTTGCAGTTGTCTACATGAAAATTATCAACGTACATGTATATTAATTATTTAATTTTTCTCGTCAAGCTTTTCTTAGGACTTCGGACCAAAATGTTAGTTTAGTTCTGTTCAAATAATTACACAGTTAAAGTTTCAATATACTACAGACGGTGTAAATAAAACAAAATAATTGATTTCCTTTTAAACAAATGGTCATATTCTCAAACCTTTAATATTGCGTAAAAAGAAGTCAAACGCCTGTGAAAGAATAGGATAAAATCCACAGAAGTCTGTTTTTAAAATGTTGAATCCATTATAACTTATATCTAATATAAAATGGCAAACTGGATACGAATGTTTACGGTTCTCTGTATTGTAAAAGGTGGGTGGCTTCAATTTTCGGTCAAAAATTTTCTACACACTGTTGATTGCTGTTATTATATTAATAAAGTTAAACAGCCAAGGTCGTTCTGATCATTTTTCGTAGATTTATATAGTTGAGTTCCTTCATAGATAATTTCCTAACAGAATGGTTTGTATGTAGATTGCAAAAAGGAAAAAAAAACCTTTTTTTTTTTGCCTTCGCAATCTAAAATTCGGGGGTATATACTTGTCTACCCTGTCCGTGTGTCTGTCTAGCTGTTTGTCCGCAAAACCTTAAACTTGTCCATAACTTTTGATTAGTTGGAGCTATAGGGCTTTTATGTGTCACAAGTGTATTTCTTCTGAAAAGGTCGCCATATTTGACCTCCTCGCCTTGAACTTGGAGTTTGACCCACAGTTGCAAAATTGTTCCAAATATAAATCTTAGCCATACACATGATACATGTAACTATTGAACAGTTGGTGCTATGAACGTTATACTTCAATGTGTGTTTACTACGAGAAGACCTTTCCTATGGTATAAATATTTTAACCTTTCGAACTTGACCTTAGAGTTTGGCTCACTTTTTATAATCTTTGAGCTTTTAAAATTTGGCCTTTACTTTTGAACAGTTAGTACTAGGACTTATAAAACAATAGCCCGAATTATCTGACGTTTTCCAGGCTTTATTTACGATTTTCCTGGCATATAAAATATCAAAATCGTAAAAAGACTGAAAAACGTCAGATATTTTGGACTTATAACAGGTGGATTTCTTTTGAATATAATTTTAATTTTCTGACATTGGAGTTTGCCTTTCTTTAAAAAAAAATCTTTGCTATATTTATCGTGAACTGTTGGTTCTATGACCTTGGATTTCTTATTACAAGGGCTTCTCCTGGGTACCATAATTAATTTTTACCTTTCGACCTTGACCTAGCAGCAGTTTGACTTAGAAAGCTTTAACCTAGCTAAGCCATAATTTTTGACTGGTGAGTGCAAGCTTGGGTTTTCATATTTCACAAGTATATTGATCGATACATTCAAACCCTTTCTTTGGTTAACAACATGCCTGACTTTTTGGCCAATACCTTGGAGTTTGAGTTGTATATATATATTACTTTGAGAACCTTTAAATTTAACTTTCACTTTAGCTGCTATACGGGATTATAAATGTTTTACAAATACGTCTTGTTATGCCCCCGTAAACGACGTTTCGGGGGGTATATAGTTTTTGTCGTGTCCGTCCGTCTGTCTAGCTGTCACTCTCTCTGTCTAGCTGTCTAACTGTCTCTCTGTTTGTCTGTCCGCAAAAACTTTAACCTTGCCCATAACTTTTGATTAAGTGGAGCTATGACTTTCATATTTCACATCTACATTTATACTTCACAAATATAATTTTTGTTAAAAGAGCTATCATTGGATACCAATAACTTTGACCGTTTTACCTTGACCTTGGAGATTTTTGTACTTGTGAAAAAACTTTAACTTTGGCCAAAACTTTTGAACGGTAAGGGATAGGGCTTTCATACTTCACATATATGTAATCCTTGTGAAAAAGACCCTTCATTGGATACCAAAAACTTTGACTCTTTGACCTTGACCTTGGAGTTTGACCTGCTTTTAAACGCAAACCTTGACCATAACTTTTAAAGGGTTATGGCTAGTACTTTTATACTTTATATATTTAATTCTTGTGACAAGACTTTTCATTTGATATCAAGATCTTTGACCCTTTGACCTTGACCTTGGAGTTTGACCTTCTTTTAAAAATTTTTAACCTTGGCCATAACTTCTGAACAGTTAAAGCTAGGGCTTCTATACTTTACATATGTATTCTATGTGGCAAGACCTTTCAATGGATACTAATTACCTTGACCTTTTGACCCTGACCTTGGAGATTTTTGTACTTGTGCAAAAACTTTAACCTTGGCCATAACTCTTGAACGCTGAATGCTAGTGCTCTCATACTTCACTTATGTAATCCTTGTGAAAAGACCCTCTTTTGGATACCAAGAACTTTGACCTTGACCTTAGAGTTTGACCTACTATTAAAAAGCAAACATTGACCATTACTTTAAAGGGTAAGGGCTAGTGCTTTTATAGTTTACATATTCAATCCTTGTGACAAGACCTTTTATTTGATAGCAAGACCTTTGACTTTGACCTTGGAGTTTGACCTACTTTTAAAAATTTTTAACCTTGGTCATAACTTCTGAACGGTTAGGGCTAGGGCTTCCATACTTTACATATATAATTTTTGTGGCAAGACCTTTCATTGGATACCAATGACCTTGACCTTGAAGATTTTTGTACTTATGAAAAAAACTTTAACCTTGGCCTTCTTTCATATTTCACAATTGTATTTCCAGTGAGAATACCCTGCTTTTGGTACCAATATATCAAATTTGCATTTAAGAAAAGTTTAATCTTTGCTATGTTGCCATACGGGGGCATTAGTGTTTCACAAACACATCTTGTTTTTAATAGCAATTCGATCAAGTTTTTCATTACATAAACAAAACACGAAGGGTAATCAAAAATAAAATATTTATATTATGACACAGTACGTTGCTAAACAATCATATTACTTTTATCTTCATCGAAATCCACACTATTTTCGATTGTATAGAGATACTAGATAAATGTTGGCAAATATGGCTTGATCAATTTTCAACGCATCTTATTTCGAACATAGTTTGCAGCGGGGACATGTTCAACATTATTCCTAGACTGGTAGACAGGAAGTCCGATGGTGTTCCCATGGTAACAACGACTGTTCCTATGGTTTCAATGTGTGCTTATCTGTGTAAGACAAACCACTCCTGTAAGGTATTCCACTACCATAACGACTCACAGGAATGTGGTCTTTATAATAGTCAGAATCACAGAGATGTCGGCTTAAAAGTGGGGACCAAACACTTCCAATTAATGCCAAAAGGTGAGAGGGGGAGGGGGTATAGTACTCTTACAATATTTCCTGTCTTTGTTACCTTGCCTCGACTGTGTTTAGACTGAGAGTTAAAAGACATCTGGACATTTTTTCTTCGTCTATCAAATTTGGAAAAGAGAACTTTTATTTTATTATTTTGTTTTTGTGAATATATGTAGGTTTTTCTTGTTTCTGCAATATAGATTTTGATGACATTCTAGGGTAAATAAGGTGTTGTACTTTAGAATAAGGAAAAGCTCGAGATGTTAATTATGTTCCCCCGCCTTCACCAAATGTTGACAATTGACAATGTTTTAGAATTAGTCGTATAGACTGTATTATCCAACGAAATGGGACATTTTGAGGGGAAATATGCTTTGCTTTAGAAAATATTTTGCATGGGCATCCAATGAAAGATATTTTTTTATTTGCTAAATTGGCATCTGAGGTTACTGGTAAACACTGCTGTGAAATACCGGTATATATTACTCCAGTAGTTTTCTAAAACAGTGCAAACCTTCAGAGATATATATGCAATATTTCTTTACGTAAGTACAAAGTTTTTTTATTAAATATTTAATCCAATTTTACACTGTCCAAAGTTTGGTTTTCCCTTTAGAGTGTGTTCCAGGAATTGACGAGTGGTTCCCAGATATAAACCAGTGTATCTACCTTCATACAACGACCACGCTCTATGCAGATGCCCAAGGAACGTGTCATTCAATGTCCAGAGAACTGATGAGTATATATGACGTGAAGTACCTCGGCGTCAAAACTGTGATGCAAAAACTTAACATTTGTGAGTACACATATCATTATAACGCAAATTCAATGAACGATTTAAAAATTACTTTCGCATCTAAAGGTCATCTTTGAATTCTTAAACAGCGAGACGGCTACAGAAAAAAGGTATATTCTCTTTCAGTGGCAATTCACACGTACGCTAGGAGAGTGGGCGCCTTCTCGTACGAGTGGCGGGATGGTTCGGCTGTCACACAACACTGGTGTCCGAGCGAGCCCTTCGAGGATCGGGACTGTGTGGGGTTAATCGAGACCACGTGGTGTCCGGAAATAGGACTCGACGACAGCTCCTGTACTAAAGTCAAGAGAGTCTTCTTTTGTGAAAAATGAGCACATAACTTTACATACTGAATAAATCATTAAACATGTTCATAACTATATCAGTGCATTTAACTTTGCCTTAAATGGTAGCCAAGAATTAATAAATCCAGACTCTCTTCAATTGATTTGGTAACAAGTTTCTTAGTCTAAATGTATACAATAATAAATTTATTGATTCTAACATTTGGTTCAAATGTCCTACACTTTACAATGTAATGCATGGATTTCACATGAAAATCGTGTAATAACATTCGCATATTATATACGAATGTGAAATCTTTTGCATGATTTTCGTTAAAATTTCATGCAAAAAGAAAATCGTGTAGCAAATACAATCTTGTGCCTCTATTGGGTATTGAACCCGGGGACTTTGGCTTGCCAGTACATGCAGAGCTCTACCAATTGAGCTAAAGGGAAGAATTAACCCACTAGCCCAAGCTAGTAGGATGCCTTGTACCTTACACTACTACATCGCCCCCTCCAGAGAATGAGAAGCCCTCATATCTTTCTGAGTGCCAAAACCTGTAGGGATAAATTCTAGGCGCAATTACTCTCAGCCCCATAGAACGCCCGGGTCCCAACGTGGGCGCCAAATGTAGCAGAGACAATTTTTTTTTTACCTCTGTTGGGGATTGAACCCGGGGCCTATGGCTTGCCAGTACAGTGTTCTACCAAGTGAGCTAAAGGATTAACCCACTAGCCCAAGCTGGAAGGATGCATTGTGTCTTACAAAACTACAAACTTGTGAAAAATTAAATCATGCGTTTATCAATGCCCTAAAGGAAGGGCAACTAACATATATGCTCACTCCTCCATGGCACCTGATCCCACCTCTGATGTTTTGGAGGTGTTTGCTCTGCTCCTATTTTGTATTGTTTTATGGACTTTGGTATTGAATGCTGTTCGTTATCTCCATATCCTTCATATAACGTCATGTTGACTGTGTCTCAATCATGTTGTTTGAGGTTTTAAGAGGCGCATTGAAGTTAACTATATGCAAAGTTCTTGATAGTTCAACCATACTCACCCCAACGGTTCCATTTTTACAAAATACCGGGGTATTTATTTTTAGCCGGACTACTAAATATTCTTTTTAATGAAGGAAATAAAATGTCGTAAAATTGCATAATACATGTATTTTTATTTTTAAAAAAAATATGTTTCCTTTGTAATGTGTATTTCCTTTTTAAATATGAGATACATTGATATTTGTTCTATATTAATACACAGCTGTTTAGTAAGCATAGTATTTTATACGTTTTTTTTCATTTACTTTTCTCACAGTTTTTTACTCAAAGTGCTAGAATTCTTTCAGAGCATTAATTGGTACTTCATATGTGAATTTAACAACAAATATCTCTGCAAACAGATTCCTTCACTGATAAAAAATTAATCATATATTAAGATTATCAGAAACATCCTTCAATAACAGCCAAGAAACACTGCTAAAAAGGGAAAAAAATATAAGAATCATTGATATATATCTTCTGATTGGCTTCAATTCAATTTAACTGACATAACTGCCAATCATTTCTTCTAGAATTGATCCTATTTATATACATTCCTGACATTTATTTATCTACATTGCATCAGGTGTAAATCTTGTTTATAATCGCCACTCATGAAACTTTATTTGCGATATATATAAACGAAGCTTCTATTGATTTCATTAGCAACTCCACTAACATTGATAACAAAATATAAATTATCAAAGCAATGTTGAAAAGTACATGTGAGTTGCTTTAAAAACTTTTTAAATGAGACTGTCAATAACATCGCATAATGCAAGACTACACTGCTACACATGTACAAGTGAAAGTTCAGTAGTCTGGTTATAAAAGTCAGTAGATGTTTTATTCCCATGCTGCTTTTCTTCTTTTTCACATTATTTTTCAAATGTTAGTGACAAGATGACAAAAAAGACAACTTATTTTAGAGGAATCATCTACTCTAATATCTCATGATTAAGTTTTTCATTATTCTTGAAATACATGCAAATAAAGAAGCAGAATTCTCTTTAAAAATAATTCAAACATTCCTAACTTACTGTAGATTCTTTAATTTATACATCATGACTCCAAATATTGGTTTGTTCGCAAAAGGGGAACAACGTTCCACAAAAATTACTGTGTATATCACATTTCCAGTGAATGACATTCATTGTTATGTCGAACAAACTTCAACTTCACATATAAAATTTTCAAGGAGTGCTAACATTTTAGTTGTTTTCATAAACTTAATTTCGTTGAGTTATAAAATTGTATGAAACATCTTTAAAAATCATATGGATTCTCTCTCCCCTTATAGACCGAATAAAATTTTTTTTCGTACTCCAAGGCTTTATCTTGTTTGTGCAAATATCTAAACATTATGCTGACGTCGAGTGACATTTCCGGAAGCTCTTCACAGAGTTTTTCAATGTCATCGATGTGGTTTATTAATGGATCAAGAGAAAAATACAGTTTTGATACAGCGTAAATATGTAAATAATACATCTTAAGCTTCATCTTCAGGTCCCCCATCATCTGATCTTTTTGGGATATGATCTCTTCTTTTAGAATCTGATCTTCTATTTCTTCCATCCTAATTGTATCAGTATTGATGGCCTTTATAATACAACGTATTCCTGTTTCAATAGCCAAGGTAGAAAGGCATGAATTTCGTTTGTCAAATTCTCTACAGCTATATGCATAAAAGCAATCAGCAAGGGTATAAAAATCTGTAGACTTTTCTTTTGGAATTTCCATCCATCCAATTCTAAAGTCTGCTGCCCATGGTAAGACATCTTTAGCGTATGTTGCCTTATCATCAATGTGCTCCTTTAAGATATCAGTCTGAAATCGAATGTCAAAATGTTTTGCCAAAATAATACGTGATGATTTTTGGCGCAAGCTTTTCAAAGCTATTTGAAAGAATTCAAGGAAACTTGGCATATCATAACTGTCCATTGGCATTGCTACTAAAAGTAATTGTTCGTGGACGTATTGTAAAAGTTGAAATGCCGTACTATAAAATCCGAGTCGCGTCATGACTTTGATAGAACGCAAGGTTCCAGGCGTGAAAGCATTCATTAATGATGATGCCAAATTTTCATTGTGCAAAAAGGATTTGCAATTTTCAAAAACCATTTGTATCAGTTTTGGTGCATAATGATATCCATGATTTTCTGCTATGTTTTGTATGACTTCCACCGGAAACAAGCGTATGCATTCAATATTTACACAAACAGCTTCAATTTCTTGAGATGAGTAACATTCTATAAGATTGTTTGTTGGAATGAAATAATGTGGAAGGAATTTGCCCTTTAAACAGGCCAGCAATGCACTTATGACAAACAGAACACATCCACTAAAACTGGTTTCCCAGGCTGCGCAAGGTATATCTTCAAGAGCACCCATGAACACAGCCTTCAAATGTTTATTCTTCAATCGTTTCGGAAGATGAATAGTCACGTTTTCGACCAAAACTTTGAACACCAAAAATCCGTGATACTGGAATTCGGTAAGACCAGTTGTGAAAATGATGTATTCAGCCATTGAGAAGTTATATTTCCATTCAATATCAGGTTCTTTGCTTCGAGGATGTGCCTTTTTCATCAATGTACATTTCATTTTTAAAACCTTTTGCATGAGTTTGCGAGAGGGAAATGTAAATTTTCTTTGTCGATTTCTCCATTCCTGGGCTGATGGAGGAAAAGTTTCACAAACCAGTCCTTTGTACCTTATCTCGACATCTGCTGGTAAGGAAACTTCAGCTTCTACTTCTATTTCTCTGAGAAACTTGTCGGATCCCTTGTAAAGAATTTGTTTTTCGCTTATTCCCATCGTATATTGGGGCAATTTTAAATGACAGTACCCTGGGTGGGTATTTGTTGAGTCTGCAAAAATACTCACTACTGAGGTTTTACCTTCACTTATATCAGAATGTCGCACAATTTTGTTTCTTGGCGTGAGAACAACCAATCCAACTCTTTTTTGGCCGTGCCTATTATAAAAGAGACGCTTTGATTGATTTTTGCTTATGTCTTGTAAGAAAACATTGATACCATCTGCGAAAGATCCAATGCAGTGCAAATATATATCAGGAAAAATAAGTGGACCACGTGCCGAAATATACGGATAGATCATATGGGCTGGAAATAGTTGTCTAAGAAAGTATGTTAAATGAGGAAGTGGAATTCCGGTCAAGACGTCAATGTGCATAGGATCAAAGAAGATATTACTCATAGAATCTGCAAAAAAGGATTAAATGATTAAAACCATCTTTACTGTAGAAAAAACCCTATTGTTCAAATTCTCTTTATACACCATTTCAAAAAAGAAACTTTTTTTGAAAATCCTCCATCTCTTTCTTTATCAAAACTTAATAAATGAACGTAATCATTTTTAACAAATGCATCTATGTGCTTTATCTTGTTTAATACCCTCTATTTCTTCAAGTTGTAATTCCTCTAGACAGTGGAACAAATTGACTCCATGGCTTCCTGTAGAATGATTTTTCTTCACAGACATTTCTGAATTAGCGTTGTTTCTCTCTGCGTCGTCAGTGGGAATTTGAACCATGTCTAAAAATTCTTCCTGATTTACTATATTACTGGCTCCCATTTCGGTGATTTTTTTCTGTATCAGTTCTTGTCGTTGGACTTGAGAAAGGTTATCAGTGCACACTACGAGTCTATACAAGAGGGACTCTGAAAAGCATCGAAAACTTAAGAAGATAATTGTCAAAATATCTTTTAAAAATATATACACACAACTCCACATTTCTACATAAAAAGTTGACAAAGAATTAAAAAAAAACATTACGTTGTCATGCATATTTTACAGTTATATATTTAGTGGCTGTTCAATGTTTTGCAGCTGAAAATGAAACTTTTCTCACTAAGTAGATTTGTTTTTTCTCTCTCGTGCTTTGTAGTCGTGAAATATACTAACAAACTCTTAAAAAATTATAAAAGAATAATGAAAAACTTTAAACGAAATTATAAAATCAACTGTAAAACATTAAATTTCCTGTTTAAATAACTTTGCAATTTCCTTTCAGTTTTTCTATCCCTGTATATTTTTGTAACACAGTGTCATGGACTGTGACTTCATAGTTGAGAGGTTGGATGTTGTAGCAAATTAAGCGACTGCACGAATGAAAACCTCGTAAGCATAGATAAACAATGTAAACAAGAAAGTGGGGGGGGGGGTATTTGGTAGTTTTACTCTTATGAAGATTTTTAGCCGGGCTTTGCTGGGAATTGGCATCGTGATCGACTGTCTTTCTATAAATAGCACAGTAAACAAAAACCAAACAGGGTCAAATCAGGCGCTTCCGATAAAGAAAATAGTTCCATTGCGAGACGATATTCAGACAAATATTTTTAACATCCCAATCGTTGGTAAAGTTAAAGATCAATGTTTTTGGTTTAGAATTAAACTGAAAAAGAGTTTAGGTATTTGCTTTATTGGAATAATCTTGATACTGTAAACGTACTTTTTTCCACGGGGTCATAATTCCGCGGAATCTCAATTTCTGTTTAATCCGCGGGTAGAAAATTACGCGGGTTTCTTAGACTGTCACTATATGCCTTACGTTTACATTAAGTACGCTTGGACAAATTTCCGCGGAAAATTTGTGACCGCGTACATAGCGTAAATTAATACCACGCGGAAAAAGTACTTCTACAGTATATGATATATATAACAATTTATGCACATACGCTGCTGAAAGCATATTATGAGCGAACTTTTATCAATAGCGCGGGCTTTTCGAAATGTTGAAAATGTTGAAGAGTTTCATGTTTCATAATTGTTTTCGTCGATGTTATGTTTGTGGTTATATTCTGTTTTGATTTTTAGCAAATTAATAGTATAGTGAATTTGAATTTTAAGAATTAATCAACGTGTGTGGGGTCGCTTGACAATGCACATAACTTGTATCAGTGTTTCTACATATTAGTTTGCGATAAAAGTACTGTTTGTTTGAAACTAAAAGAATTTCTATAAAATGCACACGTGTATTATTTTAACTATTTTAAGACTGGATTTTTAAATAATGAGAAAAAAGCTTATTGAATAGAAAATATGCGAAAATTTCTTGGTAATTTTAATTACTGGTATATGGGATATTGTTTTAAATCATAATCATATATACTCTACCTGTTAAAAATCAATGTCCAAAAGGAAAAAAAATAAATATCTACTATAAATTTCAGATCAGACAATTACTCCAGTAATTCAAGCCCGGCTTTCACTTCTTTCAATACTTTGATTTGCATTTAATATCTCATTTGGTTTTTAAAAAACAGTTAAGGAAGTATTTTTACCATAACCTTTGCGAGGGAAAGAAAATCGTGAATTTTGTCGGTTTGTTTGACTACTGTCCCAAAATATCATTTTCATTTAATTAATTAATTGCTTAATTTCAGAGTTGAAAATGCAATGCCATTGAATACATCAACACCAAATAGATTTCAGCTTTACAATAAATATATATTGAAAAAATAAGTGTGTTGCTGAAACAATAATTCTATAGAATTATTAAATTAGTAAAAGCCCAAAAAAGTATTTAAAATATTATTCGATTTTTTTCTGCTATATTACATGTAATTTACCAAAACTGTTTTTAATATTTAAATTTTGACTGAATAATTTTTGTAAAAAATCTTAATGTACCAAGATATAGGTTTAAAAGACAAACAGTAGTGACACTTTTTGAACAACCAAATAAAAAAAAACATGCAAATGATTCATTCTTACTGTAAGGCCAAGACGATGTCCAATGATCAGGGCGCAGACTCAAATAATGAAATTCTCCCAAATGTCCTAGAAATATCTGCATTGGTATCCCATTCCTTCTACTTTCTGGTTTCACTTCAGTTCTCCTTATGTCGTCCAGGAAGACATTATAAACAATGACTTCTAGGTTAAAGGCTTCCACCACAGCCAGGAGAATAAGATGATCCCCCCATTCACTCGATCTAGACATTCTAGAGAGATAATCCTCCCATGACTCGGTGCACAGAAAAGACTGAATATGATCGCCGCCTTTTTTGTTAGGTTTCTTTTTTAGATACCTGAAAAAAATAAATTTGTAGCTATTTATTTGTTCAGCATGTCACATGTGTCTTGTCATATCATCTACTTTTATATTAGAGAACAAGGCTCAGTATTTATCTATTGCAAAGCATTCGGTACAATAATCAGACTCTGTACCAAACAGATTTTTTGAACTCACTGTATTGCTGTACATCGTAGACTCTCAGCGGTAAATCCGATCCGACCATTTATCATGAACTGGTCAGCAAGTGCTCGAAACATGCAGTTCCCATCATGAATGACATCATGAACTTCAAAATGATTGGTTTTTGCAAATGCCTGTATTGATCTTCTGTAGACAGGTATGTTTTTATACTGTTCCACTCCTTCACCTAGAGCAAGAAATACCTCGGATATATAAATTCGAGCTATGTCTTGTATTTTTAAATGTTGAATCTCAGATTTTAAGACTAACTCATTTGCTTTTTGTCACACAAGGGAAAATACATGTATTTCTTTAAATCAGTTAAATACATGGGAAAATATATAAAGTTATACTCACTATATCTGCCTTTTAAAGGTTTTTGAGAATATTCTTCGAATGGATCCATAATGTTTCTTTCGTCGTATCTTTGTCCATGTGTTTCCATATATTCCTCATCACTATCAAAATAATCAATTTCATCAACGTTTTTATCGTAAAGTTCCTCGAGCAATTCCATATTTCCTTCTTTCGTTGGACCTGAAGATGACAACCTCTTAAGCCTAGAAGAATCTTGTTCGTTGTTTTCAGACATTTTGTCACTCAATGTTTTCTCCGAAGTAACAAATACCCCGTTTTCCGATGTATTTTTTCTTGAAGTGAGAAAATCAGAATTTTTAAACGGAATATTCAATGTATGATCTGTATTCAAATATTCATCATGTTTTACTTCAGTAAACGAATTTTCAAATACTATTTCCTTGTCTCCATCTTTTGTTAAATCGACTTCATTGTTATTCCATGTTCTCTTGAAAACACTTGTCCATACTTGCTTCTCTATCAGTTGAGAAATATTTACAGACGCCATTGAAATAATGCAAACAGGACAAAAAGTCAGTTTTTTATACACAACAGCTGAGAGTCTCTCTTCAGTGGGAAAAAAACTAAAGCCACATTTTTGTAACAATTTAACACTACGTCCAGAAAATCCAACTGCTAAATAAAAATGTTTGTATTCCCAGACTACGGACGGAAACGATGCATTTTTTTCTCTCAGTTTCCTTTCATTTAAAAATAAGTGGCTATATTTAATTTATATTGGAAAAAATGACTTAAATTCAGTTAAACATTTTTCAATTCGCCATAGAAATAAAGCTATTATAACAACATTTAATTTGTTTGGTTGTTTATATAGAACCTTAAATAAGTTGTAACATAAAATTAAATTTGATTTAACAAATTCAAAATCTCGGTATTTCAACTGGTTTAATTCTTTTAAAAGATTTAGAGAATTTGTTTTAACAAAATTTCAGTTCCATCTGAATGTGATAACAAATAAAAATAAGATAGAACGAATGTTATAGGATTTATTATATAAATTAACCTCGATATTTTCAGTTTTTAAAGCTATAAACACTTTAAATTATATAACTGATTGTCAAATTCTAATCTGTTGGAATAAAAAAATCGATTAATAGAGAAACACAATTCCAACAGATTGTTAGAAGACTTGATGTCTAAATGATCTTAAATCTGTAAAAGCGCTCTTCATTGTTTAAATTTGCTACATTTCATTAAAAAAAAATCGTGAAAACGAATTGAATAAAAATAGTTCTGAAAACGAACAACGATCGATCTCCTAAAAACTACAATTAACGCTAATTTGTAAAGAGAACATATACACGGACAACCGGAAATTCCAGGGGTGGGATCATGTGCCTAAGAGGAGTAAACATCACCTATCGATCGATCACACCTGTTGTAAGCCCTATATGTATTGATCAAATACTCGAACCAATCATTAGTCAAATTTAGTACAAAAACAATTTGATTTTGATTTGATTGAAACAAATCATCCAAAAGAGATTATGTTATGTTTGTTAATGAGGTTATTATAACGACCATAGAATTTAAAATAAAAAAAAGACTTTAAAAACAACTTTGTTGAAATCCTTGTAACATAAACTAATGTGTGCATAGCCTGCAAAACCAATCGTATGCAGAGCATAATCTTCAGGAGCGAATATTTGGGAGACAGAAACACAATATGCAGGCGATAACGAAATATTGCTATTGTAAATTGATTATTTATACATCTGAAAGTGAAGATGACAATGGAAAACGTTTTCTTCTGCTCATTTGGAAGTTTTTAAATAAATTCTGATGCGTTAGAGTTAAGGACAGATGCTACAAACAAACTTTTGTCAAAGAAATTGAAATTGAAAATAACAACTTGGGTCATGTTTAAATGAATAAAATGAATAACTCTCACCTTGAAGTTTTTAATTTCTTATTCAAATTTGCACAATAATGGAATTTAAAGTGAAAAATATTTGTATAGATTACTAAGTATGGTTTCAGAAGGGCAGACTTTTGAACATCACAGAAGGTTTACAATCTCTTTATTTTCTAGAAATTTAATATATGCATCATTTGCAATGAAATTAGGCCAAAAAATATATACCAATCAATGCCTCCATTTTTTATTTGTATCATCTGTCCTTAAAAAAAGAATCGAATAATTGAGATAGACCATTGATTATCGCTATTCCAACAGATAATAAGAAGACTTTTTTGTGCTTTTAATGATCTCTTAATGCCTAAAAGCTTTAAGGAGTTCTAAGATTCCAACCCTTCCTCGGCAAGTGATGGCGTCTAAATCTATGTGAAAATTTCTTTTAAGGGTGTTAAATAAACAATCGAACAAAACAAATCCAATATATTACTTTATAAGTACACACTTAAATAGCATAGCAAAAACTATGTTTTAAACATTTATAAAACATTAAAATTTCTCCAAAAGTACAAGTGAAATATATTTGAAATGAATCACATGATACAATGCACCACTTCACTTTCTTTTTCTACATTCATATAAAGTCTTAAAAACAAAATCATTAGTGTTAAAAGCATGATTGATTTTTCAACCTGGGTTATTTTCCTAATACAGAAAATCAATTATCTTTCACATTAAAGTTATTTTAATCTTGTTTCCTTTGTCATATGTATTTCCTTTTGAGTTAGAAAAAATATATATCTGTATCTTTTATAATAAGTTCTTAATATAACGCTTTTCATACAAATTGTTTTGTCATTAAATTTTTCAAAATGAATTGTTATTTATATTTTTCCTTTTGTCCGATCATAACAATTAGCACAAGGAGAATGTGACCGCTCGACAACGTTTGAGCTTAATTGCTGTTTAATGTCTCCATATTTCAATCACACTTTTATTTTGAATGTCACAAAACTATGGATTTTGATTATTTTCTCTTAATTTTTTGTAGACTCTATGAGCATGATGAGTGCAAGATATTTTAAAAAAGTTACGTAATTCAATTTTCTCTGACAGTTTTTGATCAAAGTGCTAATATCCTTAAGAGCATGGTCAAAATTAAAAAAAAAACAAGATGATTTTGTAAAAATGCTGATCCCCTGAACAGCAAGGGTTGAACTTAATGCAAGTAAAACTCCAAGGTCAAAAAGTCAAAATTGTTGGTATCTAAAGGAAGGTCTTTTTAAAACCAATACGTCTGTGAAAAATTAAAGCCCTAGTTGTAACTTTTCATGAGTAAATGTCAAGGTTAATTTTTTTTAAAAAAATGGAGTCAAGCTCTCAGGTAAAGGTCAAAATGTCAATTATATCTGTACTCTTTGAATAGTCTTGTCACAATGAATACACATGAAAGTCCTACCACCAATTGTTTAAAAGTTATGACCAAAGTTGAAGTCAAATGTGCTGGTCAAAGGGTCAAATTTTGTGGTACTCATAAAATGTCTTTTCAAGAGGAAAATACATGTGAAATATGAAAGCCATAGTCCCTATTCCATTAAAATTTTTGGACATGCTAAATGTTTTTTTCGGACAAACAAACAAACAGACTGACAGGGAAAGTAAAGATACCCCCAACTATTCGATTACAGGGGAATAGAAGGATATGGAGATAAGGAACAGTATTCAATCTCATAGTCCATAAAACAATACAAAATAGGATCAGAGCAATAACGGACCTCCAAAACATCAGAGGTGGGATCAGGTGCCATGGAGGAGTGAGCACCCCCTGCTGATCGGTCACACCCGCCGTGAGCTCCTTGTCATGATCAGGAAATAACGGGAAAATCCGTCATTAATTCAGTGTATAAATAATGGACTAGCAATTGGTATGAAAAACATCAGTCAGCATTTGACTCAATGATGAATTGTATTTGCTGACAAGGTCATTGTATCGACCATAGAACTTACAAAATGATGACTTTAAACGAGACTGCTGATATTCTAGTTTCATCAACCTGCTTGTCAATCATATTCTTCGTTTTATAAATTGTTCATACGTAGAGCATGCTCTTGCGTATCGAATCAACTGAGATGTATATACTCCGTATGCAGATGATGAAGGTATATTGCTGCATAAGTAAGGGAAGTTGACGATAGAAAAGTTTAAGTCATCACGTTTACCATATAGCTTGGTTGTTAGATTACCATAAAGTGGATTCAACAAAGAACATGTTTCACGAGTTTACGGCCAGGAACACGTCAAGTTCATTAACAGTACCGTCGTAAGAAACCTTTAAAGTTAATGTTAATGAAACATGGAGATTATGAATAATGAACACTGAAACTAGTTCGTTGTCTGAACATACAGGTAAAGGTATGATAATATTCATCCGTTGCCTTGAGAAGACAAGCCATAGGAGACTTTTTTTCACTTTTAAAGTTAAATTACTAATAAAACTGATCAATGCCCTCGATTGGCAGCTATGGCGAAGATTATAGTTTTTCAAATGCAAATCAAAATCTAAAATCAAAACGTCAAAATTATTGGAATCAAGAGAAAGGTCTTATCACAAAGAAGACACCTGTGAAATGTGAAAGCCCTAGTACTAACTGTTCCAAAGTTATGGCCAAGGTTAAAGTTTTTTAAAAAGTGGGTTAAACTCTAAGGTTAAGGTCAAAAGGTCAATAAAAATTTATACCCATTTAAAGATCCTGTCACAATACATATGCAATGTATGAAAGCCTTAGCACAAACTGTTCAAACGTTATGGTATTTTTTGGTTAAAGTGTGTCAAACTCCATGGACAAGGTCAAAAGTAAGTGGTACCCAAAGAAAGGTCTTGTCACAAAAAGATACACCTTTTAAATATGAAAACCATAGCCTCACCCATTCAAAACCCATGAAACGGGCAAGATTAAAGTTTTTGAGGAGAAACAGACAAACAGAAAGACGGACATACAGAAAGACGGACGGACAAGGCATAACTATATACCACCAAGTTTTCGATTACGGGGATTTAAATATGTGAAGGTGCAGTGGAAGGAGGGCTTACACTCTTTTCGGTGTTGCAAGGATTTTAGACGTTAAAAAGTAATAAAAGAAGAATTCGCATTGGCGTTATCAAAAATCCTGTTTAAATTACACGTGGGTTTGATTCATTTACCTTCTGAAAAGTAATATTTTTCATTAATAGAAAATAATGTAAATGACGTACATATCAACTGATGCAGACAATATAAAACATGTTTATGCCTTTACAGAAAAATGAGAACAAATCAAGCTAAAAAAATTACTTTTATTTGCATACAAAACTTTGATCTGTTTTCATCAGTCTTTTGTCCCTAATTTACTGTATACATTATGAAGAAGGTCGACCTGATGTTGTTAAAGGGATTACTAAATTTCATATAAGAGACACTTTGTACTTTCATGCACTTGTAATATTTGAAAGTATTATTTTTTGAATTTGTCTTTCCTTTAGTCATTAATAGTTTCTTGTCAAATGCATGAAGAATCCTTCAAAATCACAGGAATCATGTGAACATTATCTCCTCTTGAAAGCAGTATTATATTTACGTTCGTATTCTAAGGCTTTATCTCCTCTTTTCAGATATGTAAACATTCGACTCACGCTGAGTGCCATTTCCGGAAGCTCATCACAAAGTGTTTCAATATCATCCATGTGGTCTATAATAGGTTTAAATGTAAGATACTGCAATGAGATAGCAAACATATGATTATAGTACTCCTCAAGCTTCCTTTTCAGATCCCTAGCTAACCTGTCTTTTTGGGATAAGATTTCTTCCTTCAAGCGTTCATCTTCTATTTCTTCTAATTTTATTGTATCCGTTTTTAGGACTTCTTTAATACAGAGTATTGCTGTTTCAATAGCTAACACAGAGAGTATTGAATTTCGCTTTTCAAATTCTCTTAAGCTATAGGCGTAAAAGAAATCAGCAAGAGAGGAAAAATCACTGGCTTTCTCTTTTGGAACTTCTGTTAATCCAATCTTAAAGTCAGCTGCCCATGGTAGGACATCTTTAGCGTACGTTGCCTTATCATTAATGTATTCCTTCAGAATATCAGTCTTGAATTGAATGTCAAAACATTTTGCCAAAATAATGCGTGATGAGTTTTGACGAAGGTGTTTCAAAGCCATGTAGAAGAATTCAAGGAAACTTGGTATCTCAAAACAATCCGACGGCTTCGATATAAGAGCAATTTGGTCGTGTACGTATTTCAGAAGTCTCGTCAAAACTTTTAAGGAACGGAATGTTCCAGGTGTGAACGCATTCCTAAATATTGTTGTCAAGTCTTTACCGTCAAATGATTTACAATTTGCAAAGACCATTTGTATCACCTTCGGGGCATGATGATAGCCATGGTTTTCCGCTATGTTTTGGGCGATTACCACTGGAAACATTCGAAGACATTCAACATTGGCACCAATATTTTCAATCTCTTGAGATGAGTAGCACTCTATAAGATTGTTACTAGGGATAAAATAATGTGGTAGAAAATTGTCTTTTAAATTTGCTACCAAATTACTAATGACAAATAAAATGCATCCACTAAAATTGGTCTCCCAGGCTTCACAAGGTATTTCCTCTAAAGCACGCAAGTACACCGCTTTCAAATGCTTATTTTTCAATTGCCTTGTTAGATGAAAAGTCATGTTTTCGACCAACACTTTGAATACACAGAATCCATGCATCTGAGAATCGGTTAAGCCATTCGTAAATATCGTATGCTCAGCCATAGAAAAGTTGTACTTCCATTCAATATCTGGTTCTTTACTGTAAGGATGTGCCTTTTTAATCAATGTGCATTTACCCTGCAAAATATTATGAATGAGTTGGCGAGAAGGAAATGTAAATTTCCTTATTCGAATTCTCCACTCCTCAGCTAATGGAGGAAATGTTCCACAAAGCAGTCCTTTGTACGTAAGATGGACATGTTCTGGTGTGGAAAGCTCTGCATCTACTTCTACTTCCTTAAGAAACTTTTCTGATTCCTTTTGCAGAACATTTCTCTCATTTTCTTTTGTATTAAGTGGTAGCCTTAATTGACAATAACCTGGATGAGTTTTTGATGAGTCTGCGAATATACTTCCTACTGAGGTTTGATTTTTTCTTATATCACAATGTTGCACAATTTTCTCTAGTGGAATAAGAGCAACATCTCCATCTTTTTTCTGTTTATGTCCATTATAAAATCTGCGTTTTGATTGATTTTCACTGATGTCTTTTAAATAAACATTGATTCCATCTGCAGCCGAGCCGATGTAATGAAGAAGACAAGAAGTATCAAAGAAAATTAGAGGACTCTGTGACCAAGAATATGCCTTGAGCATATGACGGGGAAATAACTGTTTGAGAATGTAGGATAGATGAAGAAGTGGAATCCCAGTTACGGTGTCAATCTGCATGGGATCGTAGAAAATGACGCCCGATGAATCTATAAAAAAGTCGATTAAGAAAAATGAAAATGGATTGTCAGTTCTTCAGTGCATTTTTATTGCATAACTTATTACAAGAAGGACAATGAATACAATTGATTTTCCTATAAAATACCTTCTCGTAATGTAAGGAAAACAATTAACATGTGGCTATTTGTCACTGGATTATTTTATTTTATATCTTACCTTCTGATTCTTGAAGTTGTAAATCTTCGAAACAGAATGTTTCAAAATGGAACATAGAATTTTCTCTGTGAATTTCCTTTGATAGAACATGTTTGTCCATTGATGAATTTTCCAGACTGGTTTCTATTTCAGACCCTTCAAATGGAAGTTGCACCAAGTCTAAAAATTCTTGTTTTACCTTATTGCTGGCTCCAATTTCGGTAATTTTATTCTGTATCAGTTCTTTCCTTGCTGCTAGAGGCATTTTATGAGAACACACCAAAAGTCTATATAAAATGGACCCTGTAACATTATAAGGAAGATTGACTCAAAAACATATTTTTAGAAATATTTAGAAAATTAAATAAAGCAAAAATTAAAAAACATAAATAAATAAAAATCGAGGAGTTGATCGATTTAATAGCCATTTGGAGAAATTTTAGTATATATCACCAGAAAGAATATAGGAGAAAACATCCTTATAGGAGAAAACATCCTTCTAAAAAGCAATTCCACCGAGGAAATGAAAAAGTATAAATTTAAACTATAGATAAAAATGGACATATTATATATTTGTACGTGTTACATATACTCACTGTAAGGCCAAGAGACTGACCAGTGGGCTGGACGCAAACTCAAATAATGAAATTCGCCCAAATGTCCTAGAAAAATTTGGATTTGATTTCGATTTCTAATATTTTCTGGGTGAATCTCAGTTCTCATAATGTCATCCTGAAAGACATTGAAGACTACCACCTCTAAGTTGTAGGCATCGACCAAAGCCTGAAGTACTATATGATCACTCCACTCACTCGATTTGGACATTCTTGAGAGATAATCTTCCCAAGACTCGTTACACAGAAAGGATTGGATATGATTGCCATCTTCCTTGAAAGGATACTTTCTCAAATAGCTAAAAATGACAAAAACTTTTAACTGTACTTACATTACATGTATATTTAATCCTCTTAATATCATTTGTTACAAATAATAGGAGGATGGTGAGGAAGATCAAACGTAGTAAATAATAGGAAAACAAAACAAAAATAGGTCACCGTAGTGCATTGATATATCATTCATACTTCTATCAACAAACTCACTCTACTGCTGTAAATCGTAGTTGTTGTGCTGTATACCCAATTCGACCATTTATCATAAACTGATCAGCAATCGCCCCGAACATACAATTCCCATCATGAATGACATCATAAATTTCAAACTGGTTGTCTCTTGCAAATGCTTGTATGGATCTTTTGTATACAGAAATATTTCTATATTGTTCTACTCCTTTACCTACAACAAATAAAATCATATCAAACATCACGTACATAAACATACCTGGTAGTGCTAAATTTAGAATAAAAAACGGACACTTTTAGTATTCTATTACATGTATCATGAAATACATGTATAGGAATAATTCTTATTTCTTCTTTATGCCATTATAGAAAATTTCTTTTCGGTATTGCTAACAAACATTACAAAAAATATGTAAACTGACTATATCTGCTTCTTAAAGGCTTGTACGAATCTTCGAGTATCAAATCGAAAACGTCTTTCTGGTCGTATCTTTGTCCGTGTGTTTCCATGTATTCCTCATCACTATCAAAATAGTCAACTTCATCAACTTTTTCATCGTTGTCCTCGTCGACTGAATTAAGTTCTTGACTTTTTTCTGGTTCTTTACTTGGCTTTGAGGAAGGCAAATACTGAAGCCTAGAAGGCCTGTCTCCATTATTTTCTGATGATATTTTAATGAAGTTCTCTGTAGTGTCAGAAGCAGTATTTTCCGAAGTGTTTTCAACTGAACTTTTTTTCATTGTGACAAAGTCAACATTTCTGGCCGGAACCCTGGATGTAAGATCATTTGTATGTTCATGATTTGTCACTTCTGAATCAGTAAATGAATTTTCAAAGCATGTCTCCTCTTCCCCATCCTCTCTTATATCATGATTGTTGTTGTTATTCCAAGTTCCGCGGAGTGCCTTCGTCCATACCTCCTTTTCTATCAGTTGTGAAACATTTTTGGACGCCATTGAAGCACTAAAATTGACTTAGTTTTGATACACTTCCATTTATAGTCTTGTAAAGACAATTACTAAAATTAAGAAATTCATGTAATGCTGTCAATTGAAAAAATATTTTTAACTTATGTGATTTAATATCATTGATAAGGAAGGAAACTAATATACTTCCTCAATTTCTTGTTCTTTCAAAAATAGAGTACAGTTATTCGTTATTAAAATAAAAGTATTCTACACTTTTCTCGGTCGTCACGTTTAAAAAAGAATTCATTGGCATTGACATGTGAATAACATATGCAGGTATTACCTTCCTTCTCACTCCGTATTACATGTATAGCCTAGAGAATGTTGAAACCTTATTGTGGTCATATTTTGACTCTTGAAGCCATTGATGCATTTAATCATTACTTATCTATCCCCTTAAGTAGAAATTCATGTTTAACATCATATTCTACGGCTTTGCTGTCTCTCTTTAGAAAATTGTGTTTAAGGTAAGTCACTCGTCAGCTTTTTAGAAAAGTTCACGCAGAAGCTTTTACTTCAAAACTACTTATTAAAATTCAATTTTTATAACATATTTGAATTCAACAATGTAAATTTTTTAACATTCAGTGAAAAAACTGCTCAAAAATCTACAAAGAAGCAAGATCTACGAGGGACTATTTCTTTTGGTGGAAGGATATTTAGCAGAAAATTCTGCAAATCTGCACATTTATAAAATTTAATGTAATGGAAATTTAGCCTCACATACTTTTACTCGGAGAATATTTTCCGTTTTGATATTGCTAAAAATATTTAATATAGGTCTTAATTTATATTTTTAGACTAAGTTTTATACCTTCCCTCAACAAACTTTTCCAAAAAATAAAAATATATTAAAGAAGTCAAGGTCAAATTTACACCATTTTTTGCCCGAAAATCACATATTTTGACAAATATTTCAATATTAGCATCACTGACCCCACCTTTTTCTTTCATTATTTTAAACTACTCGATACTTGTGACTGATCAGCACTCAAGTCGTAAAAAGTTTGATTTTTTTTATTGCCTATTAAATTTTTCAAGACCCCAGATATGTTATTTTTTAGTGCAAAAAGGTCACTCAATAATTTACGCGCATTAATTTGCAAGATTTGTTTAATGATAAATATTATTCAAACTATTTTACGTAAAATAAGATTACATTTATTGCCATGCTTACATCTAATCAAATATAATAAGGGTTAAAGTAATTAACCAAAGAGATGAAATTCAAGTGCAAAAAGGTCAACTTAAGTGTACCGTAGATCAGTAGGATGCACACTGACCCCCTATTTTCATTGCGATTTTGAGTTACACTTTATGAGTACTTATCCAAAATATACTTCTCAAAAAATCCTTGATATAAGAAATTTCAGGAGTGACTTACCTTAACAGACTTTGAATGCTTTTCCTGGAACTATCTTAACTAAAATCAAACATACCACAGACTTTAAGTGTTATTTCTAGAACTATCCTAACTAAAATCTGTCTACGGTATGCTTTTAATTTTCAAATGACCGAAGTGTGCATGTAATACCAATTTGATAACTTTGACGACTTCATTGTCTCTCCTCATAGAATCAAACATGCCACATACTTTGAATATAATTTTTGTTATTATTTATTATTATTATTAAAATTTGTTAAAGCGCTCAATTTTACATATAGTATGCAATCATTGGCGCTGTACATACAATAGAATATATACATATGATAAAAACAATGCATATGTTAAAATATCAGATAAAGTCTAAATGATCACTGGTCGTTTAAATAAAATATACTAGTGTTCAGAATTAAATGTTATTTAAAAGCACATGTGTAGTAGAACGCCTTGAGATGTCGTTTAAAAATACAGAAATCAGTTAACATTCGAACGTTCGTTGGCAACTCATTCCAAATCGAAGGTCCAGCTACCGCGAAAGACCTATAGGCAAAAGTTTTGCGTCTTACGGACGGGACGTTCAATGTTTCGCTGCAGGATTTACGGATCGAATGCCACATGATGATGTTCGTAAACTGAGCATTTCTTTAAGATACTGTGGACTGTCACTGACGTTAATGCACTTGAAGACAATGCATGCAAGTCTGAATTTAATGCGGTGGTGTACCGGTAGCCAGTGTAGTCGTTTGAGTGCTTCAGTAGAACTATCCGTAGACCACAGCTTCAACACAAGCTTTGCAGCACGATTTTGCAACAACTGTAGTCTTTTAATGGTACACTCTGGCAATCCGTACAAGACACTATTTGAATAATTAAATGGCTAGTGACAAGGGACTGTAAATTTGTTTACACGAATTATCACTAAGATATTGGCGAATTTGTTTAATCAAGTACAAATTCAATGAAATTGTTTTGCATTTTTCACTGACAAATTTTTTGAAAGTTAAATTTTCGTCCAGATATCATCCAAGATATTTGATACAAGGAGATGAATTAACATCCGTATCCACTACATTAAGGGAAATGGAAGATGATAGAGATAACATCTGTTGACTGCCAAATAGTACAAATTCAGTTTTACTAGGGTTAAGTTTTAGTTTGTTCAGATTCATCCAGTCATTGATGGTAACCAATACTTTTTCTAAATTTGTTGTTACACGTTTCTCATCAGCGAAAATCTTCGGATTAAAACTGTGATATGCAGAGTGGTCATCTGCGTAACCTAATAATGACACACCCGAGTCTTTGATGTAATGTTGTAGCGTACTCGGGTACACGGTATATAACACAGGTCCGCATATGCTGCCTTGCGGTACCGAAAAGTCCAGACATCTAGGCTGTGATTTAGACGCGTTGATATGCACTTCGGCTTTCCTGAACGAAAGGTATGATTGAAACCAATGAAGAGCCACTTCAGATACTCCGAAAGTAGTTTCTAACACGTTGCTAAGTATGGCATGGTCGACTGTGTCGAATGCAGCAGAGAGATCCAATGCGACTATGGCAGTAACTTCCTGTTTTTCCATTTTCCACAGAATGTCTGATGACAGTTTCAGGAGAGCTGTTTCGGTACTGAACCCTCTTCTATGTGCACTTTGATAGCTAGGTAGTAATCTGTTTGATTCCAGATATTTCATAAATTGATTCAGAGCACATTTTTCCACAATTTTTGATATAAAACTTAAATTACTTACAGGACGGTAGTTTTTCAAAATCACATCTAAACCACTTTTTTTTAACAGGGGTTTAACTATAGCAGTTTTCCATTCATAGGGAATAAACCAGATGTTAGTGATTCATTAACTATGAAAACAATTGTTGGCAATAATAATATTTTTGTAAGTATATTGCATCATTCTACGGAATGCGTGCAATATTCCAAAGACCAAAATCTGTAATATCAATTTGATAAGGAAATATTTGAACTTATCAAATACTTAGTAGTAAATAGACCGATTCTGCATGGTGTGATACAGGTGACGTCACAATACAATTCATATCATGTGTCACATCAGCTCGAGGGCTGATATGGGGCCACTCGGTCTGATATGACATATGATATGGATTTTAGTATGTTATATTCTATGCAATATATATCTCTTCGGTTTCTTCTTAAAGTCATTTTCAGATCTCTTGTTCTTCTTTATTTTCATCAATGATCAATTGTTATAATATAGATAATTATCCAAATTTGGAAAGCCTTTCCACAAAATTTATACCTGTTTCAAAAGTGAAAGTAGTTCTTGTTAAATTCATTAATTTTTTGCATTTTTGTAACTGAATAAGTTCCAAAAATATGAGATTTGCTGCGCTATCGTTTTGATATCATTTACATGACAATAACTGATAAAACGCTAGTAATAGAAAAATTAAGGCATTTAAAATATATTAAAATAAAGGTTTCAGGAGATTTTATATTTATATTTTTATTTTTAGAAACAACCTTCACAATCTGAAACATAATTGCATTCTGCTCGAGCGTGCAAGTTCTTACAAAGATAACAGCTAGATATGATTCATATAAATATAAATTTTTTTTTCACCCAACAAACAATTTTGCATAAATTCTTTTTAATAAAAATTGTATTTTAAATATTCAGTCCTCCTCTCTCTCTCTTTAAATTGCAAACTACATTTGGATGTATATTCTTTTACTTTGTCTTCTTGTCCTATAAACTTGAACATATTACAGACAATGGGTATCATTTCTGGAAATTCTTCACAAAGATTTTCAATGGCATCCATATGGTTTTGTAATGGCCAAATTTTGTTATACAGTTTTGAAATGGCATATAATTGAATGTAGTATTCCTTGAGCTTCATCTTTAATTTCCTTCCTATATTCTCTCTTTCAGACAGTATTCCCTTTTTCAAAGAATCATCTGTTATTTCATCGATAGATAATGAATCCGTTTCCATTGCCTTTTCAGTGCATGTTATTGCCGTTTCCAGGGCAATCCAGCTAACGTTGCATTTCGCTTGTCGTATTCTCTGTGGCTGAACGATTCAAATATATCTCCTAGAGATAGAAAACATGTTGCCTCATTTTCTGGAATTTCTGTGTATTCAATTCTATAAGCCATCTTCCACGGCAGGATGTCTTTTGCAAACAATTCTTTACTGCTAATGTATTGATTCAAGATACCAGTCTTGAAACATCTGTCGAACATTTTTGCTAGAATGATTCGTGATGAATTTTGATGCATTTCTTTGTTTTGAATAACCATCAGTGGAAACAAGCGGACGCATTCAACGTTGACACAAATAGCTTCAATTTCTGTATCAGAAAAACAATTTAAAAGATTGTTAGTTGGAATGAAATAATGTGGATGGAATCTTGCCTTTAAACAGTATCAGTGCAGTTATTACAAATAAAATGCTTCCGCTAAAATTTGTTTTCCAAGCTTCACAAGGAATGTCTTCCAGGGCAGTCAAATAAACAGCTTTGAAATGTTTTAAATTTTTTAACTGCTTTGTCAGTTGAAATGTTACATTATCAACTAATACCTTAAGTACGCGAATCCATGTAATTGAGAATTAGTCAGTCCTTTTGTAAAAATAACATGTTCAGCCATTGAAAAGTTGTATTTCCATTCTATGTCTGGTTCTTTGCTATGGTGATGCGCTTTTTTAATCAGCGTGCATTCGTTTTGCAGGACATCTTGAATAAGTTGTGGAGAGGGAAATGTATATTTTCTTTCACAGACTCTCCATTCAAGGTTGGAAATGTCTCACAGATCAGTCCTTTATACTTGACCTTGGCATTCTTTGGTACATAGAAGCCATTAGCTCTACCTCTTTAAGGAACTTTTTAGAGTCTCTCTGAACAATATCTCTCTGCGACAATATCCAGGGTGAGATTCTGCTGAATCAGCATACATTTTCAACACTGAGGTTTATTGACATTCACTGACATCAGTGTGTAGAACAGATTTGTTCCTTGGAACAAGAACAACGTACCCAAAAGGTTTTCTTCGATACCAATAGGTAAGGTGTTGCTTCGTTAGATTTCTGCAAATGTCTTTTAAAATAAGATTGTTTCCATCTGCAAAACATCAAGTGCAATGACCATAAACATATGGAAATATAAGCATACCTCGTGCCATGTGATATGAGTAGATCATACAGAATGGGAAGAGTTTGAGGATGTAGGATAAATGCGGAAGCGGAATGCCAGTCATAAAATCAATGTGCATAGGATTAAAGACAATGCTGTTTAAAGAATCTGGAAAGGAAATCAAAGTTATTACCAAAATGACGGATTATACATGAAAGTTATGTTTTAATGATACACAATAAGGGATTCAATTTCCGCAAGTTTTATGTATTGCGAATTAAAAATGATCTCAAAAATGCGAGAAATAGATCATCGCGATATTATAAAAACGAATATACAGTATATACAGGTCATCCTAGATGATGATGTTCTATCTATATACCGTGTCTTACCTTCTTTTCCTTGAAGTTGCAATTCACCCAGACCATTTGAGTCAAAATTCGACAAACATTTGACGTTAATAGATTCTGTATTTAGCAAAATTTTCAAGGAATTGTCACTTTCGTTTTCTAGTTGAAGCATGTCTAAATATTCCTCTTCAGTCATTATTTTATAAGCTTTCATAACTTTTATTTTTTGCTGAATCATTTCTCGTCGTGTTAGTATGGAAAAATGTTTGGAACAAACAACAATTTTGTACAACATGGACTGTAAAATACATAAGTAATTAGAAAATGGTAAATTATATTTTAAGCTCAATTGATTTTTAAAGTCTATTATGGGCTCCCTAAAACACTGTGATGTCATACGACAATGCCTTGGCAAAGAGAAAATTTGGACTTTAAAAAAATCTAAGTGATTTTTCTGCAGTAATATTTGGACCAACAATCCTTAGCGAATTGTGTCCCGCCGCAAACTTTTTTATTCTCGTGGTAACAAGAAGTTCCAAGAAAAAAACCTTACAAAGATTTATTATATAAATAGCAATGAATAGTAGATCAGCCTTCCTTATTAAAATACATGGTAAGCAGTGCTCAGATTTATAGTAATGCAACTAAAACACGAAATCATGTGACAAGAGATCTGCCAAATGTCACGTGCCGTTTGAAGACCCCGATCTAAATTTAAGTTGAATAGGTATCTCTGCTCTCGCCCTTTCGGACACACCCTAAACAACAATTGTTAACAAAGCATAAGGACAAAAGTTTGTGTTTAAGTATTTTAGAGACGTCAATGATAGAACTATCAGAATATACCTCTTTCAATTAGAATTTATAGAACATTTCCAATAAAAATATTCCACAACGAAAATGGGTGTCTGCAAACAACAGAGTCATATCATGAGCTTAAAATTTGATTGTGACTTAAAAGGCCTAAGAAAATTATATCTATCCTCACTGTAAGGCCAATCAGATGTCCATTGATCCAAACGCAGACTTAAGTAATGGAATTCTCCCAAATGTCCTAGAAATATCAACATTTGTTTTCTCTTTTTAATGTTTACACGTTTAATTAACGCCAAGACGAAACATTTTTAATAGGGTTAATTAATTCTAATTAAAAGATGTATATTCTGATAGAGTTATAATCGATGCCCTCTAAGAATACTTCAACACAAACTTTTTGTTGTAAGCATCGACCAAGGCCTGGAGAACTATGTGATCACCCCATTCATTCGATCTTGACATTCTAGAGAGATACTCTTCCCAAGACTCTCCACTCAGAAAGTACTGGATATTATAATCATCTTTTTTGTAAGGATACTCTCTTAAATATCGAATTAAATGATCAAACATCTATTATTGTTGCGATACATGTAATCAATTTAACAATCTTAACATATTGTCATATTTCTATATGTATTTTTTGAGAAAGTTTGCAGCGGGGACATGTTCAACATTATTCCTCGACTGGTAGACAGGAAATCGGATGGCGTTCCCATGGTAACAACGACTGTTCCTATGGTATCAATGTGTGCTTATCTGTGTAAGACAAACCACTACTGTAAGGTATTCCACTATCACAACGATTCACAGGAATGTGGGCTTTATGATTGTCAGAATCACAAACATGTCGGCTTAAAAGTGGGGACCAAACACTTTCAATTATAATGCCAAATGGAGAGAGATAAATTACATTGTACTCTTACAATATTTCCTGTCTTTTTCCCTTGCCCGGAGTTTTGTACTTATTTGTTGACTTGTATAAACTCTGCTCATACTGTTTATAAGAACCGATCAGTTCATTTTCAAAAGCATAATTATAAAATAATGTTTTAACTGTGAGTGAAACATGTACATTTTAATGTTTTTTCTGGTCTATTTTCTGCAATAAGGTGTTGTACTTTATAATACGGATAGGCTGATGGTGTTAATTTTGTTCCCACGTCTTCACCAAATGTTGACAATATGTATTAGAATTAGTTTTATAGATTATTATCAAAGGAAATGCGAAATTTTGAGGGGAAATATGCATTTTTGCATTAGAGACAGAAAAATATTTTGCAGAGGCATCCAATGATATATTTTTTTTATTTAAGTCAATTTTAAATTGTCAAAGTTTGGTTTTTCCCTTAGAATGTGTTCCAGGAATAGACGAGTGGTTCCCAGATATAAACCAGTTTTTCTACCTTCATACAACGACCACGCTCTATGCAGATGCCCAAGGAACGTGCCATTCAATGTCCAGAGAACTAATGTGTGTATATGACGTCAAGTACCTCGGCGTCAAGGTGTGATGCAAAAAATTAATATTTGTGAGTACACTATCATTATACGCAAACTCAATGAACGATTTAAAAAACTACTGAATTCTTAAACAGCGAGGCGGCTACAAAGTAATGTATATTTTCTTTCAGTGTCAATTCACACGCACGCTAGGAGAGTGGGTGCCTTCTCGTACGAGTGGCGGGATGGTTCGGCCGTTACACAACACTGGTGTCCCGGTGAGCCCCTGGAGGATCGGGACTGTGTGGGGTTAATCGAGACCACGTGGTGTCCGGAGATAGGATTCGACGACAGCTCCTGTTCTAAAGTCAAGAGAGTCTTCTTTTGTGAAAACTGATTACATCAATAAACATGTCCGTGACTAACACTAATCTAATTTCTTTTAAATGATTTATGATTCAAGTAATTATAGACAATCCAGGCATCTACAGCAATGTAGATGTCGTAGTCTGTCTTTGAGTCTGACGTCAGTAGGCGGGGACAATTGAAATTGTCATGGGGGGTCTAGTGTAATTTAAATCCAATAGAAACATTTTTAAACCTAAAAGAGCTATTTTATATACAGTTACATGTATTTTTGCTTACGAAACAGTGTGATAAAACCATGGGGTGTTTTTCAGCAAAATGAATATAAGTGTCACTAAATTATATACATCTGTGACATAATATAATAATAATAATATATAATCTTTTAGAACCACATTTCCTTTTCCATTTCTATTTCCCTTTCACATTTAGATACAAAATATATGTATATTTTTCACATTATGCTCTAAATTTAAATACACAGCTGTCAACAAGAATGTCAAAACCTTTAAACGAGACTTTATGAGATTTTAAAAAAAATGTTTTAAATCGTAGCCTAGGGCAAGTATGTACCGGCATGTTTCTTCCACTGAAAACTGGTATTATATCTGCGTTCATATTCTAAAGCTTTATCTTGTCTTTCCAAATATCTAAACATACTACTGACACTCAGTGCCATTTCTGGAAATTCATCAGAGAGTTTTTCAATGTCGTCCATGTGGTGTTGTAATGGTTCAAATGTAAGGTACTGCATTGAAATGGCGTACATATGTATATAGTAGGTCTTAAGCCTCTTCTTCAGATTCCTTATCATCTGGTCTCTTTGAGATTTAATTTCTTCCTTCAAACTCGCATCTTCTATTTCTTCCAAAATAATTGTTTCTGTTTTGATTTCCTCTTTAACACAACGTATCGCTGTTAGAATAGCCAATTCGGATAATGTTGAATTTCGTTTGTCAAATTCCCTTGCGCTGTATCCGTAAAAGAAATCAGCAAGAGAGAAAAAGTCCGTGCTTCTCTCTACTGGAATTTCCGTCCATCCAATTTTAAAGTCAACCGTCCATGGCAGGATATTTAAAGCATATGTTGCGTCATCATCAATAATTTCTTGCGATATATCAGTCTTGAATAGAATGTCGAATAATTTTGCTAAAATAATGCGTGATGATTTTTGACGCAAGCTTTTTAAAGCCATGTGAAAGAATTCAAGAAAACTTGGCATCTCATAACAGTCCGTTGGCATCGGCATTAAAAGCATTTGCTCGTGGGTATATCGCAAAAGTTGCAATGCAGTTCCGTAACATCCGAGTCTCGTCATGACTTTGACAGAGCACACGGTTCCAGGTGTGAAAGCATTCATAAATACGGTCATTAAGTCCTTATTATCCCTAAAGGTTCTACAATTTACAAAAGCCATTTGTATCAGCTTCGGTGCATAGTGATAGCCATGGTTTTCTGCAATATTTTGGATCACTGTTAGTGGAAACAATCGGATGCATTCAACATTGACACGAATAGCTTCAATTTCATCAGTTGAATAACATTCAATAAGATTGTTAGCTGGTATGAAATAATGAGGAAGGAATCTGACTTTTAAATAGTCTACCAAAGCACTCACGGTATAGAGGAGGCATCCACTGAAATTGGTTTCCCAGGCTGCACATGGTATGTCCTCAAGAGTACGCAGGTAGACAGCTTTCAAATGTTTATTTTTTAACTTTTTCATCAGATGAATAGTCATATTTTCGACCAAAACTTTGAACACGGAGAGACCGTGATATTGGGAAGTAGATAAGCCTACAATTACTGCTTGTTCAGCCATAGAAAAGTTATATTTCCATTCTATATCAGGGTCCTTGCTTCGCGGATGAGCTTTTTTAATCAATGTGCATTTCATTCTCAAAACCTTTTCTATTAATTTGTGAGAAGGAAATGTGAATTTCCTTCGTCGATTTTTCCATTCCTGTGCTAGTGGTGGAAATGTATCACAAAATAATCCTGTGTACTTGATCTGGACATCCTCTTGAAGGGAGACAACGGCGTCTACTTCTATCTCTTTAAGGAACCTGTCTGATCCTCTGCATAGAATATTCTTTTCCCTTATTCCCATTGCGTATGGGGCTAATTTTAATTGACAGTACCCTGGGTGGGTATTTGTTGAATCTGCAAAAATACTCACTACTGAGGTTTGACCTTCAATTTTGTCACAATGTCGTACATGTTTGTCTCTTGGTATGATAACAACCTCTCCAACCGATTTTTCTCCTTCTGAATTATAAAAGCTACGCTTTGATTGATTTTTGCTTATGTCTTTTAAGAAAACATTGATTCCGTCTGCATAAGACCCAATACAGTGAAGGGTTATATCAGGAAATACAATTTGACGACCTGCCGCTCTATATGAGCTGATCATATGGAGTGGGAACAACTGTTTGATGATGTAGGACAGATGAGGGAGAGGAATCCCAGTTAAAATATCAATATGCAAGGGATCAAATAAGACGCTTTCTGAAGAATCTGGAAAAAGAGTATGTAATTTATAACCATCAGTATTGCCGGTATAACATAAGAATTTTAGGTTTTCAGATAAGGAAATCTATTGAAAAATTTCCAGAAATATAATTGAGAAATCTCTCTCTCTCTCTCTCTCTCTCTCTCTCTCTCTCTCTCTCTCTCTCTCTCTCTTCCATGTATAAGCAAAAAATGATACGGGTTCCTGTTGAAAGCATCATTTTACTATTTATCTTGTGTCTTACCCTCTGTTTCTTGAAGTTGTAATTCTTCTAAACAATACGAGTCAAAATCGAACAAATTGTCACCATGGCTTTCTGTTAAATCTTTTTGCTTTAAAGGCATTTCAGGGTCAGTGTTGATTCCATCTCTGTTTCCACCTGGAAGTTGAATCATGTCCAAAAATTCTTCTTTATTCACCAGATCACTGGCCCCCATTTCGGTAATTTTATTCTGAATCAGTTCTTGTCTTGCTGTTGGAGTCAGTCTATTTGAGCACACCATGAGTCTGTACAAGAGGGACTCTGTAAGGATTCAACACGTTCAATTGGACCAAGAAAAATGAAATGAAATTGTAATCTGATTTCATACAATTAGGGAATGAATGATTATATTATCTTATAAATAAGAAAAAAAGTTTTATCAGACATTTATTAGACATTTAGCATAGTTTTAATTAAAGAAAGACCGACATTCATATGTTATATACTTACTATAGGGCCAATATGATGCCCAGTGGTCTGGACGCAGACTCAGGTAATGAAATTCTCCCAAATGTCCTAGAAAAAATTGCAGTGGTGTTCTATTTCTTTTATTTTCTGGTTTAACTACAGTTTTCCGTATGTCTTCAAGGAAAACATTAATGACAACGACTTCCAAGTTATAGGCATCAACTACAGCCTGGAGAATTATGTGATCACTCCATTCATTCGATTTGGACATTCTGGAGAGATAGTCCTGCCAGGACTCGGTACAGAGGAAAGACTGAATATGTTCACCGTCTCTTTTATAAGGATTCTTTCTTAAGTAACTGAAAGAAAACAGTACAGTAGAGGATAACCTGCCAATCAGTTGAGCTAAAGGTGACTGGAAGTTCACTGAAAGCAGTTATCTTTCCAGACCTTTAAGTGACCACCCAACTGACTCATCCTATGGTAACATAGACTAGCAAGTCATCTACCTATTCACAACCAATCTCTACCCAGAGTTGTCGTTCGCTTCGCTACAACACCTCTGTCAACGTCTAAATGCCAAGATTCTTGGCAAAACTTACCTTCACCTATTCCATCATAAATTATGAATGTAAAATTGACTTCTATATTCTTCTTTAACATGTTAAATAAAAAAATTATTTATGAGAATTAGAATCAGATATCGTTTTTTAACCATATCCTATAAGGGATTATTTCTCGGCAGGATATTACGAACGTGGAAAATTTAAAATGCATTGCCGATAATTATCAACATGAATTAGTTTTTATAGACAAACAACTTGCAGCATTAACACATATGAAGAAATGTAAGTGTGTTAATCTTCTTGTGGACAATTTTAAACCACATTTGAAAAACAAATCACGTCCCTCCGCTTCCGTACTATTTTTTAGACGTTGACAGAGGTATAAGTGGAACGATAACTGGGTAGAGATTGATTCACAACATACCTAAAACCCCAGTCACATTTCCAAAAAAGACCAACGGCCGACAGGTTTTGAAGCAAAAATGGGATTCTTCGGGTGACAGTCGTTAGTTCATCGGCCGTTGTCTTGGCCGATTTTGACCCCTTTTTTTTGTCGGCCGACCAATTTTGTGTCCATCGGTCCAAGTTATAATTTTTTATGCGTCGGTGGCCGATTCCTTCAATTGAAGTTATCCGTCGACCAACCTTCGATCATCGTCCAACCATCAGCGGTCAGTTTATAAAGTCGGTTGTCCGTCGTTGGACAAGAAGGGTGTATAAAACTGGCTTTATGAAGTTGCATTGTTCTTGAATTTTTAGGACAACGGGTATAATTCAGTACTTTCAGTGAAGAAAATATAATATGAGCGCACCCTCTAATCTAAAAAATAAAACATGTCCATGAATCCTCAGAAACAGTTCTATCATTTACTAGTTGCATATTTTAGATCAGAGGTTGCGCTCTATTCAAATATAAAAAAATAACTTTAAAAATTGGCCGTTTTTTGTAGACTTTTTCTGAATATGAGGAAATTGATGCATTTCGTGACGTCATAATGCATTGACTAGCCAGAAAATGACGTCATTTTTTATAGGACCGTAGTCACCAACGATCTAAGTGATATTTTAATGCATTGTTAACTAAAACTATGCAGTTTCAGTTTTTCAGAAATTCACAGGGCCAAATAAGGCAAAAGTGAACCTTGTTCTTTTGCACACATTTTCAACTTTGCCTTGCAAACATTACTCACGTCACCTATCTGAATATAGATCTATGAAAAAATATTGCTGAATTCTAAAGAAAAAAAGATTTTTTTGTGTTATTTGTCCAAGTCATCGGTGTCCCTGGGAATTAATGTGACTGCTCCGTGTCGCCCGATACTGTATCGGCCGATCATGTTCTTTCACCCGACAAGACAAGAAAAATTTAGTCGCCCGACCATCGGCATTTAAATGTGACCTAGGCATAACTGTTAAGAGGTCTGACGTGACGAATGCAGTTAAAGAATCATATAGGTTTCACTCTGAATATAAGTAATGATCAAAATACTCACTCTATTGCTGCACATCGCAGACGCTCAGGTGTATATCCGATCCGACCGTTGATCATGAATTGGTCAGCAATGGCGCGAAACATACAGTTTCCGTCATGAACGACATCATAAACATCAAAATGATTAGTTGCTGCAAATTCTTGTATTGATCGTCTGTAAACAGGTATGTTTCTGAATTGTTCGACTCCTCCACCTAAAGCAAATTTAGGAAATACACTTAGATATTTAAAACAGGAAATTTTGTAATTTTAAATCGTCTGATTTTAGAGGAACTATACAATTTGTTATTTACACAAGGGAAAATATATAAACATGTAGTTATTTTTTGGCTTTGAAAATTATACTGACTGTATCTGCTTTGTAAAGGTCTGTGGGACAATCCTTCGAAAAAATCCAAAGGGTTTCTCTCGTCGTATTTTTGTCCGTGTGTTTCCATGTATTCCTCCTCACTATCAAAATAGTCGACTTCATCAATGCTTTTATCGGTGGTCTCTTTGCGTAACTTTTCGCCCTTTCTGTCTTCTTTGTTTGACACAGAAGACAAACACTCCGGACTAGAAGGATCGTCTTTGTTGTTTCTCAGTGTCATTTTACGTAACTTCTCTGAAGCGTCAGAATCAGTGTTTTCCGAAGAGTTTTTAACAGAATTTTTTTCAGAAGTGACAAAATCAACATTCCAAGCCGGAGCCTTTGGTGTAAGATCCTCATTTGTATGTCCATGATTTTTCACTTCAGTGAATGAATTCTCATAGAACGTTTCCTCTTCGCCATCTTCTTTTAAATTACTGTCGTCGTTATTCCATGTTCCCTGGAGTGCCCTCGTCCACACCTCCTTTTCTATCAGATGTGAAACATTTTTGGACGCCATGGAATCACTAATATTGAATTAATTTTGAAACACTTCCATTTAGAGTCTTTCAAAGACAGAACTAAAATGATTAAATTCATGTAATTCTGTCAGATTAAAAGATATTTTTAACTTACATGATAAATCAGATTTAATATCATTGATAAGGACGGAAACTAATATACTTCCCCAATGTATTTTTTATTTAATTATAGGAGTAAAGTTGTTCAATATTAAAATAAAAACATTCTATACTTTTCTCAGTCTTAATGTTAAAAAAAATTCTTTAGTGACATATAAATAACATATGCAGGTATTACCTTCCTTTTCACACTGTATTACAGGCATAGCCTAGAGAATTTTGAATCCATATTGTGGTCAGATTTTGACTCCCGAAGCCATTGATAGCAACATTAAGTCTTGGGGAAGGTTTTCTGCATTATTGTGATATCTATAACCCAGTAATCGAGAACAAGAAATATATTAGGATTTCCTGTAATGCCTTGTACAAAGCAGGCAACAACAATGTGTTCAAAAGGTTCATTATTTTAATGATACATGTATTTTAGGAGAGAAAAACGGTATTTTAGTTTACTTGAATTTTGAAAAAGCACTACATGTACAAAGCGAGCAACAACGATGTCTCTGCTTCTAATACTTATTATTTTGATCTTATAGTGAATCTGATATTTATTTACGTTAGTGGTCTTCTAAGTTAGAGTTATAGCTGCCTTTCAAAGGACTGGTTGTATGTTGTTCAATGTCTCTACCGAGAATTTTTCGCTCATATGGAAATGCCACCACTTGCCGCTGAAGAGTTGCAAATTTTGTCCTAATTAATTACTCGGCACTTAGGGCCATTGATCGTGGAGGATTTTTTTGCCAGCACCTATTGCGACACGGGACCTCGGTTTATACATCCTCACAAAAAATATTAACAGCAGAAGAGAAAAAAATCAGGAGTCCTGTACAAAAGATGAAGCGTTGTAAATTTTCATCGATAAATTAATGGAGCATATCAAATGCAAGGTTACAGTAAAACTTGGTTATATCGAAGTCGATGGGACCTATAAAATTGCTTCGCTATATCCGTAATTTGATATATCCAGTTTAAGGAATTCGTTTAATTTCAATAATTTAATTTAGTTTGTATTCTCGTCTCTCATAGCTTTATTTCCAAAAAGGAACGCAAATTATTCTGTATAATCTGGTTTGGTATGGGGACACACTCCCTTCACAACCAACTGAATCATCTGTATCCATGCAATCCCCTCATTTCCAGTCTTCGGGATCCATGAAAATTCCAGATTTAAGCAATTACTCGATCTTACCTCATGCAAACGACATCATGACTGCTAGATCTATGTATCATTTATTACCTCCCCTTGCTTCCCATCGTCGCAAACCACGACCAAAATGTACGATCCTGTCCCATTCTGGAGAGAGCTATATGCGGACTCCGGACCGTGGCTTGAGACGATGCTCGCTTCCCATCACTTCCGTTACTACGGTTGTATTTTTGCGCTGTAAATTTAAATTCATATAAAGCAACACAATTTTACAATCACAGTTGTTCAATTATTTTAAAATTAAATAATAAGGAATGCCTCTAATTCTTGGCCAAATTATCGAGTATAATCTGGTTTGGGTAAGTTTACGCTTTTTTATAATCTGCTTCGGTTGGCGGATTATAAAGCGTAAACTAACCCAAACCAGATTATACTCGATAATTTGGCCAAAAATTAGAGGCACTCCTTAAATAGCTGGGAATCCAAGATAACTTCACTATATCCGTGAATTCGTAATATCTGTGTGTGTACTAAACGAGTTTTACTGTATTGCTTTTGTTGAGCACAGCAAGAAAACCAGCCAATTTTACACTAGAATATACGTAAAATAAATGGAACTGGAAATCGTAAAATTGGATTTAACAATCAATGATTTATACCTTTAAAAGGAAATTCATGTTTGACATCATATTCTAGTTCTCTGTCAACTTTCTTTAGAAAAGCAAACATACCACTGATTTTGAATTTTATTTCTTCTTTCCACGGTATGTGTGTAATTTTTCAAAGGCCGGAATGTGCAACACCAATTTGATAAGGCATATATTTAAGCATTGAATTCATATTTTGGAATTTCTTCGGTCCTATAAAACACCTGGCCGTGCAGACAAATTGAATACCGGGCGTTAGCTTATATTTACATTCTTCAATTTTTCCTCTTCATAATTGTTTATTTTGGTTATCTTTAATGTGAATTTAGCGCCCTTCAAAACCGGTGTGCTTTATAAACGTAAGAGCCGTTTGTGACGTTTGTGACGTCGTAAAATTAAATAACGCAAACTAACATTGCGAGGAAAGAGAAGTGACAGATTAATTTTAAATGCACATTTGTTGTATTTTTACGTTAATTCAACAGAGTAATTTTTTTTCATCAAATTGTGTCAAATAATGTACATTTTGGTGCCCATAAAGTATTGAAAATGCTATAGTTCCTACTGTGTATTCTAACGTGCGGTGACAAACTTTCGCGTGTGTTATAGAGATTTGAACGTCATGGATTTCTAATGGATTTCATATAGAAAATCACACTGAATGTAAATATTTGAACTCAATAGACCTTGTCAGGGCTGTCACAGCACCTTTTGGTACAGGGACCGGGCCCCTCTATATTGGGAAAAATCCTCGACATTTTTGTCAAATTGGGAAAATTTTAAACATACTTTCATGTATTAACCCCTCCCCCTCCCCACCCCCCCTCAGCAAAATATTTAATCATGAAAGCCATTTATCACTTTGAAAAGTATACTTGAAAAGCTAAAATTTACAGGACATAAGTCATAAGGTCTGATAAAGTATATATTTAACAAACCAAACATTTACTTTCTAAGTAGGTATTTTTTTTTATATTTTCAAATGATACAGAGACTAAAAAATGTGGGGAAGGGGTATTTCTAACTGTTTAATTACATCTTAAATAAATCAAAAATTTAGATTATAAAGAATAATTTATTGAAATCATGAAGTTACTATTTAAAATTAAATGTAATATCATAAAATTGCCTCTAGAGATCTACAATTTATTTCTCTTTTTTTGGTTATTTAACACATGCAAATGAAACAGATAGTATCTAAGATTTTCTTTTAACTTATATTTCACTTTAAAATTGTGTATTTATTTTATGAATTAACTCATAATGGTTATCCTTGTTTAAAAATGAAAATAAGTTCCCCAACCCAATCTACGTATGACCTATCAATAGGTCTCTATTCCATGACAGAGGAAATTCGAATTAGAAATAAACGATCATGACAGGGTTGTTGCAGATTAAAATTAATCATGCATTAGTGCTAAATGGATCAAATAAAGGATGTGTGTGTGGAAAAATAGGTGATATAAACGAGAAAACACGTTTTTGGGAATTTTTAAGTATAAAATTGGGAAAATCTAGCACTTTGTGCTATTGGGAATGGGTCCGATATTCGGTCCAAATTTGAGGGCAGTGACGGCCCTGCTTGTAGTATCTCTTCGGCTTCTTTTTTACTCATTCATTAAGAAATACAGCTCTATCCCGTTTAACAGGAAAAAAAATCATATTTGGCGATTTGGCATCATCTTCTACGAATTTGCCGTCTCTCCTCATTAAAGCAAACATGTCACAGACTTTGAATATAATTTCTGTAAGTATTTTGCATCATTTTACGGTATACATGCAATGTTCCAAAGACCAAAGTGTTCAATACCAGTTTGATAAGGCAAATATTTTAATGTAGCATCTCTTCAGTTTCTTTATAAAGTCACTTATTTTCAGATCTCTTTTTCTTCTTTATTTTCACCGTTAATCAATTGTTATATTATCGTAAAATATTGTTTCAATTTGGATAGCCTTTTCCATAAAATTTATACCTGTTTTAAAAGTCAAAGTAGCTATTGTTGAATTTATTAACTTTATTGTATTGTGTAACTGAATACTGTATGTTCCAAAATAATATGAGATTTGTTGCGTTATCGTTTTGATATCACTTACGTGAATTTACCGATAAAAGGGTAGTAATAGAAAAATTAAGGCATTTCAAATATAATAAATATTCACTGCTGGTAAAGTGCGTGCGAATCGAGAAAATCTTGGCTTCGGACACTCCCTACTATTGGCACCTGTGAATTGTCTAGTTAGAAATATATTTTTTGAAAAAAAAAAAACACAATAAAAATCACTTTCCAGAAAGCAAAATTACTAAAAGGTTAAGCAATTGGATTGCTTTCATACCTGAAAAGTGCTTGAAGCATTACTTCATTACTACATCGTGTTTTTCCCTTACTCGCATTCGAAAGGTACATAAAGTACTACAGGACATTTAAGTGGATAAATTAAACTTTAATCCAACGTTTTTCTATGCCATAGACACAAACAATGTGCTTTAAATGAATTATTTCCATGGAAGTTGCCAATAACTGGCAAATTCATTTTGTAGGTGCTACAATTGGTTTCTGTTAAATTTTGACGCAGACGACTTTTGATTTATGTCAATGCGACAACTGGTTTACGTATCTGAGACTGTCTGTTTATGTTACTTAACGTGAATAATATGAAATTATTCAAACTTGCATGAAAAAAATAGTTTTTAATAGTTTATAGTCATTTTTGACCATTTCTTAAGTAATACATATATGGCACGCCAACTTCACAAAAACGAGATAAACATAGTTTCACAGTCGATAAACTAGGTTTATCGGTTGTAAACTATAGTTTACGGACTGTAAACTATAGTTAATAACGTTAATCTATATTTTACATCCGTAAACCATAGTTAACGCGATAATCTATGTTTCACAACCGTAAACTATACTTAACATCAAAAACAATCATTTGCGATTGCAAAACATAGATTATCTGATAAATACAGTTTCACCATTTGTAAACTATAGTCTACAAACCGTTAACTATAGTTAACGATCTGATAAATATAGTTTCACGATTTGTGAAACTATGATTAACAACTCTTAACTATAGTTTACGATTGTAAACTATAGTTTACAAACGTGAATCTATGTTTATTAACAAAATCTATTGTTAACGCTTATTTCAGACAGATAAACTTAGATTATCATTCGTAAACTATAGTTAACAACCGTTAAATATAGTTTTACAGATGAAAACTATACTTAACGAATCGTTAACTATACTTAACGAATCGTTAACTATAGTTTACGGTTTGTAAACTATAGTTTACAGTCGATAAACCTAGTTTATCAAATGTGAAACTAGGTTTATCTCATTTTTGTGAATTTGGCGTGCCATATACATAGTGTTCCATCAATTCTTTTTACGGATATTGTGTTTTTCGTTAAATTATTTCGTTACTATTAAATAGTGATATGGTATAAATGAGCCAGACAGTGACACCAAATATTCCAAAACTGCACTAGGCATATATAATATATACATGTGCGAATGTTGTGATCAAGCGATCTTTTTTTTAAAGCAATATGTGAATGCATAATGGAAATAATTTTCTTGCAATATATGTAATTCGGAGTTGAGTTGCATGTAGTCTAAATTTATCCAGTAATATCTCAGGTCTGTACATGTAGTATGCAAGCTGAGGTGTCCTTTTTTCTGAAAAGTCTTTTTCTTTTGTTTGATTCATGTTCATGTTTTTTTTATGTAGACAAGCCCCCCCCCCCCCCGCCAACTTTTGTTGTAATCGTTAAGTAGCTGCGATCCTGTAACTCGATGGTCTGAAAAAATGAGTTAGACGACATAGGTGCCACCCATGCAAAAATCTGTTTTTTAAAAAAAACATTGCGCACAAAAGCTGTGATTTGTGCTAAATTAATTACTCCAGATTTTTACCTCAACTGCACAAAAGCTAAAAAACATAATTCTAAGACCCCTAGCAACTACTCTCGAAGCTGACTTGTTCAATATAAATGGTTTTTCTGTTGTCATCTTAAAAATGGCAGTAAAAATGCGAAATTCGGTGATCTCAAATTCATATCAAGGAGGGCTATTTACAACAGTTGTGGAAATAGTAAGTGGAAATTGTAAAGAAGTTTTCTTGAATTTGAAACATCCAATTAGAAATATTTTGAGAATATGACAGTTTGAAACTAAGAAACAGCGCACTTGTTTGTGCACAATAAACATACACTTTTATTCCAACTGGTGGCACTGCAGCTCTCCCGTCTGTCAATATATTTTTTCGGAGAGCTACAGTTTTGTAGCTACCGTAAGGTAGGTAAATCCAGCCGTTGGGGAAAATCGAATAATGAGGAAAGGTCTCCAACACACCAAGAAATAGACTGTTCTTCCTAGCTACAGAACTGTATGTAGCGTTATGGTCTAATTGACCTTTATATTCAATGATTAAAGCATAAAACCAAAACACTACAGTTCTGCAGATTTGTTCTTCCAAAACTGGACGGTTTATTTTTGTTGGATTGTCAATCACCTGAATTATCAATCTTTATCCATAAATATTTTTTAAAAATGTCACAAGTCAGCTTGTTTAATATATAAATAGGTCTATTTATGTCATTCAGATATGAAAGTATTTTGTTTCTATATGAAAATATTCCATTCAAGTGAATTATCGGGCATACTTAATTCCTGTCCATGCCGTATTTCCAAGTCAACGGTTAAAAAACTATTGAGGGGGTGAATAACAAAGTTAAAACACTTGCATGTATCACCGTCTATTTCCTTCAAATACATATACAAGTCTCTCATTTAAGAGAGGTCAATATTTTTTTTCGTGGGGGTGGGGGGTGTCCAAGGTCTTTTTTACGTTTCTTTTACATTTTAAGTTCTAGGTATATATAGTCAATTGAAGATGACTAACATTATTAAAATTGAACTATGGGTTAGAGCTTTTATGAACATATAGGGCCTATCATATTTTAGTGAAAAAGTTTCTTTTAAAGAATGATATCCAATATATACTAACTAGAGTGAATTCTGCATTTTTATCCTTTAATTTTAATCACATAATCGAACAGTTCATGATGTGGGGGTTATATGCAATGCATAATTATACGGGTATTAAATTGATGGAAGCTTTATTTATGAAATAACCAGTCAAGGACTGGAGGTATATGTTTTGGGGGCGTATTCAAGGACGTTGCGCTATCTCATGTCTCGATAATAAATTGAGATGTTTTACTTGGAAAACAAAATGATACAGCAGTAAAACGTCGCGCCTTATGCAACAAAACAGACGCCAAACGTAGCAATTACAGATGCCGAAAGTCGGACATACAGCAACCATACTCGCGCTGTTTTTAGAAAACTTTAAATTGCATCAAAAGTTTTAATCTTGTGAAATATTAAAGACATGGGAAATCATAAATGATTCATACAATATATATTCATATCACTTTTAACACAAATAACGCAGTGTAAATCGTGTTTAACATGTAAAAAGCAATTATGAATAGATCCAGTGAAATACATTGAACAGATGTATAATCTAAAGCATTTACTGGATTGCTCCTTACATGTATTAAACTAACAAACAATTCTACTGCATAAAATCATACTGAACATTTATAATTACGTCTTAATCAAATATTCTAGCATTTCTGATCGTCTAGTTGATATAAACTGCCTCATTGATGTAAACCAATAATAGCTGGTGTCCGAAACCAAGATTTTCTCGATTTGCACATTACCAGCAGTGATTAATAAAAATTGTACTCTAAATTATTCACACCCCCTCTCTCTTTAAGTAACAAACTACATTTGGCTGTATATTCTTTGACTTTGTTTTCTCGTCCTATAAACCTGAACATATTACAGACAATGGGTGTCATTTCTGGAAACTCTTCACAAAGATTTTCAATGGCATCCATATGGTTTTGTAATGGCCAAAGTTTGTTATACAGTTTTGAAATGGCATATAATTGAATGTAGCATTCCTTGAGCTTCATCTTTAATTCCCTTTCTATGTTCTCCCTTTCAGACAGTATTTCTTTTTTCAAAGAATCATCCGTTAGTTCATCGATAGATAATGAATCCATTTTCATTGCCTCTTCAGTGCATGTTATTGCCGTTTCGAGGGCCAATCCAGCTAACGTTGCATTTCGCTTGTCGAATTCTCTTTGGCTCAACGATTCAAATATATCTCCTAGAGATAGAAAATCCGTTGCCTTATTCTCTGGAATTTTTGTGTATTCAATTCTATAATCCATCTTCCACGGCAGGATGTCTTTTGCAAAGAATTCCTCACTGATGATATATTCATTCAAGATAGCAGTTTTGAAACGTATGTCGAACAGTTTTGCAAGAATAATTCGTGATGATTTTTGATGCAATTTTTTCAAAGAAACAAGGAATAATTCCATGAAACTTGGTTTTTCGTGACAGTCATCTATCATCGGCATTAGAAGCATTTGCTCATGAACATATCGAAGTAGTTGAAACGCAGTTTCATAGAATCCCAGTCTTGTCATGACTTTCACTGATCGCACAGTTCCAGGAATGAACGCATTCGTAAATACGGTTGTAATATCCTTTGTGCGAGCAAAGGATTTGCAATTTTCGAATACCATATTAATGAGCTTTGGTGCATAATCATAGCCATGACTTTCTACAATGTTTTGAATAACTATCAGTGGAAACAAGCGGAGACATTGAACATTGACGCAAACAGCTTCAATCTCTGTCTCAGAAAAACAGTCTATAAGATTGTTAGTTGGAATGAAATAATGTGGAAGGAATCTTGCCTTTAAACAGGCTATCAGTGCAGTTATTACAAATAAAATGCTTCCACTAAAATTTGTTTCCCAGGCGTCGCAAGGAATGTCTTCCAGGGCAGTCAAATATACAGCTTTTAAATGTTTATTTTTTAACTGCTTTGTCAGTTGAAATGCTACATTATCAACTAATACCTTAAGTACGCGAAACCCATGCAATTGAGAATAAGTCAGACCTTCTGTAAAAATGACATGTTCAGCCATTGAAAAATTGTATTTCCATTCTATGTCTGGTTCTTTGCTATGGCGATGTGCTTTTTTAATTAACGTGCATCCGGTTTGAAGAATATCTTGAATTAGTTGGGGAGAGGGAAATGTATATTTTCTTTCACGGACCCTCCATTCCTGTGCTAAGGTTGGGAATGTCTCACAGATAAGTCCTTTATACTTGACCTTGACATCCTTTGGTAAGGACATGGAAACATTTAGCTCTACCCCTTTAAGAAACTTTTTGGAGTCTCTCTGAACAATATTATTTTCATTGATTATGGTATTTGGTGGTAATTGTAAGCGACAATATCCAGGGTGAGATTCTGCTGAATCAGCATAAATATTCGTCACTGAGGTTGATTGACCTTCACTAACATCAGTGTGTAGAACAGATTTGTTTCTTGGAGTAAGAACAACGTGTCCAACACGCTTTCTTCGATACCTAAAGTAAAATTGTTGCTTCGTTAGATTTCTGCCAATGTCTTTCAAAATAAGATTGTTTCCGTCTGCAAAACATCCAGTTCAATGAACATACATATGTGGAAATATGAGCATGCCTCGTGCCATGTGATATGGGTAGATCATACAGAATGGGAAGAGTTTGAGGATGTAGGATAAATGCGGAAGCGGAATGCCAGTCATAAAATCAATGTGCATAGGATCAAAGACAATGCTGTTCAAAGGATCTGAAAATGAAATCAAAGTTATTACCAAAATATAGGATCATACATGAAGGTAATGCTTTTATGATACACATAAACGGAATCAATTTCCGAATGTTTTATTTCTTGCGAATTAAAAATAATCGCAAGGAATACGAGAAATAGATCATCGCGATAAAAACGGATATACGGTATATACAGTGGACCTTCAGATATCCGGACGCCAGATATCCGGATGCTTCAGTATCCGGACGATTTTTCATCGGAACGAGTTTTTTAAATGTTATGCTGTCTTGTTTAACTGGTGATTCAGATATCCGGATGCTTCACATATCCGGACAAATTGAACGGGAACCAAAGCGTCCGGATAAATGAGGGTCCACTGTACATGTACAAGCCAACCTTGATGATTAAGGTCTATCTAGTAAATACCCGTGGCTTACCTTTATTTCCTTGGAGTTGCAATTCATCCAGACCATATGAGTCAAATTTCCATAAACATTTGACGTTATTGGGCTCAGTAGATTTAGTGAGCATTATTTTCAAGGAATTGTCGTCACCTTCATTTTCTAATTGAAGCATGTCTAAATATTCCTCATCAGTCACTATTTCACCAGCTTTCATATCTTTTATTTTTTGCTGAATCAGTTCTCGTCTTGTTAGTATAGGCAAATGTTTGGAACAAACCATGGTTCTGTACAACATGGACTCTAAAATAAACATGTAAGTAGAAAATGGTAAATTACATCTCAAGCTTACTTGATTTTTTAAAATCGATTATAGGTTCCCTTAAACTACTACGAGCTCTTACGACAACGCCTGGCATGCACGGATCTAGAGGGGATCGACGAGGGAGTGGTTCGACCCCCACTGGGTTTTAAATCGCATACAATAAACCAAGTAAAAGTGACCTTGGAACCCCCCCCCCCCAAGAAACGCTGACCCCTCATCCAATGTGTGAATATCATCTTAAAGGCTATGAAAAGTACTAGGTTTCTAAGTATGAAGTTTAAAATAGTCACTGATCACCCCCGTAACGAAATAGACTGGGTTTTTAACTGGGGTGCCTCTACTTGGAAAAAATTCATTCTGGATGCACGCCTGCCTTGGCAAAGCATCCCCCATTAGCCGGTCACACAAGTAATTGGACTTGCAAAAACACCCAAATTATTTTTTCTGCAGTTATATTTGGGCCAACAATCGTTAGCGAACTGTGTCCCGCCGCAAACTTTTACGTTCTCGCGGTAACAAGAAAGTTACAAGAAAGAAATAAACTCGCATTTATTTATTACATAAATACCAATGAAAGAGTGTGTTACAATAATAAATATACTCAGTCATAGGTTTGTATCCTATAATAATTAAAAATAGTTGTCATAGATTTGTACCCTAAAATAATTTTTAAAAAGCTGTTTCCTTAGAACTATTTAAAGTCTAACAGATTTTTTTATTCTGTAAATAAAGAAACTACTACTGACTATATCTGTCTTTCACCATTTTGGTCATCCGCTCTTCAAAAGGATCAACTTCTTCTTCTACGCTGTTTCTCAGTCCATGTGTCTCCATATATTCCTCATCACTATCAAAATAGTCAACTTCATCAATGTCTTTTTCTTCATTTTCATCGAGTGAAGTCCCTTCATTATCTTTTTCATAAACTTTTCCTGACGAAGACGGAAATTCATGCCTAGTCAAAGAATCTTCGACTGTTTTGTCTGTCTTCTGACTATTTTCACTTGAACTCTCTGAGCATCCCTCAGAAACCTTTACCTTTGAAAGATTCCATGTATGATTATCGCATAAATATCTATCTTTCTTCGTTTCATTGAATGGATTTTCAAATATTGTTTCATCGTCATCATCTTCTCTTAAATCATCCTTATTCCATGTCCCCAAAAGAACACTTTTCAACACTTTCTTTTCCATCAACTGTGTTACATTTTTCGTAGACATTGCAAAACACTTCTGTTCTAATCAAAAAAGTAATATATGTCTAGCGCAACAATATATTATCATTTTGAATTTTCTTTGTTTTGCATCAAGTGTCGTTGATTCTCTCTGAGATATCAAAACTTTATAAATCATTGGAACATAGGGACGGAAACTGACATACTTCCTCAATAATGTATAAATATAGAAAATATAGATGGATTTAATTTCACATAGGTACATTGTTATAATTAAATGTAGTGTAGTGCACATATCATTTATACTTTCTCTAAGTATATCAAAGAATATTCCTATTTTATCAGTTTTAAAATACCATGCAAATATGAGTCTTAATTCTTATTAGAAACTTTCAGAGCACCTAGTTGACTGTTTTCGAAATCATAGTTCTATTTAAGAGTGATGTGAGCTTGAAGTGTCCTTTAGGAATATATACAATAATCTCATATATATACTACCCGTTAATATTAAAAGAATAAAATATATTCTTATGTCTAAAAGTGTTTTGTTTTGCTTTTAAATCACTTTGAAATATGCATCAGCCTTTGTCTTTTATTCTTGGTATTTCATATGACCATTTCTCATGCAACTGTACAAGGGTCATGTAAAATAAAACTTTGATAGTTTAACTACAAGCTACAGTACTTGGAAAGTTGTTAGCAAACTGATTGTCAAGTGTTATGAAATTTTCTCTATTACAGGGTAAAGCGCTAAACACCATGTTTATTAACACGGGAATTTTTAAATACTAGCAGAATGATATGGATTTATGAGGTAAGGACAGAAGACTGCTTTGCATACTTTTCATTGAAGTCTGTTGCAACCTGTGCACGCGAGCTCATCCTATAAAAGGTGACCCGAGTTTCATTTCATAAATAATTTATGTTCGATTGAACATGTGAAT